CTTTGCCAGCGCCTCCCGTGCCAGGCAGCCACCAGCACAGCAGCAGCTGGCTGCCGCCCTTCTGGCCCCAAAGGGCCCCTCAAAGCAAACCCCAACCGATACCGATACAAATCGGTATGATTCAAAACGATTTGCAGCGATAGTCTTCGATACGATGTGAGGTTGCGATACTTGCTTTTCGATACCGATAGCTCGCAATACGCAGCGATACGATTCGGTATGTTGTATTTGTATTGTTGAAACGACCCTGCTGACACATTGCAAACTGATACCTAGCTGGGGACAGGCCAAGGCACACAGGTCATTCGTGGTCATGAAGGGTGCAACCTCAACATCAATGGATTTCCTCGTGCCTGCGACACGACAACCGATCACGCGCTTGGGAAAAACAATCTGAAAGTCCGTGGCTTCAGTGATTGGCTCGGAATGGGGAACGTGGAATCCCTTGACACTCACTGCGCAGGCATCTGCAGGGACACCTGGAAGCGCCCTCTCCAACATATGCGCAATCTTCTCACCTGTGCACACTGTGCCGCACCATGCCCATTGATGATCCGCCTGCGTGAGAGTGACTGCACACACTGGGAAGAGCTCTACCTCACCATTGTCGGCTTGTGGGTGGCACACTCTCATGTCGTTGGCACAAGGACAAGTCAACAAAGAAAGGTCAGGCCGGGAAAGTGCAACAACCAAAGGCTTTGCGATCTTAGGACTTGTCTCATCTACACTGATTGATGCAGGGCGCTTTTGCTGCCTCAGGGTCTCATACGGATTGCAGGCAAGGGTGGGGGTGATAGGGGTCCACTGCTGAGGCGGAACCGGCACGCTCACAACTGCATGGGCCACACTCCACCTTGCCATCTGACTTTCCGCCGATTTGCACACCTGAAGGAAAGTCCCTCGGACTGCAGCAAACGCCGAAACTTCACTCCGCAACATGATCATCTTGTACCAGGCATGTGCCGCATGTATGGGTGCGAGGCAATTCCCAAAAGCACGAAAAGTATACTCCTCCGTGATGCAGTGCGTCACGCTGGCAGGGAAACCCAAAATGGCCGCCAGCTCAAGGCAGTGCAGAAAACGGATCATGTCTTTGTCCTGAATCACAAAAGCATGCAAACCCTGCTCTTTCAGGTAACCATCGGCAAAAGCCAGGTTAGACCTATAGGAGGCCATCAGTGCCGGCAACTGCTGATCAACATCAAGCACACGGAACTTGCGGATGGCACCTTCAGTAGTCAGCTTATTTCGTTCCCAAGTCGGAAGAAACAATGGGTCCAGCAGCCGCCGCAATTCAACCTGGGACACGGCAAGCACTTGTTTCTGCACATCGCTCAGATTTTCCAGGATAGCACCAACGGATCCAAGGGTAGGCTTAGGTCCGGCGCTAGGAAAGGATACTGCTGACATCCTCGTGATGGTGGTATGGGCAACATTGAGGTCCCTCCTGATCAGGTGTATGATGAGTCGACGCCGGGTGATGGGTCGAACAGTCTTAATGTCGGACTTGTCAACTTGGGCAATTTCATACCCTGCCCATTTCAACAGGCTGCGCACTAATGACCACTGATGATGCGACTGCATTCCAATGACGTTCTCCAAGGCGGCAAAAGGCACTTGCAACTGCTTGAGCGCTATGGCTGTATCCAATACGTTCATCCCCAGCTCGCACGCCAGTCCGTCTCGTCTCGCAGTACTTGACCAAGGTTGACAGGAAGGGGAGCCCACCAAGAAAACCAAGTTGTGCACCGAAAGACGGGCCAGAACTCGAGAATCATCAACCGCACTGCAAATCATGACATCGCGCAACTCGTCCATCAGGTTCCATGGAACATTGCACATTCTATCGCCACGCATGACGGTCCAGCCCAGCATTCTAGCTGCCAGATTTGCTGTGTACCAATCTTTCTCAATGCCGAAGGCAGGCTGCGGTGTGTCCTGATCGACAAAAGGATCCAGAAAACGCCTCCCCAGTGTCCACCCACCAATGCCCGCAAACAAATCCACACTGCAGCCAATAACCGATGGATCTCCATGCTTAAAAAGTAATGCTGCATCACTCCAGGTTAAGCTCATAGCACCATCGATCACTTCGCCTGTGAAATGCACTGCCGTCAGAATGTCACCTGTCTGTAGCTGATATGCAAAATGCTGAGCAAGAGGAACCTGCATCCTAACATCGTAGAGGCAAACGCTCTGCTCACATGCCAGCATACTTCGCGTACGGGCGCCCTTACCATTCCATGTAAGGAGTTCCCGATCATGTTCATCCTGGAAAGCTATCTCATTGCACAACCGCACATAGCAGGCCACGTCAGAACCCTGGCAAGGTTTCTTGGCCATCTGGTACGGCATCAAATGCATCTCGATGAGGTCATGCCACTCAGCAGGAAGGCCTGCTGCAAGCAGCTGACGGCTGACGTCAGCATCCGGCTCCTCCATGCTTGTTGTATCCCGCCTAACCGCTGGGAGGTCTGGAGCCAAAAGGCTAGTTTACTTCCCATACTCACATTCGAGTTCCCAATCCAAACCACCAATTGGAAGGAAGCTGATACATGAAATCCCAACAATAATAGGGTAATTGGGAAGAAACAAAGGCACTCACTTGCATTAGAAGAAAAAACGCCCCTGCAATACAGTACTTTTTGGCCCCAGTACATGGACAAATGGAGAGTAACAAGTTTTACCAAGATGATTGGTATATGGATGTGTCGTTCTGTTGAGGGTGCCCTTTGGGTGGCTTGAACAGGAAGCTAACAGGAACACATTTTTGGGGAGATCCCTTACTTTGGCACATGCCCGTGTATCGTTTTTTAGGGCCCACCAAAATGGATTTCGGTTGTCCCCTTGGACCCTCAAACATCCCGGAACAAATGGCTTATTGCCCCAACATTATGGCATGAACGTAGTTTGAGGGTCCTGGCCGCCAAGCAAGGGTTCCAACCAAGAAAAGAGACATTTGCCACGGCTCGCGACTGGACCTTCCAAAAACAATGCCCGCTGAGACCGTGGGCGGCTTGGGCACCGGCATGGACTGGCCGCAACCTGAGCGAAATCAGATGCAGCGCTTCCAGTTGCCCTCCCACCTATGGGAAATATGTTGTGACCTTTGGAAAGGTTCGGCACCTCAAACACTAAGGCCATTTGAGGTGCCAACATATTTTTTGGGGGGCTAGACCCTGACACTCGCCCCTGAGTTCCGTTTTTTTGGGTTTGGGAAGACCATTTTAGTGGCAAACAACAAGTCCGAAGGCTTCTTTTTGGCCGAACCTCACTGAGGCATCTGTGCTGGAAGACGATTGTCGGTTCAAAATAGACCCTCTGGTGTGTTCGATGTTAGACAGGAGGGTATCATATATTGCCACACTAAACTTACCTTTTAGCTGCTTTGCCCATTTCAAGCTCCTTCATACTGGTATTACCTACCCCTGCAAACATCTCTTTTTGTGAACCGGTCAAAGTGTGACAAAGTATATTAAATACCATCTTCTTGGTGTGGGGCGGTGTGGGGGGGGGGTGAATTTAAGGGGAAGCCAAAAGGAACACCGGCATGTTCGAGGTCCGCCTATTTCGACACACGCCCGTATAGTAGCTATGCCCCCTTGAGGCTTCGAGGTGCCTGATTGAAGGTCCAGTGTGGAGGAAACGCCTTCAGGCGGCGTCAACTCATGTCAACCTTGGAAGGTACAGTCTACGGCGCGCCTTTGGGAAAGGCAAAGGAAAAGAAAAAGGACGAAGGAGTGACCGGTGAAATGGCCTGCCAGTTCTTCGTGGAATCGCCATCGTAACTGGCGGTTCCGGCGCCCCTGAGCAAAAAAGGCAAATTAGACGATTCTAAGAATGCTGGCTTTTGGGAACCAGGTTCATCAGGGGGCGTACACTGTTGCAGTGGAAAAGCTCGCGTAGTTCCGGGGTTTCCTGGTCCCCTTCAAAGGTTACAATTCTCTGAGGGGTCCGATCAAATTGCCACTAGAGTTTCATTATGTTCCAAAGGGAAATTGGGCCAAGGTTGTACACAGCTTGGTTTAGTCACGGCGGTGTTCATGGAGTTTTGAAGGTATGCATGGTTTCCAATATATTCTTGCAACGCAGTCTCCACTTATATATGTCCAGTTTTGGAGCTATGCATGGTTTCCAATATATTATTGCAACGCAGTCTCCGCTTATATATGTCCAGTTTTGGAGCTATGCATGGTTTGTATTCCAATATATTCTTGCAACGCAGTCTAGATGTCCGTAACCTCCCAAACTCATACCTGACACGCCCTTGGTTTTGGTCCATCAAGTTGAGCTCCTCAGTGGCATTCTCCAGGCCTTGCTTTGTGCCATTGACCAACGAGCCCGAAACACCCGCCCAAAGCGGAACCTCCTCTACCCCCTGTGCCCTTTGGCCGTTTCTTTTTTGGGGGAGGGTTCCCCTACTAGAATAGACCACAGAAAAAAGGGTACCCTTATTCTAACCTCTCTACTGGAGGACTAGCCTGATTCACGAGGCAAGTCAGGATAATAAACGGCAGCGGCTGCAAGAGGCTGATTTTTGTTCAAGCCTCCACACCGGCAGTGCTGTGAATTTCCTTTTTGGGCAATGGAACCCTTTTTTTTCGGGCTCCATGTGAATATATGTAGGGGAGTACTTCTGATTCTCCCCTGTTAGTATCAAAGGGAATCCATGACTACTGGACATGTGCTTGTTTGTTTTCCAGGGACGTATTCGCAAACGTATTCGTGAGTGCATAGCCCGTCGATTCTGGGAGTTCACTTAAATGGAAGCGAGGGTACCGGTGCGTTCTAAAGTTTACCGGAAGACGAGCAATCTGAAGGCCGCGTGTGTAACGCGGGAATTCGTCCAAACACTGCTAGACAGGAAAATCGCTGAGGGTCTATGTTAACCCCTGGACAAATCAACCCCAGTTAATTCATACGAATGTGCCCCCTTTTCGTGAGAATCCGGATCACTTTTGTGGGCCCGAAACCCCCATTCTTTTTTGCAGGATGAGTTGATGAATCAAGCGTTCCAAGTCGCGTGCGGTAGCCAGGGCATTTGCTGATAGGTGTTGGATGGGTTGTTGCGGCTTCAGTACCTGAACCCAGCTTTTCTTGATAATAGGATATCCCAAGATTATGATCTGGATGCCAGTTTTGTTGAAGGGTAAGGTCGAGGCAAGATCACCTTCATATCCCGAGCCCTTCCCCAAACCCCCCCTTGTTTCCCAAAATTTGTCCCCGAGTTCAGCGCCGCCGCATATGTTCTCAACCCGAAAACGGTCCCCTTCTTCTTCCAGGGTCACTGGGCAAGGAGTTATACTTTTGGGAGGAGTCGTTGGGGGGTGCTGATTTTCCGGAAGTGAGCTGTCCTTACGTGGTGGTTCCCAGCCATCCGGTTCCTTAGCTTTGTAGCTGTTAAGAGTTTTGTGGTTGCATTTCCATTTCACCCACTAAAAGTTATTCATTAGCAGGGGATCTGAGGGCAGCCCAGTTTAGGTTCGCCTTTGTGCTCCTGATCCTGGTGATGTTCTTTGTGGTGCAGTTCATTTTCGAGGTGCCCAGGGTCCCGCCAGTCGTCTACTGGAGGGGGTTGCCTCTGGTTTGCTTCTTGCGGAGCTTAAAGCCGCTGCCAGAGCTGCCCCTTGAGTTACAGGAACCCAGGACAACAAAAATGTGCAAATCCTGGAGGTAAGAAGACCTGGTTTCCTACAGTTGTAACCGGAAGCACTTGGCTGATGTGGAGTGTATAGTTTGAGGGTGTCACTGTCTGCTGGCCTGGACAAATGGCGAGCTCAGCGTCGCAGCGTAGTTTCGAGGGTAAGAATCGAGTGTTGGGTCTGGGATCAAGGCTCCTCACTTCAATGTTCGATTAACCAGGCTGGTAAGTGGTTAGCCACTTGGGTTGTAATCCCCCGAACACCAAGGTTAACCCCACTTAGGGGGGGGATAGGCATCAAAAAAAACTTATTAGGGATCAAGCAACAGCTTACTAGGGATGGAAGGAAGGAAGGAAGGAAGGAAGGAAGGAAGGAAGGAAGGAAGGAAGGAAGGAAGGAAAGGAGGAAAGGAGGAAGGAAGGAAGGAAGGAAGGGCCCCCGCTGATTTGTAGAATGTTTACAGGGATTAACGCACCCTTGCCGAATCATCACTTCTTCGATCATCATCACCCCTTGTTGAATCATCACTTTTTCGAGCATCATGCGGGGGGGGCTGCCGCTGCTGATTTGTAGAATGCTTACAGAGCTTAACACACCCTTTGCTGAATCATCACTTCTTCAATCATCATCACCCTTTGTTGAATCATCACTTCTTCGAACATCATGGGGGGGGCTATCTGTACCGCACCTTGCGCAAGTCTTGCACCTTGCGAAAGTACTGCGCCTGCAACTTGCGAAAGTGCTGCGCCTGGCGTGAAATCTGTACCGTACCTTGCGAAAGTACTGCCACGAAATCTGTACCTAACCTTGCGAAAGTGCTGCGCCTGCCGCGAAATCTGCACCGTACCTTGCGAAAGTGCCGCGCCTGCCGCGAAATCTTTACCTGACCTTGCGAACGTACTGTGCCTGCCACGAAATCTGTACCTGACCTTGCTGCGCTTCCTGCGAAATCTATACGATACCTTGTGAAAGTGCTGCGCCTGCCGCGAAATCCGTACCGTACCTTGCGAAAGTGCCGCGCCTGCCACGAAATCTTTACCTGACCTTGCGAAAGTACCGTGCCCGCCACGAAATCTGTACCCGACCTTGCGAAAGTGCTGCGCTTCCTGCGAAATCTATACCTTACCTTGCGAAAGTGCTGCGCCTGCCGCGAAATCTGCACCTGACCTTGTGAAAGTACTGTGCCTGCCATGAATTATGCACCTGACCTTGCGAAAGTGCTGCGCCTGCCACGAAATGAAGGAGTTTTGTTGATCCCTAACAAGTTTTCTTATCCTCTGAGTTTTTATTTACTAGGAAATCTAAGAGAGGAATTTTGTTTGATCCCCTTAGCGGGACACAAGGGTGGGTTATTGCCTAGGTTACCAACTTCTTACTAACTTGGCCGAATTCCAAAGCAGGGGTTCCTTATTTTCCGCTTGGGAATGATCGACAGCTTCCCGTCCATTGTTCCGGTCATATAAGTCTTATACCACTTTCATAAGGGGTATATACTGCATAGCAAGCGTTTGTTGTGTTATACCAGCATCCATACCTCCAAAGCCCATACCTCAAAACGCCCAGGAACCTTTGCCTTTTGAAGAGGGGTTGGCAAAAGGGCTCTTCGCTCAAGAATGTTTGGGGTATATGGCGGTATGTGGGCAAAAACTGCATACTTGTGAGAGCTTGTGTCTTATGTAGCTACTCTCCCAGCCACTAGCATGGAACCTGACGTTTGTCGGGCTCCTGGACTGACAGGTGTACCTTTAAAATGGACCATTTCTCGCCTGGTTCCATGTTAGTGCACAGGGCAACAAAGACTCAAGGGAATCCACTTACAAGAGGCTAAGCGAATCGGCCAAACATAAACGAAAAGGCCTGGACGTTTGGTTACCTACAGCTTGCTGTGATCCACTCAAAACGAGATGAGGCGCGGGGTTTCTGGCCTGACTGTCAGATCTGAGATCTGGCTGTGGCCTTGTTTTTCTCCTTGCCATTTGGTTGCCCTCAAATTTTCGGACTCAAACCTCTGGTGCTTGTTTAAGCTCAATGGGAGGGTAGCCTCTTTTCAAGCCACCACTCTAAACAGGTAAGTGTCAAATGAGGGGGGAAATGGAAATACTGTGGATGGACGAAATCCTGCACCACCTACGAAATGCAGGACTTGGCATTCCGCTGGAAATACCCAGCAACCACGGTGTCGTCCATCCGCTTCGTGCAAGATGGATTTCGTCCATCCACAGCATGCTATCCTTTCGTTTCCCTCGGCTCCACAGCTCCGCCCAGGAAGTGCAGGAGCTCTATGGGAGCTGGCGCACCTACTTCTTCGCCCGGCGCCTCGAGTCGGATTTGTTTTCCTTCGGGCGACGCATGGAAGCCAACAGTCTTTGGAGATTCCTTTCAAGGGAAGCCATGAGGTTGCAGCTTACTTGCAACCAAAGCGAGTCGACCGGAAATCTGACCTTAAACGGTTCTCCCTCTTTGGGTCCTCGTGCTTAGTGGGCCCCAAAGGTGATCACCTTATATTGATGGGCCCAAACTGGGCAACGAATCAAACAAGATTGTTTAGAGGTTGGCCGAAGGCTGGAAATTCCTTTTCCAGAGCCATGAGAAGATGACCAGCGGCATCTATCCACGGTAGAGTTTTTATGGCCTAGATGTCAGAAACAGGAACAGATTACCTACTGTGGGATCTGGAAGATGGCTTTGTCAAAGAAAAAGGAAATGAATCGTTGCTTTTGAAGCTAGCCAGAAGGCATCTTCAGAAAAAAAAAAAAAAGAAAAGAAAAAAAGAAAGAAAAAAAAACAACAAACCGAGCCCCTTTTGCTCCAAGAGGGAGTATGTCCTGTACCTGAATCAATCACATTTTTTTGCGTGGCCTAAAGGAGGATTCCTTGCCACTCAAACTTGTCAACAGAAGGGGGTTCGGTGGAAGCCTGCGTCCAAAACCTACGTCGTGTTCACAAGGGGACGGTGTTTGGAGTCGCAAAAAATCCCTCAGCCAGTTGTAGTTGCATCCTTTTCAGAGCAATGGGCGCGTTTCCTCTTGGTCATCCGTGTCTCAAGCGCCCATGATCTGTTCACCGAACTTCGTTGGCATCCTCTTCGCGTGCCGCTGCCAAAGTTTGCTTCGGGTCTTGGGTGAAAGATTCGATCCCTGAAATCAAGGGATCCGGGGTCTGACAAAAAATTAGGGTGGACGGCATATGGGTTCGTCTTTGGTAGGCTAGACTCAGACATCTCAATTTTCTGTGCACTGATCCCCTTGGGCTTGGACCTGGCAAAAATCAGTGGCTGGTCTTTGGCCGTGACATACAGGTCTCGCATTCCAACGCATTATCCTGGTGGATACAGGAGCCGGAGTTCCTCCCAGGTCTGCCAGGGAACTCTTCGATGCAGTTGCCTTTTGAACTTTAAGGCCTTTCTTTTTTTTCCGAATGGAACATCTCTGCGATCGTCTTGGGGGTTTTCTAGGGGTAACTGTTCTATTCTTTTAGGGATCCTGCTTTCTAGAAAACCACCAAAAACCCTGGGGAAATGGCTGGTTTTTGCAAATGAACGATGGCTGAAAAGAATGGGGAATCAACCCCTAGAGGTTTCTCACATACAGAGCGAAAGGAATCTCCTTCGAAGTGGAGCCCGGCCGAGGTTCAACAGGACAAGAATCCATTTTGCGCCAGTTGCGATGGATGAAGACCCATGAGTGGCCAAGCAAATGCGTGGCTAGGAAGGTTCGCCCTTTGGAGAATTCAGAGACCAAGGAATCGACCCACACCTTGTTGTTTGTTTTGTTTATTGTGGGGAGTCCCAAGTACTTTTGAACCTTCAAAACCGGTTTTAAGATGAACGCGAGGAATACTGCTAGACGTTCTTGGGGATCCCTTTACCCGTTGGCCAAAAGGGGGAGTCGGCAAAAGTCAAGTTTCAGATCCGAACATCAGCATGCAAATGACACACACACACACCAGTTGAAAACTATCCTGCTCCAGCTTGCTGTTTTTCGGGGTGACAAGCATCCACTCCGGCTTGCTCTCTTTCGGAGTCCCAAAGCAAAAGCCACCCGTTTGGTGGTCCAATGCACGCTGAGGATGCCTGGAACCTCTTGGACTGGGCTTGGAGCCTCGGAGTCGCGAGCCAACATGAGGGGTGAATCTAAACTTGGTGGCGAAGCCAACCATCCGGTTCCTTAGCTTTTGAGCTAAGTGTTTAGTGGTAGTTTCCCAATTCAACCCACTGGTATTACACCAACGTTCCTTAGGGTGAACTTGGCGGTTCAACCAGCGAATCGTCCAGTTCCGTAGGTTTTTCTGATGGCCCCGAGAAAGCCACAAGAACCGTCTGCCTTTGGCCAAGAATGATAACCAAGCCACAAGAAAAGGTGAAGAAAGTCCCATAGATGGGACTTTCGGCAGAATGAGCAAGTCCATAAGTCCGACTGAGGTAAAACTTGCTGGTATTGGTATTGTAGGGTTGCCTTACAGGAAACCAAAGAGGGATTGTTTGTAGGGTCATTCGCTCAGGGACCCTGCTGGCAGTGCTGAGCATCAGCAATTTGTTGGTGTTCCTTTCCAACAATCCCCAAAAGGTACCCTCCCGATAGTTTATGAACGCGAAACCTGACTGTAAGGTCCTGGAAGACTATTTTACTGTACACCGGACCCTCTGGTGGGGGAACCCTTATGTTGGATGATATCAACATGTCACACACGTGCCATGGTCAGAATCCTGCGTTCTATATAAACCACGCCTGGCTCTTGATTTTGTTTATCCGCAGGACCAAAGGACTTTTGCCGCGGTCGTGGTTAAAATGTGGGGTGATGTCAACCATGTTTTTCTGTTCCTCGATCCTCAAGCTACCTTAATTGATGGTTTGGATTTGTGGTTTGAGGATTTGAACCCCTGGTTCTCGTGGGTGAACGGGGAAACCACCCTTTTCACACCTGCAAACCACCGGGCTCCAAACCGCCAAGAAGGAAGCTGAAGACCCCACCACATCCCATTTGCACCATACGGACGCTGAGAATTGTGAGGCCAACATGATCTTGCTGCTTGTGGGCTTCACCATGCGAATGCTCCTCTTCTCCGATGCAACCTGCCGACATACTGCTGCGGCATCGGGGATTGGAGTCGGTGTGCGTGGTGGGGAGGGGAGAAGAATGCTTTTTGGAGCGAAGGCTCAGGTTGGTGTTCAGTTAGGGCAACCTCCAACAAATTGCTCGGTTTTGGTTGGACTTCCTATCTTGGCTGGACTTCCGTGTTTTGTAAAGCATAACTTACATTTGCTGAATTGTATTTTTTGTTGGTGTTAAAGGGAACTATTGGGCCATATTGGGCCTTTGTTTTTCAGAAATGGAGGACAATGGTGCAAACAAACCGTAGGCCTTCTCTCATCTCCAATGGTTCAACATGGCAATACAAACCTCAAAGCTTGGCATAGTTCGGGGTCAGGGCTGATGTAAATCCAATTCTCTCAGATTTCAGAAGCTTGGCACTCGGGGGGTGAAGGACCCATGTCTACTACCTGCCCCAGAAAGGGCCGTAGAAAGGCTAGTAGTTCGGCCGCGCCCAGGAACAAAGGGGTCGAGGTTGAATGGATGTCGTGTGGGTTTTTGCGGGTGCCTGTTTTGCTTTTCTCTCTTTTTCTCCGCAGGAAGAACACAGGGAAACCACCCATGCTGGGTGTACCTTGTGAGGTTCACCCCCTATTTTTCCAATTTCCTTTTTGGAACCTCCAAAAGTGGCGATTGACCACCGGTAAATTGAGCATTTGTTTATTTGGGGAACTCCAGAGCCCCGGGTGAAGGAGCAATTGGAGAACGCAAACCGGTGTCCAATTCCGGTTTTCGGGTGGGATGGACGCCTTTGACCAATTTGCGACTCAGGCGGCCAATGCCAATGTGGGCATTGAGCAGCTGTCCAACAAGGCGGGAGCTTCGGGAGCTGCTTACGTTCTCATGGGCCTGGAAGATGGTTGTTGTTGGGAAACATTTTGCATTTTTGTTTATCGTGGTTTAGTGGTTGAAATCCAACCACTCAACTGCTAAACTTTAGGTTGTTGCTCCCCTTTCAACGTCAGCCAAGGGAACTGCGCAGACCGCTTTGGTGCCTGACCTTCGGGGGAATCGGTCCTGGTTTGGACCATTCTTCCGTAAGGGACCCCCCGAGTGTCAGGCTCCATGTCAATTTGTGGCAGGGAAAGTTGTCTTCCATTTGCGTTTCATTTTCCCACCCGAAAAAGCAAAAACAAAACGGGGGCCTACTGGTTCAAATCCCAAGGTGTGGAAAGTGACGGTTAGCTTTTACGCTGGAACCCCAGCAAAACACAAGAAACCTCAATTGTTCGAAGAAGTGCCCTAGACAAACATAAGAACATATTTCCAGTGAGAGATTCCACTCCAAACAGGTGGGTGGGTAAACCTAAATCAGCTAGTCACTCGAGGTGTGTTTTGCTTCCATTCGATGTCCTACCTGCGCAGAAGGCATGTCAGAGCCCACTGCTATCTTGGTTGGATCGTGAACCTTGAACTTTCTGCTTTGAATCAAACGCCCGGAACCGCAAACAGCGCCATGTTAATAGACGGTGTACCAGGCTTTATGTTTATGTTTTTTTGTTTTTGCGTATGGTGTACCTGGACCCTCAAACTACCCATAAAAATTGGATATCACCCCATAATTTTGGGGGTCAAACCCATTTTTAAGGGAATTTTGAGGGTTCAGGTATACAGACAGTAAGCCTTTTCGGCCATGGCAGAACCACAAGTCAATAGGTGTTGGGCTGCTCAATGCCTCGTTCCAACAATTGATGAACGGCTTAAACTCTTTGCACAGGGGTCAGTAGCCACCAAAACTGAGTCACCGAGTCACTGACAACATGGTGGGTAGCAATTTGCTAGGGGGGAGAGAAGCGGGCAACCACCCAAGCTTCCCACAAAAAAGGCATACATTTATTCTGATACATATAGGTGTATATACGGATAACCTTCAAGTTGTTGATTGACACCTCGCTGTCTTCCCTCACCAACAACACCAACAACTACATGTTGATCTCTTCGAGGGGCAGTGGCCAGATCTCTGGACATGGGCATGTGTCAAAATGGGGTCCGGCAATTGGTCGTGTTCCGTTGGGCTTTTTCTTGTTCCCTAGCCCAAAATGGGTATCCTCACAAAGTCAAACACCCAGACGGGGCTGTCAACAGGATGGCCCCTTTTGGGATCCTGGTGCCCTGTGCAGCGTGACCCTCCCCCCATTTTTGGTTCAACCGTCCGAATCCAAATGCTTGGAATTGTCTCTATGTTTCCCTTCAACACCGCCTTTGTTTTATGAGAGGCACGCATTTCAGCGGATCCCCGGTTCGCCACTTAGGTAACCCTTGGCGATGTTCCGCTCGGTTTTTCTGTCGGGTGGTTTAGTTGGTTGCCTAGAGGTTAATGGATCCGAAAGGCTTCGCACGTCTTCGTCCCAATGACGAAGCGCTTGGATCTGTTTCGAGTCGGAAACATGCCGGGCGCCGCTTCTTGACCGCCTGCCTTTGGGAGAACCCGTGGGAGTTCCTTTTGCTGTCCCTGTCCACCCCAAAATGGCTGTGGCTCAACTAAATGTCAAACAAATTTGGCAGCTTGGGAAATAGAAGCAAAGACTAAACCCTGCGGTCTGCCCTACCTCATGAATTTGAGCCACCCCCAAATGAGTCACAATCAAAGCCAGGATGCCGCGGATATCCGCAGTCTTAGTTCTTTACATGGTTGTGAGTCGACCATCTTCATACCGGGCTTTGCTTGTGACTCAAATGGAAGCCCTCAAAGAATCACAAGCTTCTAAGGGTAGCTTCCGCTTCCATTCTTTCCAGGGATCCGAATCTTTCTAGAAAACCACCAAAAAAACCCTGAGAAAACAGCCGGTACTTAGCGATGATTGAAAAGAGTGGAATTGGAATCAACCCCTAGCAAGCTCAGCTCTCCAGGAATCCTTTCAGAACATCTCGGCGCTCGCCAGCGTTGCTACCACCGCCAGCGCCTCAGAGGAATCGGAGGAATGAGGTCCTGCATGCGAATCGGCTGGGTGGCTCGTCTCCTTTGGAGGGCGCCTGTTTTGGAGCGTTTGTTTGTGTTTCTAAGGGAAACCACAATGAAGCTCCACCGTCGTTTTTTTGTTGTTTTGTTTAAATAGAAAATGAGAAAACCACAAGGAATCTCCACCTTTATTTGGGGGGTTCGCCATTTTTGGGGTAGGGATTGAGACCGTGACCGCGCAAATGTTGCAAGAGGTTTGACAGCTGAGTTTGTGTCACTGATAGATGACTTCCATTTCACGTTCCAGTGAACAAAGGGCAACCAAAAGGGTTTGCCAGCTTCACGACAACAAAGCCATGGACAAACTCCAGGACAAACAGCTGGTAGGTGGTTTCTCCAGGTAGGGTTTCATCCATTCCAAGATCAGGTCCCGCAGTCGTGCCCTTTTACCGTTTCTTTTTTTGGGGAGGGTTCCCCTACTAAAAAGACAAAACTGAAAAAAGAAACGGTACCCCTTATTCTAAGCTCTCTACTGGAGGACCTGCAAACCGTATGGATTCAAACTAGGCAATTTAGAGCGAGGTCAGCCGAGGTGCGAGGTGGAGCAAGTATTTTAAGCGAGGTGATTTCACTAAATTCAGAACAACGAGGTGCACACGTAGATGCAGCAGGAGAGGGTCCCACTGCAGGAAAAAACTGTTCAGGGCCTGAAAAGTTATTTTTTACGGTCAGAGGTGATTGTTGGGGAAAATAACTTTTTGGGCCCTGCAAAGTTGTTCCCCACATCTTTGTGTGGGGTTCTTACTTTTACCGCTCCGCGCCCGCCGTCCGGCCCCGCCGTCCGCCGCCCGCCCGCCGCCCCCGCCCACTCACTCACACTCACTGTCTCACACTCACACACACACACTCAGTCACACACTCACTCACACACACTCACTCACACTCACTCTCTCACATTCACTCACACACACTCACTCTCTCACACTCACTCACTCACTCACTCACTCACTCACTCACTCACTCACTCACTCACTCACTCACTCACTCACTCACTCACTCACTCACTCACTCACTCACTCACTCACTCACTCACTCACTCACTCACTCACTCACTCACTCACTCACTCACTCACTCACTCACTCACTCACTCACTCACTCACTCACTCACTCACTCACTCACTCACTCACTCACTCACTCACTCACTCACTCACTCACTCACTCACTCACTGCGTCGCAGGGGCAACATATGGCAGCTGTCTAAAGGGACTGGATGTTGTCGAGCGCGCGGCTCGGGGGCTCAATCTGCGTGACAGGCGCAGCACTTTGGAGATGGCGCACAGATTTCGTGGCAGGCGCAGTATTTTCTGCATCTGGGTGTGTGTTTGCGTGGCAGGGGCAGCATTTGGTAGGTGTCTAAAGGGACTGGATGTTGTCGAGCGCGCGGCTCGGGGGCTCAATCTGCGTGACAGGCGCAGCACTTTGGAGATGGCGCACAGATCTCGTGGCAGGCGCAGTTTTTTCTGCATCTGGGTGTGTGTTTGCATGGCAGTGGCAGCATTTGGTAGATGTCTAAAGGGACTGGGTGTTGCCGAGCGCGCGGCTCGGCGGCTCAATCTGCGTGACAGGCGCCATACCCCTTCGATAAGGGGTGGGGGGGTTTGTTGTTCGGGGGGGTGGGGCTCGAATAACAAGTGGGGGGGAGGGGGGGAGTTGTTGTTCGGGGGGGGGGCTGGAACTACAAGTGGGGGGGGGGAGCTTGTTCGGGGGGGGGCTCGCATAACAAGTGGGGGGGGGGGGGGGGGGGGGGGTTGTTGTTTCCGGGGGGGGGGTCGAACGAACAACAAGTGAGGGGGGCGGGGCAAACTTGTTGTTCGCGGGGGGGGGGGGGGGGGAACAACAAGTGCGGGGGGGGGGGGGAGGACTCTTTTTCGTTTCGAGGGGGGAGGGGTTGTTCGGGAGGGGGTCGAACAACAAGTGGGGGGGGGGGGGGGACTTGTTGTTGTTCGCGGGGCGGGGGGGGGTCGAGCAACAAGTGGGCGGGAGAGGACTTCTTGTTCTGGGGAACAAGGGGGGGGGACTTGTTGTTCCGGGGGGGGGTGGGTGGGGCTCGAATAACAAGTGGGGGGGAGGGGGGGAGTTGTTGTTCGGGGGGGGGGGGCTGGAACTACAAGTGGGGGGGGGGGGCAAACTTGTTGTTCGCGGGGGGGGGGGGGGTCGAACAACAAGTGCGGGGAGGGGGGGAGAGGGACTTCTTGTTCGGGGGGGGGGGGGGGGTCGAACAACAAGTGGGGGGGGGGGACTTGTTGTTGTTCGCTGGGGGGGGGGGGTCGAGCAACAAGTGAGCAGTGAAAAAAACCCCTGTTACCCGTAAAGGAAATTACTTCAGCTTCCGCAATCGCTTGCGGAAAGCTTCCGCCAACCGAAAGGTCGCTTACGTTTGCTATTTTTCGAAGATGGAGCTTACGCATAGCTTACGACAAGTTGCTCGTGCCTGATCCTCGATGAGCAAGAGGCGCTAGCATGACAAAGCAACAGCTTGCAGATGGAAAGGCTGCTGCGCAGGCCCAGCAAGACAATGGAGGGCCAAAAGCTGAAAACAAACTTTCGGGGCACGAAAAGTTGTTTTCTGCAGAAAGCGCGCGGAACCTCTGCGAGCAAGAGGCGCCGGCAGGACAGAGCAACAACTTGCCTGGAAAGGCGCAAAGGCTTTGCTGCACAGGCTCAGCAGTGACATGGAGGGGAAAACTTTTGGGAACCCGAAAAGTTGTTTTCTGCGAGGATCCACTACGAGCAAGAGGCGCCAGCATGACAGAGCAACAGCTTGCACGGAAAGGTGCAAAGGCTTTACCGCGCAAGCTCAGCATTGACGTGGGCACACTAGGGATTGAACCTGGGCCTGCCGCATGCGAAGCGGGTGTGATACCACTACGCTCAAGAAAACTTTGCAGACAGCGCACGGGCGCTGCGAGCAAGAGGTGCAGGCTTTGCTGCACAGGCTCAGCAGTGACATAGAGGGGGAAAATTTTTGGGGGCCCGAAAAGTTGTTTTCTAAGTTGTTGTTCCAGCCCGCGAGCTTTTTTTGGCTTCGGGGCCCTGAAAAGTGCCTGCAGGTGGCAAAAGGTGCCTCGCAACAAAAAAAAACTGGGCTCGAAAAGTTGTTTGTGCTTTCCAAGCCCAAGGCCCAAAGGTGAAAAGGCAAATCCGCAGCAAAACAAGCGGGGCTCAACATGTTGTTTTCCAAGCCCGCGCAACGAACAAGGTGAGGTGCCAAAACAAAACTTTCGGGTCTCGAAAAGTTGTTTTCCAAACGCGAGCTTTTTTGTTCAAGCTGGCCAACGCGCTGTGCGTGGAACATTGCAAAAGGTTTGCACAAGTAACCCAACGGTCAAACAGCAGTTGTCTGAGCCAGAAAAAGTTGTTCACTGAAAGAATCCCTTTCCTTGTTGCTCGAAAGAACCCATTCCAGCAATCTGATCCCATTTTCACGCCTAAAAGCATTACGCGGACCAAAAGCAACTTCTACCAAACAGTCTGAACGAAAAACGGATCTGACAAACAGAGCTTACGCAAAGCTTACGACGAGTGACTCATGCATGCAGCTTACGCAGGACCTTCCGATCGCTTACGAATCACGCAAAAACGCTTACGACTGCAAGAGTAATTTCCAGTTTCATCTAAATTGATCTACGGAGGTTTTTTTCGCCGCTCAAGTGGGCGGGAGAGGACTTCTTGTTCTGGGGAACAAGGGGGGGGGACTTGTTGTTCCCGGGGGGGGGGGGGGTCGAACAACACTGGGGGGGGGGGGACTTGTTGTTTGGGGGGGGGGGTCGAACAACAAGTGGGGGGCTTGTTGTTGTTCGCTGGTGGGGGGGGGGGAGGATGTTGCTGTGGGGATGCGTCGGGCCTGCTAGGAAGGATGTTGGTGTGGGCGTGTTACAGCAGTGCTGGAGCAACCTAGCTCCTTGCTTTGCGCTGCCGCGGGAGTTGCACGTCTTTTCGAGCGAGCGTGACTTTGCCAGCTTGCTCTTTCACCAAGGCCACACAAGGGAGGTTCGCGTGCAGGCTCAGGTGCTTGCGAGACTTGCTAGGAGAGTCTGAGAAGCTACGGGCTTCTAGGAAGGATGTTGATGCAAACATGCGTCGGGCCTTCTAAGAAGGATGTTGATGTAGGCATGTTACAGCAGCGCTGGAGTAGCCTAGCTTCTTGCTTTGCGCCGCTGCAAGAGTTGCGCGTCTTTTGGAGTTGGGTGTTTTACTTGGTTGGAACTTCTCTTTGTTTGCGCCTCGCTTGCGCAACAACAACGCTACGGTGGTGGACCGGCGAGAGCAAGAGGGTCTTGTGGGCAAGCATGTCTCGAGATGGCACATGTCTTCGGACATGATTCTTGGTTTAACCGTGGCCTTTGTTTGCACGCGTCCTTGGAACGTTCTCTTTCCAGCAGAAAGCTTGAACCAATGTATATGTTAGAGTTTGTATTTGTGTACCAGTGTTGGTCTGTATATATTATATATTTTGACGTTCTGTTTCTGGCAGAAAGCTCCAACCAATGTATATGTTAGAGTTTTTATTTTTTTTGTACCGGCCTTGGTCTGTGTATATTTTTATACATGGACCTCTGTATAGGTGCTTGCATTGTACAATCAATTTGCTTGCGCTGACCTGGCTTGCAAGCTCCTGCATCTATCAATGTTTGGAGGTCTTTATCGTAAGGATAGCTGGTGATGCCAGATTGTTGTCAGTTGAAATCCTTTGAAGCATGTTTGCCGAGTTTCGAGATCGTCACGCGATCCGCCAACGTCCGCTTGTGTTGCCCTTCCTCCCCGACCCCGATCTATATTGGTGAGTTTTTGTCTTTATGTCGTTTGCTAGGTGTTTATATATATATATTTATATATTTATAAATATATAGATATAGAAATCAACAAATATATGTATGTCTATACATATATATATATATATGTCATTTTTGTCTTTCTTGGTGTTTCGGAGGGGGGGGGGGCCAACAACCAGCGGAGGGGGGGGGGGGTGGTTGTGTGGGGGGGTGGGAGAACGACGAGTGTGGAGGGGGGGGGGGGGACTTGTTGTTGTTCGGGGACTTGTTGTTTGGGGGGGGGGGGCTCGAACACAAGTGTGGGGGTGGCTTGTTGTTTGGGGGGTCGAATGGGGGGGGGGCTTGTTGTTTGGGGGGGGGGGGGTTGTTGTTGTTCGGGGGGTGGGGGAGTTGAACAACAAGGGGGGGGGGGGGACTGGTTGTCTGGGGGCAGGGCTCAACAACAAGTTGGGGGGGGGGGGTTCTGTTTGTTGTTTGGGGGGCGGGGGGGCGAACAACAAGTGGGGGGGGGGGGCTTGTTGTTCGTGGGGGGGGGGGGTGTCGAACACAAGTGGGGGGGGGGCCTTGTTGTTCTGGGTGGGGGGTCGAACAACAAGGGGGGGGGGCGGGGCCGGGGGGGAGGACTTGTTGTTGTTCGCCGGGGGGGGGGGGTGGGCGGGGGGGGGTGGGGATTGTTGTTCCGCGTTTTCGTCGAACAACAAACCCCCCCACCCCCGCTTATCGAAGCGGTCTCACAGGCGCAGCACTTTGGAGATGGCTTGCAAATTTCGTGGCAGGCGCAGTATTTCCTGCATCTGGGTGTGTGTTTGCGTGGCAGGGGCAGCATTTGGTAGTGTGTTTGCGTGGCAGGGGCAGCATTTGGTAGCCGTCTAAGGGACTGGATGTTGTCGAGCGCGCGGCTCGGGGGCTCAATCTGCGCGACAGGCGCAGCACTTTGGAGATGGCTTGCAAATTTCGTGGCAGGCGCAGTATTTCCTGCATCTGGGTGTGTGTTTGCGTGGCAGGGGCAACATGTGGCAGCTGTCTAGAGGGGCTGGATGCGCGCAGCTCGGGGGCTCAATCTGCGTGACAGGCGCGGCGCAGTATTTTCTGCATCTGGGTGTGTGTGTGTGTGTGTGTGTTTGCTTGGCAGGGGCAACATGTGGCAGCTGTCTACAGGGGCTAGATGTTGTCGAGCGCGCGGCTCGGGGGCTCAATCTGCGTGACAGGCGCAGCACTTTGAAGACGGGGCATAGATTTCATGGCAGGGGTAGTATTTTCTGCATCTGGGTATGTGTTTGCGTGGCAGGGGCAACATATGGCAGGGGCTGGATGTTGTCGAGCGCGCGGCTCGGGGGCTCAATCTGCGTGACAGGCGCAGCACTTTGGAGACGGGGCATAGATTTCGTGGCAGGCGCAGTATTTTCTGCATCTAGGTGTGTGTGTTTGCGGGGCAGGGGCAACATATGGCTGCTGTCTAGAGAGGCTGGATGTTGTCGAGCGCGCGGCTCGGGGGCTCAATCTGCGTGACAGGCGCAGCACTTTCGTCCAGACTCACTTGCACTCATTCACACTCACTTACTCTCACTCAGGCTTATAGACTTCCAGCTCAGGCTTATTAGAGCTCGAGCTCAGGCTTATTAGACTTCCAGCTGTCTGAAGAAGAGGAAGCCGTGAATAATCTAGCGCCTGACTCTGCCTCGCGAGCAAAAAGAAGAGAGCGCTCTACTAGTGACCGAGCGCTACCCCGTGGCCACTCACTCACTCACTCAGTCATTATCGCATGGCCACCAGAGAACCATTCACTGAAAAAATGCGCATGTGGGGTTATCCGGTCCTTTAAATATTTTTTTCTTCATGGTCTTCCCGTAGCCTTCCCGTAGCCTTCCCGTACCCTTCCCGTAGCCTCCCCAGAGCACCCCTAGTCTCATTGACACAACAAAGGCCAGCCACTTGCCTTTGGCCAGGGTCACATGGAAAGATATTCTGACATTGCTGTCATTTGGGATCCAGCGGCAACCGGAAATGCAAAGGATCCTTTCCAAGGTGTGAGTCGCTTTCCAAGGTGTGTTTGGAGTGGGGAACAAACGGAACAAGAACTCTGAGCTAGCATCAGTGGCCTTGAACGAGCAATAAACTCGGAAGCGAGCATCAGTGGCCTTGAATGAGCAAGAAACTCGCATCCTCCTTGAGAGCACCATGCGTGCCTGCAGTGTTGGCTTGCAGGGCAGCACTCAGTTCACGCCATGAGTGTGCGTGTGATGGTCAGCGCGCCAGGACAGGCAGAGCTCTGGCAGACTGAGGTGTCAATGGACGACACATGGAAAGCGTGCTTGAGCTATATGCAGCCCGACGAAGAGCCTGGCCTTCTGGTCTGGCGACACCTTGGTGGCGTCTGGGGGCAAGGTCAGCGACGCGACCAGCGGACGGGCGGGCCTTGTGTTAATAAGCGCTGACACAGAGGCAGCCATGAACTTGGTGCTTGGGGACCAGCTTCGAAGCTGAGCCTGAGTGCTGGGAATACCCTCTTCTAATGGCCAGGGCGCACAATGGAGACAACAACCGTGGCCTGAAAAGTTTTTGTTCACCCTTGCATCCTCCTTGAGAGCACCATGCAGAAAACAACTTTTCGTGGCCATAAAAGTATTTTTTTCACCCCTGTATCCCCATTTCCTCTTGCAAGGAAGCACTTGAGCGTCATGGCGACGCCTGCTTTGATCGAGCAGCACTTGATTGTCCACGCATGGGGGCCAGTCCCTTCGGCTGACGCATGCTGCGCAACCTTTGTGCACAGGTGCGCTGCGGCTTTCATGGAGAAGGAGAGGAGGCACTCTTCTGATAAAGGGCTCCTCATCCGCAAGAAGGGCCTGATGTGTCCGAGGCGGCGGTGCGAAGTGATGCGGGCAAAAAGCACAAGTATGTGCGCAGAAAGACTAAGACTTCTGCGCTTGCGGGTGCTGCGAACGCACGCCTGCTTCAGCGCGGAGATGGCAAAGCCTCTCTGTCTCTGGCAGAGGCTCCCTCTGAAGCCTGAAAGCCATCAATTGTTGATCCCATGTCCCCGCCCAAAAAGAGGCGGAGTGAGCAATGACTTTCACCTGACTTGTGCGTTGAAAGACCCAGCGAGCTGCCAGGGATTTAACGAGGTGACGAGGTGACGAGGTGACCACGGAAACAACGAGGCGAGGCGCACACTCCAAAACCTTATTTAACAACGAGGTGACGAGGTAAGATTTATTGCAAATTGCCTAGATTCAAAGTGACTGCATCGATATCGATTGCTCAGTGGACTCTGACTCCCTTGATCCGCCTGAACCGCTCCCAAGAACCGATCCCATGTCTCTCGAAGGGCCACAGCGAAGCTCTGAAGCAGTCTCACAAATTTCTCATCAAAGAAGGAAAAGGAGAACCGAAATCCACAAAATTGCAATCCCTCGCAAGACACACCTGTGTTGCATTTTGCCAATGGATGTTAGGACTTTAACTTGTTGCCAACTAATGGGTTGTCCGTATCAAACCATTAAAGTTATTCACTGTTAGCACGGCAGATTTCGCAAGCGAGGAACACCCACATTTCCCTGAGCCATTTCCCAACCAACGGGTTGGCCCCAATCTGGATCGGTGGACTTTAGAGCTGCCATGGAAGCCGAAAAAAGGGAAAGCTCCTTGCTCCTTGGGCGGTGGGTTGCCTCTCAAAATAAGCCCGGAAGAACCACAACCAGGAAAAGATCGACCCTCAAGCTACCCTTTTCCACTTGAGGGTCCAGGGGACCAGAAAGAAGAACCAAAATCAGCTTCCCCCTCAGCGGTTTGGAGCCCGGTGGTTTAGAGTCGTTCTGTGGTTTCCCATCCATCAAGAACCAGGGTTCGAATCCAAATCGAAGGCATCCAAACCCTCAACTAAGGCCTCAAATGGGTACCCCTTTTTGTGTGGTTTAGCGGCAGCTTGGGGGAGGGAAGCTATTTGTCTATTTGTCTCGGCTCCCAGATGCTTGGGGGTTGATCAATATTCCTGGCCTCCAAATGAGCACTGGTAACTTTTCCCTTCAGCTGGAATTATCAAATCTGTTTCTGCGGTTTCCCTAGTGGTCACCCCATGTTTATCGGACCTTTTGATCTACCCCCACCTGACAGAAGTTGTTTGTGCAAGCCTCCCGAGAGCATGGATGCTAGGTCCGCGTGCTCAATGCCTTCAACTGCGCAGGGGGACCTGGCCCACGAGTGCCGGCGGGGGGTTGGGCCAGAGTGTGGACCCACCTGATTAGAGGTAACCCACATATAAAGACACACCTATCTGGGTGTGTCTTTTTTCAAGGAACTCCCTCTTGGAGTGGTTTCAAAGGGAGAAGGAAAACGACCCTCTTCTTCTTCTTCATTTTTTCGGGAAGTGTTTTCAAGGGAAAGGGAAAACGATGATCTTCTTCTGTTTTTCTTTTTTCGGGAAAATATTCTTCTTTTTTGTCCGGGAAAGATGCTTTTGGACTGCTTTTAAAGGAAAAGGAAAACCACCCTCTTCTTTTTTGTTCGGGAATAATGCTTTTGGAGTGGTTTCAACGGGAAAAGGAAACCCCCCCTCTTCTGTTGTTCCTTTTTTTCATTTTTGTTCTCGGGAAAACTGCTTTTGGAGTGGTTTCAATGGGAAAAGGAAAACGATGATCTGCGTCTTTGTTTTTTCTTTTTCGGGAAAACTGCTTTTGGAGTGGTTTCAAAGGAAACTTTCATTTTTTCAGGAAAACTGCCTTTGGACTGGTTTCAAAGGGAAAAGGAAAGAACGATGATCTTCTTCTTGTTTTCTTTTTTTCAGGAAAACTGCCTTTGGACTGGTTTCAAAGGAGAAAGGAAAACGATGAGAATATTCTTTCTTTCTTTTTCCGTGTTTTCAGTAACACTGTCTTTGGAGTGGTTTCAAAGGGAAAAGGAAAAATGATCTTCTTCGTTTGTGTTCTTTCATTTGTTCAGGAAAGCTGCCTTTGGACGGGTTTCAAAGGGAAAAGGAAAGAACGATGATCTTCTTCTCGTGTTTTTCCTTTTTTTCAGGAAAACTGCCTTTGGACTGGTTTCAAAGGGGAAAGGAAACCGATCATGTTTTCTCGTTTTTTCAAGAAAACTGCCTTTGGACTGATCTTCTTGTTTTGTTTTCTTTCATTTTTCAGGAAAACTGCCTTTGGACTGGTTTCAAAGGGGAAGGGAAAACGATGATCTTCTTCTTTTGGTCTTTTCTTTGTTTTTTTGGAACAATGCTTTTGGAGTGGTTTGAAAGGGAAAGAAAAAAAGAAAAACGATGATCTTCTTCTTTTGCTTTTTGTGTTTTTGTCAGGAAAACTGTTTCAAAGGGAAAAGGAAAAAGCCGACGATCTTCTTCTTCTTTCTTTCTTTTTCGGGAAAATGCTGTTGGAGTGGTTTCAATGGGAAAAGGAAAACGACGATTGTTTTTTCGGTGTCTTTTTGCAAGGAACTCCCTTTTGGAGTGGTTTCAAAACCACCCACTTCTTCTTCTTCTTCTTTTTGTTGTCCTTTTCTTGGGGGGGGTACCCAAAAACAAGACGAACCTATCTGTCTCAAGAAACTTACTCCGACTGAGGTGCTCCTCTGGGGTAAGGTGACGAAGTACCTGAGGCATCTGCCCCTCGTGAAGGCGCGCTCCACCAAAACGGCAAGCGGTTGCGCGCGGTTCCGGCGTCGGGGTACCAGGAAGCACACCGCATCCACAAAAACAGGGTATTTATTTGGGGGGGGGGGGGGGGTTGGACGCTCAAAATGGATTTTGGCTCCTGTTGGTCTTCCTTTAAAGCCACAAAAGTCGAGTACCCCCCAACAAATACACACCCAATATCCCCGGAAATTCCGGGCGCTTTGGGCAGAGACCCCATAGCCTTCAGCTGGGGAAAAATGGAGCAGGGAGGGTGGGGTATAAAACAAATGGCTTTGGGAGCTCCCAAAAAATCGAGCGGGGGGGTGGGCAAGATTGGGCAAGGTCCTTTTGGTGATAGAACAAATCAAGCCCGAAAAGCGTTTTTTCTCAGTGGGACGAAATTATTTCCGCAGCGGTTGCTTGGCTCCAAAACCATAGTAGTGCTTCCAGTTGCCACTATGGTACTTACCTCTATAGGTTTTATATGATGGCGTTCACTGGTTGCCTACTGCGGAAACGCCCCAAGAAAACTAAAACAGAGCCCAGGTGATTGGGCGAGTCCTTCATTCAGGGCACCCTCAAAGTATACACCCGGCAGAGTGGAATTGGACCTCAAGGTTTGGAACGTCAAGAAGGCCCACCCATTTTGAGGCACCCAGATACGGGAAGAAAAGTTGGACCCCTCAACTAGCCAGGGATCAGAAAACGGAAAGCTCCGTTTGCACTGATTTAGCTTTTCATCTTTAGTCCCAACAGCAAATCTCACCTTTTTAGTCCCAAAGGTCCCCAAAAAAGGCAGTCAGAAAAAAAAGACAGCCCAGCACCCCAACGGGGCCAACTTCCCCATGTTGAGTCTCGGAGTGTCGTGATCGGCCAGGGCCTGATCCGCACGGTGTGGAATGCCTTCGACCTGCAACTCAGTTGAAAGCCGATGCCGGGAATGCGTCAATTTGCTGAAATGAATATTCATAGTTTCCCTTGTTGGTTTTTAAGGAAATCCATCAGTGCTGGACATATTTACTTATTTTTCCAGGGGGCCTAAGCAAATGGGAGAATGTTGACTTTTATGTGAGCCGGCCAAAACCTACGAAGACCACTTTCTCAAGATCTCTAAGGCCAAGCAAGAGGTTTCGGCAGCCTCATATGGATCTCAACCACCCAGGTTATTCATCGGGGGGGGGCGGTTACCCCGTGAAACGGTGGGGAATCAGACCGCTTTTGGAGGGGCCAAAGCCACCCCCCGATGAAACCGGGGTGGGATTTTTTTGGGATCAACAGGTGAGATCTCAAGAGTTTGGATCTCCGAATGTCCCAAAACACAGGGTGTGCTGGTTTCCTTTTTGGCTTCCCTTGATATACCAAAAGGACCGGAAATTGTGAGAAAGGGGCGAAGATTTGTCCTTTAAGAACTCCAAATGTCAAAGAAAGCACCTAGGCGGGTATGTGTTGGAACAGGGGCACCCCCAAGAATGCTGGTAAGCTTTAAACCCTGAAAAGAGTCCTTTAAAAGCACAGACCTGGCTAATGGTTCCCACTTTCCGAACTTTTCCTCAATGGGTCTGATCCCCGGTTTAAGATGGACCCCTCTATTCTTGTAGCACGGTTTCTCAAGGGAAATCCCTGACAAGACAACGCCCCAAAAACTAATCCTAGCTGGAGGTCAGATTTGGGGGACAGTACCGCTGGGTTTGAACTCGACTTATATATAGGGGGTAAGCCCAAAACTGGGGGTGCCCGACTTCCCCCCAAACTCAATGTATTGTTTTGATCCATTTACCACATCCAAGCTACTCGCCTTGGCACAGACACAGGAGTACCTGACAGTGGTAACTGGAGGCACTGGGCTTGAATTGTGCGTAAACAATTTTCAATGGGCCCCTTGCTTCAAGAAACAAGAGCCCCTGCCCAACAAACACATACGTTCTATGCCTTCTCAGTTTGTGTGTGAAGCATCCGCACAAAAAAGGATGTCTCAGCTCGCTTCGCATGAAACCGGGGAGGTGCGTTCTCTTGTTTTTGTTCCTTTGAGATTGCGCTGGTGCTCAGTAGGTAATGACCCAGCTCGAACCGGAAGAGGATTCCCTTTAAGGGAAGCCATAGAGGTCATTCCATTTCTTATTCCCTGCCTATCGCACTGATCGAAAGAGAAGCATCCACAGGACTTCAAGTAGGTCCCCCAGCTAGGTGCCCTTTCTCTCCCCTTTTTTGGTTGGGAGGGCTCCCCTACTAAAACAGACTACAGAAAAAAAATCGGGTACCCGTATTCCAACCTCCAAAACTGGAGGACCTAGTCCAGAAATCCAGAAATCACCGCCTCAAGGTTCGTGCCCTTCCTCATCATGTTCTGCGTGGGCATGGTGGGCTTTGTGATGGCCTTCAATGTAGGCCGGGACCCCAAGGATGCGGCAAACGGCCCGGCAAACGGCCGAGCCGGTACATGGAACCTGATGGACAAGGCCGTGCAACCACAAGAGGAAGCCTCTATGTGGGTATGGGTCAAAATTAAGCCACCAGGAATCGGACCGCAGGTTTTAGTCTTTGGTTCCGTTTCTCAGGGGTCTAAAACGAATACCCATTTTTGACCCACAGCCATGTGGAAAGGGAACGGGGTGTAATATCCCGGGAAAGCTCCGGCAAGAGGTCACTCAAAGAGGTTGGTGTTTTTGGTGCCCATGTTGATTTGGCGTGATTTTTTTTGGGTTTGTAAGATGGCCATGGGTCAAAGGCCCGTACCCCCAGTGAACATCCCAATCCCCAGTGGTGCACCTACCCCAAAATGGTACCATTGGTTTTGACCCGCAGCCATATCACCTTCTGGGCACTTGTCAAGTGAGTGTCCTGCCAGTGAGGTGATTGTCCAGAGAAATATGTTCACCTGGATGCTGATTCTGACCCTTTAAACATGGGGTGAATGACCCCTTTCTTTTGAGTACTTTCCCCCAGTGGATCCCAGGCGTTTCGCCACTGGTAACCCTTCGATCCGTTTTCCTCTTGGTTATTCTGGTGGGTGATTCCCTTAGTTACCTTCGCCACAAGATGGAATCACGTTGATTCCCTTGGTCTCGATTCCCTAGGTTTTCCAGTAGTGCCCTTTTACCCTTTTTTGGGGGAGGGTTCCCTACTAAAACAGACTACCGAAAAAGAAAAAGAAGCAGGTTACCCTTAACGTCTCTACTGGAGCACCTCGTTCCTTTCCAACCCTTGGTATGGCAACACCTTGTCCTTTGCATTTTTCTAGACATGAACAGGACAGGTGGAACCAATGGCCTTCCCGCAAGCCAAGGCTTCGGCGACAAAGTCGCGGAGCTCTCCAACTTCTCCACCTCGGTGGTGTATTTGCCCGGGGCTTCGGAAAGAGGCGGAAAGAGGACAACTTGTGTAAGTAAATGAGGTGGCCACGCCTTCTTTGGGCTTATATATCCCAAATTTAACGGATCTTCCTGGGACTTAGCGGCAAAACACAGAAATACCCCACCAAAAACTTGGATTGGGGCCTGTCAGAAGTGCGTACTTTCTGTTTCGGGTCATTGAACCAGATTTCCGCACCGGGCAAGGCCTTCGCTGTCACACGGGTTGAGCTCAAAAGAGGTTTTACAAGAAGCGCGCTGGGTTGCTGTAGTGTTGTTCCAGCAAAACAAACAATTCGCGACAACACAACACACATGGTTGGGAACCTCTTTGTTTGTTTTCATCAATTTCCAGAAAAGTAATTAAATCATAGCGTGCTTGACAACTGCTCTATCACAAAACACTTCCCCACCAACACCCGTCCTCGTTTTAGAAAAAGAAGAATCCCTGCACAACAACAACAACAACAACAACAACAACAACAACAACAACAACAACAACAACAACAACAACAACAACAACAACAACAACAACAACAACAACAACAACAACAACAACAACAACAACAACAACAACAACAACAACAACAACAACAGCAGCAGCAGCAGCAGCAGCAGCAGCAGCAGCAGCTAGCAGCAGCAACAACAACAACAACAACAACAACAACAACAACAACAACAACAACAACAACAACAACAACAACAACAACAACAACAACAACAACAACAACAACAACAACAACAACAACAACAACAACAACAACAACAACAAACAACAACAACAACAACAACAACAACAACAACAACAACAACAACAACAACAACAACAACAACAACAACAACAACAACAACAACAACAACAACAACAACAACAACAACAACAACAACAACAACAACAACAACAACAACAACAACAACAACAACAACAACAACAACAACAACAACAACAACAACAACAACAACAACAACAACAACAACAACAACAACAACAACAACAACAACAACAACAACAACAACAACAACAACAACAACAACAACAACAACAACAACAACAACAACAACAACAACAACAACAACAACAACAACAACAACAACAACAACAACAACAACCACAACAGCCACAACAGCCACAACAACACACAACACACAACAACGACAACAAAGAAACAAACAGACAGACAGACAGACAGACAGACAAACAAACACGACAACAATGACAACAAACCCAGTAATTCTTTGCATCATTCCGGGATGACAACCTCTTTTTCCTCTCTTTTTTGCCGGGATTTTGATTATGACTCAGAAAAAGAAGCCAACCATCCACAAGGACGACTCAACCAACGCAGCGTATGCCACACGGCTGGATGTGCGGCCGAGGTGCAGAGCCTTCCTGAAGGATGTGCAGCTCATGCCCGTGTGCGCGGCAAGCAAGGGGAACTCGAAATCGTCGGTGTCTCTGGCACAAGGAGGTGCCAGTTTAGGTCCCTAAGGGGCCAGAAAAAGAATATATATATTTTTAAAAAATAAAACATTTAGGTCCCTGAAAGCCAGAAAAAAAAAGGAACAAAATCGACACAGAAACAACATGAGGTTTACAGTGTTTTGCAAACATGGGAGCTGTGAAACCTTGGTGGCTCCCAGTCATCCCCTGAGCCTTTTCTGCTTTTTAGTTTTTAGCGAGCGGGGATACCTCGATGTGCAAACGGCGCGATCCGGTCCCATGCTAGGTCCCCCAGCTAGGTGCCCTTTTTCTCAATCCTTTTTTTTGGGAGGGTCCCCCACCAAAATAGACTACAGAAAAAAAGGTACCCTTATTCTGACCTCGTTGGGTGGGGGGTCCAATTTGTCGCTTACTCAACTTAGGTCAGTCACGCCTGCAGTACATGGAGGTGTATGTTATTTTCGGCGTTTTTTATTGCTTTTTGCTTTCGTTTAAAACTCGAGAAAGAGTTGCACCCTCCGAAAAAAGACACCCATACCTTTGGGCGCCCCCCGCTCCCCCACGCGCTTCAGGTATGACATCACCCCGCTCTTTGGGGCCGGTTTGATCCTCCTCTTCTACCTCAACATGATCGCTGCCCGGGACCTGCCAGACCCGCGGAAGCCCTTTTGGACCTTTGCCTTCGCAATATTTGTGATTTCCCCGGTATTGGACGGAATCACTACCAGTAATAAGTTGTTGTTTGCTTTTTTACGGGGAGCCTAGGGCATAAGCAAATGGATGTGATTTTGGCTTTGAACCAGCAAGTTGAAAACCAGCAAGTGCAATAAAACACACATCAACACACGTTTTGCCGGGAGGCGGACGTTTGGCCCAGGTGCATGCTGCATGACCTCCTGGCAGGCATCCCTTTAGGGGATCCGCATTATCAGGTTGCCAGGGTTTTCTCCAAAAGTGGCGATCGTTTCACGGGAAACCGCCAGCGTATTGAACAACTTTTGATTTGGGGAAATCCAGTGACCTCTCCTAGCAAATGGTTTATTGCCGGACTCAAGAGTCTTTACTTTTTACAACCTGACCTGGCCCAAAAAAGCTACTTTCAAAGACGGGGACATCACACAATGAGTCTGGGGCAAGATCCTTTTTTGTGTCAGGTAGCTTGGGAGAGTCTAACTTGTTCTTACCCTGTCGTGGGGGGGGATCCCAATTAGCACTAAGCGTTCTTCCTCTTGGTGTTTAACGGGTGCTTGGTTCAACCAGCAGTTGCAGAACATCGGATGCGTTTGGCCAGTTTGCGGGCGCCTCGAAGGGAACGAATTCGGGGTGTCCTTTCTGGCTAATGTTGACCCCATATCAATCAACCCCCAAGTCGCATGCTCGCGTCTTGTTGGGAACAAGACCTGTGGTTGGGCTCTGTACCTCGACGGCCACTTTTCCAGAGGCCAGGTGACCGGACAATCCCCAAGAAAAATATGGATAAATTTGGTGGTCCCCCGCCGCACTTGTCTATCCTGCCGCTCTCTGGGGTTGCTCCCTCTGGCTGCGGACAATTGGGTATTCGCCCCTCCTCCCCAACTAATAGAAGTACCGGATGAAACATGTTAGTTGTAGTGTTGACCCCATATTAATCAACTGCTGTTTATACATATATATATATATATATCTCTTAATAGGGGTGTCCACTGCGTTTAGTGGGGAATCATGGCATTGTAAAGGGGAACACCCCCTATTAAGAAGCTGGCCCATTGCAGTTCATGGACTTGAGCCTTTTTGGGCTTCCGACCATTTTACAGTGGCAAACACAAAGTTTGGACGGTCTTGCTGTGGTCATTATTTTGACTGCCTTTGGGGGTTGTCAAAGTCAGAAAACGAGGTTGTATCCCTTCAACCAAAATAATGAGGCCAGTCTTGGGCCAGTCCTGTCTGGAAGTGAGGAAAGGATCACCCTTGCAGGCCTAGAACGGCTGAAGTTCAATCGATCCGCAGCTTTTCGGCCTGGAGGCATCTCTATGAGAAAGTCTGTTGGACCCCAAGGGACGAGCAAAAGGATCTAGTCACTGGCAAATATGGTTGCTCTTGGGCTGGATCTTTAGACCTCTAACTTTTAACTTGTGCTTAAATATTCTATCCAAATTCCGAATTGAACCCAGAACAAGTTAAACACTTTTTGCAGAGGGGTCAACAGCAACCAAGATACAATGGTCAAAATCCTGCACGGCTCGGGATGGTTGACAAGCCACGAATCGCAACTGCCGATCGTCGTGGATGTTGTCAGCATGGAGACTCTAGGTCTGAAGCCTAAAGATTACTCACTCCCCAATTTCCACAGGTCAACCATCGGAACCATGTACAACACCCCGCAACAACAGGTTTTATCATGCCCAAAATCCCAAGTACTGCCCAAAAAGCAGTGCGCTGGGTACAGAAAGGGCGTTGCGCTCCGGAAGTGAAAGGTTTGTCAGTTTTTCCGGGCGCAGCTGCGCCTGAATTTTTCCCAGCTCGCCGCTTTGCCGAGATCGATGTCTGAGATGCGCCTCGCTTGAGCTATAGGGGTGTGGGTTTCTTGAGGCAAAAAGTACCAATCACTCGCCTTGGTTTACACTGGGTGTCCGAGCAATTTCCCCTTTTTGGAACCTCCGAACGTGGAAACCGATGGTTTCAAGACTGGCCGCAAATTGATCAACTTGCTGTGATTTGGGGAAATCCAGGCAGCCCCTGTTAAGGGACACCTAAAAGGACGCAGTCCATTTTGGGGAGTCCAAATCCAACTACGTTTGACGCATGCTTCCCTTTTCCAGCTCAGCCTGGCTTGGGGGTGGTGGATCCTGTCCACATGAGCCAAACAACAGGCACAACAAGTCCAAGCTACCAGCAACCGGATCCACTCGGCTTGGTTACAGTCGAAAACGCACATGGAGGACACAAAAACGTTGAAATCGATTTCGGAGGTTGCCCCTTGAACACGCGTAGGCATTCGTGGAAAGGCAGCTGGGTTGGGGGCTTGGGGGGTTGAGGGTTGGGGGCTCGGGAGTAACTGATTTTCGGTTTTTGTAGGCTTACTCCCTGAGTTCTGTTTCGGACTCGATGCTGTTTGGGTTACCATGTGGCTAAAAGTTGGCAGCTTGTTTTGGCCAATCCAGAATCCACTTAGGAAGTGAGTAGGAGATGGTTTCCTCTATGTTTGATATGATCCCTTCCAACGATCTGGATTACATCATTTGTGTATGAGACCTGCACACTATCATCATCATCATCATCATCATCATCATCATCATCATCATCATCATCATCATCATCATCATCATCATCATCATCATCATCATCATCATCATCATCACCGTCACCATCATCGTCATCATCATCATCATCACCACCATCATCATCATCATAATCATCGTCATCGGCTTCTTATTCTTGTTTTTCTAGCATATGCAACATTCGTCAAATGTCTGCGCCATAAGTGTCCCCAAGAGCAGTTGCTTCACATCACCTTGTGGCACACGGCATTCACTTTTTTCTTGAGTCTTCTTTACCTTTCGGCGGCTTCGCCTATTGGTTTCCTGATGAATTCATTCCCTCTACCCCCACCCAGAGGGTCCCTTGGTACCTTCTGAGGAGGTACTGAACGACCCCTTTTTACCCCCCGAAAAAGCCATCCTCATGAGGTACCAAGGGACCCTCTTGGCCAAAAGAGATTCTCGGTTTTCTTGTTTTTTCGGCTCGCCTCGGATGTTTTACCAAGGTCGGCCCTCGCGAGTTTGGGCCCAGATCTGCTGGTGGAGATCTTGTCTTACATCACCCACTCCTCGCGGGGCATCAGCTCTTTCGGCGCCTTTGCTTCGAGTCAAGGGGCCTGGCCATCTGAGACACGGAATGGGCCAGCTGGGAAGTTGGAGGAACATGGGTGTTTTGTTGGTCTTTTGTGGATGGCACCTGTTTGGGATGGTTTTACAGGGAAACCCAAAGGACCTCCCAAAGGCATTTTGCAGGGGTCTCCTGAAAAAAGAAAAACCCAGAGACATATCGAACGATCCTAGGTTTTGGGGGGTTTTCCCCTTGAGTTTGCTCAAGGGCACCAACAGGAAGCCAACATTTGTTGGCAGGCCCCCTATGATTTCAGAACAACACCACGAAGAACTTTGGGATTCCGTTCAAAGCACCATTTGCAGGGTAATGTTGAGCATCACACTTTGCTGGACCAGAAGGGGGTGGGGTGAGGCAAACAACCTCTTGATTATTAGCATGAAACCCAACCAACATATTTGTAGAGAGTTGTCCTTTTGGGAATTGGACCCTATTTTTCGGGGTTCTTCCGTTGATTTGCAGGGGAGTCATCACACCAAGCCCAGTCCATTTTCCCACTTCAGTACAAATCCCTTGTTGGCTTCCCCACTAATAGGCAACCCCGAAAAAGGCTTCCCTTTTTACCAGGGTCATCGATCAACTGGTGTTTAGCCCACTTGAATTCTTGGGGATAACAACAATTTGCGCGGGATTCCGGCATGTTGAGCTCGATTTGATCGAAAAAAACACGCACCAAAAAGGAAGCCCCAAGGAAGCATGCAGGCTTGAGAGGGGCACTTGTGTTTCCCGCGCAAAATCACTTGGAGTTTGGTCTTACCACGTCCAGTTTTTTGTGAACCTGCAACTGGGGTCTTGCTTTGGCACATATTTATTGGATCTGGAAGAACCAATTCCAATCATCACTCCGTGGTTGAGACATGGATTCACTAAGCTTGAAGCATACAAAGCATGGCTAGGGTTGGGTGAAAGTAGATGGCATAATGCTCCCACGTTGGTTTGTTATGCCCTTTCAATACCCCATCCACCGTGCCAGATAAGTTCATCTTGTTTTAACTCGCGACATTTTGAACATTGACTACATCCCCCACCAGCACGGAGTGGTTGTCCGGTGGGTTTCCCACACCTGTGCCTTGCTCGCCTAAATGGGGCACTGACGCAAATATTCGTGGATTCTGCCTGGCATCGATCACGTTATTTGGTGCTTCCTTCTTTCTCAGTCCAAAGCGAGTAGAACGAATCTGACCTTTTGATAAAAGCACTTGTTGGTTCAGTTTTAGTCGCTTGGCCCCAAACAGTGATTATCTTGTATTTCCAGGTCCCTTCCGGGGCGAGTGAGTTTTTGCCCAATGGAATCAAACCACGACTCAAACTTGCGTGGGTTAGGGCCCGCATAGGGATGGTACTAGGCGTAAAGCGGAGACGTGTCCAAAGGTAAGTTGAACATGTTGCTCAAAATGGGATAGTCCAAAAATAGGCCCTGAACTTGCAGGGTTCGTGGAAAGAACAAAGCTGAGCGGAGCAAACCTTGTTGTTATCAGCCCCAATTGGGCTGCGTTTTGGACAATTTGGGTTTGGGTGCATATGGGATGCATGGGAAATAGCCAAGTGGTGGGGGCGCCTTGTTATGGTCATTGGAAGGTTGGTGTTTCCGTTCGCTTATGTTGTGCCTTTGAAAGGTTTGACACCTCAAACACAAAGGCTTGAGGTGCCAACAATTTTGTGCGCAAACTCTGACACTCACCCCCTGAGTGCCGTGATTGGGAACGACCATATCAGTGGCACAGAGAAAGATCAGACCTTGTTTGGACAATCCACTCGATCGGAAGTTATGGTCTTGTCTAGAAACCCTGACTGACGTTTTGACATCGAGAATTTCTCCCCCCAAACCCTTAAAACCACCCCCAAAACCACCAAAAACAAAACAATCACGCACAAGCCCTCCCCGCCCCCAAACCCTTGAAACCACCCCCCAAAACCAAAAAACTGGAACAAACCCCCACCCATGCACACACTAGGTCCCCCAGCAGTGCCCTTTCACCCTTTCTGTTTTGGGGGAGTTCCACCAACATAGACTACTTAATTGAAAAAGCAAAATGATACCAACTTATTCTAACCTCTCTACTCCAAAACCTCGCCACCTCACCTCGGCGCGGTGTTTTTTCTTTTTTTCGCCGAGGTGCCCTGTGCCAGCGGATCACCGGCACCCTGCAGGAGGACAGCGCCTGGCGCCACCTCTGCCGCAAGCGCCTCGCCACGGCGTGCGGGCGATCCGGTTTTTTTGGAGGATAGGGGGGTTTAAGCCGAATGTGTGTCAAAGGGGTGCCCCAACTCGCAACCTGTTGAATGTTTCAACTCTATATTTGTTTCACAAAAGTTGAGCAACTCGGAACTTTTTGGGTGCCACTCAAGCGGTCCAAACCCAACAAGTCACTAAAGTCCGAGTCCCGGAACTCAGGGAGTGAGTCTACATGTAGTCCTCCCTAAGATACGTGGGTTGATCAGTATTCCGTGAAAGGCCCCCAAATGACCAAGGCTACCTTTTCCCATGTGGGACACATCATCTTTCGAGCGGATGTTCCCAACGATCATCCCATGTAAAGGAGCTCTTTATCAACCCCCATATCTTGTTCTGGCACCGATTTTTTGGGTGGTTTAACAAGGAAACATTGAAAGGATAATCGTTGCGCCATGTTGAGGGGTCCCCTAAAGACTCGGCTCCCGAAGGCCATCCGGTTCCTTGTTTAGCCTTTGGGTGGTTCGTGGTAGAGTCCAAAAAACAAAAAAAACTTTCAGAGGGGGATCTGAGGGCAGCCCGGTTTTGAGAAGACTCGTTCAGAGGAAAACACAAGGTTTGAACGGTTTTTTGGACCGTCCACTTATGAAGAGAGAGTTGCGCAAGGCAACCAGCAAAGGTTCTAGGTTTAAGTGGGGTAAAGCCCTTATAAACCTTTATAACCATGTTAGAACCACAAGCTTTTGGGCGCATTCACCTCGCGCAGCCATCCCACATGGTACTTGCACATGGCATATGCGCCAGAATAGGCGTGTGATACGTCATCAGCATCCCAAAATAAGCTCTGCTTAAATCGGGACCCTCCAAATGCGTGGTTCCGTTTTCCCTTCCAAACTGATGGAAAGGCACCCTCGAAGCAAAAATAAAGCGCCTCGATTTGCCGAAAAGACACCTGTGGATGGACAACATCCCGCATGAGGTGAAATGGACAAGTCAGGAAGGGTACTAGGTTCCCCCTACTAAAATAGACTACAGAAAATAAGGGTACCCTTATTCTAGCCTCTCTACTGGAGGACCTAGATAATATTGGAGAAACCAGCGGTCAACTGTTGTTGATCGGCGATTTTTCCTCCATCCACAGGTCCTAGGCTTCCATTTAGTCAAGAATATGTGTTTTCCCCTGTTGGTTTTAAAGGGAATCTATCACTATTGGATTCATTTATTTGTTTTCCAGGGACTCAAGCAAATGGAGGTAGGGCTTCATTTCGTTCTCGGACTCGCGAGGTATTGGCATTCCACGGATGCTCGACTGAAGGATTGGCCGGCTCTGTCCGCCAGAGGCCGAAGCAAATTCAGTGGATTCAGCCTAAAAGCAAATTCGGTGGTTTGTCCTTTAGGGTTCCATTTTCTCGGCAGGTACCAAGTTGGATGCAGCCTATAAAAAATCTGCCAGGTGACCTCCGGCGGAAAATGGGGTCGGAGCAAGGGTTTTCTTTTTTCAAGAGGGGGGAGGCCATTTTTCTTTCCCAGCGGTTCCATTTTCCTGGCATGGGTAGGTGCCAAGTTGGAACCAGCCTTCAAAATCCGGCAGAAAATGGCTGGTTACCTCCAGCGGAAAAGTGGGGTCCCGTAGCTGAAAAGCTGGGTGCAGAAGCACTGCCGCTGGACCCTCTGTTGGGATGATTATAAAGGGAAACAGTCGCCATTTCAGGGTCGAATCGATTCTTACAAACTATCATGGGTGGCTCGTCTTTTTTTCAGGGGACTCCAAACAAATGGTGGTTGTCCTTTTGGCTTCAAAACAAGATAGCCTCAACAAAAGACACGCACAGATCAGGTGTGTCAACCGTCTGGCTTAAAAAGCCAGGTGAGATTTGCAGGGGCCGAAAGGAAACCTGAAGCCATTGGCCCTTTGGAGAAATGTCAGTAGGATTCACAGTGCCGATTCCATGTCCCTGCTTAGGTCACCAGGTTTCCCTCCCAACGGGTCACCTGGCGTGAGGACACCTCCCCAAATCTATCCAGTTGCCCGAAAAGCAGGTCACCAAGCAGTTTTCCACGCTTCAAAAGCCAGGAGCATGGATCCAAGGGTTGCCTGGCGAAACCGATCCCTGCACTGGGAGTCGCATGAGGACATCTTGATTGCGAAAGCTGAGATTCCTTGCCGACGCTTAAGGGAAGCCCCAGGTCCCAACCAAAAAATTGCCTTTTCCCTTGCGGGTTTTCCCTTGAACATTTCAGCCAAAAGGGTTGCCAACTCCAGAAAAGTTCACTTCACGAGTTCCTGGACTTTAGGTTTGGACAATTTTAGTTGCAAACGCCACAGTTTGGGAGCTGTTTGTGTCTTTTGCAAATCCACTCGATGGGAAGTGAGTTTCGGATGGCTGAGAGCAAGCCGAAATGAAAGCGATTTCAGATCCATATTGGGGGCTCAATTGCCAATCCGTTTAGTTTCTTAGGAGTCCAACACCCAGAAAGGTGATCCGACCCAACATTTCCCGTGTTTCTGGGTGCGGGCGCTTTATCAATGGAGAGCCCTTTTTGCAGCGGTCCACACAGTTGAGCCCCCCTCCATTGGTTCCTTTTCAGGCGCAAACCAAGCCAGGATTTCCATCCTGAAAAGGTCGGAAATGAAGGAAACCAACCCATAGCCAAAAGGAAAGGATAGTGAGTAACAAACAGTTGCCACATGGGGCTGTCTTTTTGTTTGAGGTTATCATCTTGGGGAGTTGGTTTAAAACAAATATGCGGAAAACCGCCAATTTTGGGGGTTCCACACCCACATGGACCCCAATGGCCCACCCATTTTGCTGGTTGAAATCTCGATGTGCTACGCGTACCTATTGGTTGACAGCTGCTGGCAACCACCATCACTGCACATATCCACATCTTGGGTTTGTTTGGTTTTCCGTCGTAACTATTTTCCAGTGCCTTCACTTTCCAGCTACTAGTGGCTGGAAGCAAGTGGCTACTTGGGGTTCCAGGTACCCTGGATGGTGGCGAAATCCATGAGGCACCGCTTCGAAACCATGGTTGAAACCATCTTTGGCTGGGAAGTTGCAAGATCTATCAGACGCCAGAGGTTCTTAGCTGCGAAATAAAATGTTCGCAACCAGAGGTTCTTGATTCTCTCAAGGCTTAGCCTTCAACCAGCAGGTCTTTGGCGTAGGGCGTGCATCGAGAGGCCTCTACCGGGCGCTGGAGCAATGGATGCCGCTGGAAGGCGCCCAAAGTTGATCCAACTGGTGTAGGAGTTCGTGCATTCACAGGGGTGGCCTGGAGGGGTTCCTATCCCAAGCCTTATGGAGGGGTGGCCTTATTTAAGCCAACCTCCTGTTGCCACATCCTGTCGCCCTTTGGGACCTTTTGGTTGTCCACTTGGGTTCCCATGCCGATGCTCGAAATCCCATCTTGCGCCTAAGAATCCCTGATGGTTTTCCATGTATATACCAAACGTTCTGGTTGTCCATGGGTTCGAAGTGGTGCGAAATGGATTGCATCCACAGTATTTAGGCATGACCCCAGAAGGTTAACTTATAATTCCAGGCTCTTTCAGAAACTGAGGTACGACTGGCTGGTTCTCAGGATCGCGAATGAGACCATTTAGCTACTTACTGAGTTACTTACTCACTCCCTGAGTTCATGGACTTGAGTCAGTTTCTTTTGTAGCAAACCCATGTTGTTGGCGAACAACAAGTTGGGACGTGTTTTGGCAAACCCACCCAGGAAGTGAGCAACAAACAAACGAGGAAAATGGGGGTCCATGCAACAAACACACTAAAAACACCTAAAACCCTCCAACCTCCAGCCCCCCCCCCCCCCCCCCCAAACCCAAAAAATCCCTTAAAACCTCACTAACCCCCACACAATCCCACAAACCCCCGTGCAGGTGTTGGTCCAAGAGTTGCAGCTTCATGAAAACAAACCACTCAAATGCAACTTGTTCGGGAAATCAACCCCACCCCGTGGAATTCAACCCATGGGTGGTTTTGTACTAAGGAGGCATTGCTTGATGCTTGGTGTCGTTTTCAGGCAAGCCTGGGGCCTCGAGCAACTTTTTCCTCTGGGCTCGCACGCTGAGAAAGCGCGCGAAGATGGCCAGTGAGCTCGTAAACCATTGGAAGGGCGGTCCCAGCCTACTGCGGATGGTTCCCTGCACATACCGAACTACCACGGGGTTTCCTTGGATTCTTAGGTGGAGCGATCGGATGTCGCAACCATCCACATGTTTCCCTTGCTTGGTTTGCAATCACCCTTTTCTCGCTTTTGCGATAGGCAGGGAATGACAAATGGAACTACTTCCAGGAAAACCATCCCGAATTTGGTTTCCTTCGAGGGAATCCCAAAACGGTTCACGAGAAGATGGATCGAAGTGTTTTCTTTGCGGAACGGATGTCTGGGATCTGGGTTCCATTTGAGAAGTTGTTCCCTTTGGGTTCGGTGAAAAGGGCCCCTTGTGTCACAATTGCCTCATCTTGGCCTGGCGACGAAGCTCCAATCTTGTGCGCACCCTTCGGAACCACAATACAATGGAACTTACGGTCATAGTAGCCTGGCGTCGGAACAAGCGTTCTATTTGGTTTTTTAGCGGTTGCGGAAATGTTTGCTTGTTGCTGTTTTTCCTGCTCCGGGTTGGCTGCCAAAGCCCCTCCCCCCAACATGGTGGTGTTCCTCTTGGTCTCCAGAACCACAACCCTCCAAGAAAGACAGACCGACCCATTCTCACTTCCTCTTGGACTTCAGCCACTTGTTCGGTTTGGACCATCTTAGTCGCAAACAAACAGTTTGAGGGCTTTTTCTCGGCCAATCCACTCGCTCCAACGTGACCATGGGATGTGGAGCCCCGAAACGGTGGTCTTTTCTTTTGGTTTCCCCTACCGACCTAAAAAGATCGGGTACCCTCACAGAGCCACCGAACCCTCAAAAGCAACGCCAGTGTCAAGGCCGTTTTCTTCCATCCACAAGCCCGTGTCCGTGTGAAGTGAGCATTGAAACCTCATTCGGGCTAGGGGGAGGAGGGAGGGAGGGAGCCCAAATACGCCCTTATGAAGCCCTTAGAACTTTTTGGGCTCCCCCCCCCCCCCGGCCCATGAAAGCCAACCTCCCACCCGAATGGACCGGTCAGGTTTCTACGTCCTCAGCTGCGCCTTCCCCTGGGGGCTCTTGGCCCTCCTCCGCCCCTCGGCGTGCGGCGTGTTGTTTTGGGTTCCCGCGAATACGCGGCCGGAACTGGCTGAACATATCTGTTGATACCTTAACAGATCCGGTGTTTTTTCCCCCTCTCCTTGTTTTTCTTTGGGGGGGGATCCGCTTGGCTCACCCATTTTCATCCAGCCCAAAATGCGCCTGACACGTGTGTTTGGTGTTTCGTGGGTCGTAGTTCCCTTTGGTTCCGAGGTTTCACCAGCCCAAGTTGCGTTCTAAAGCATCTGGTGTCCGCTTCGGTTCCCTTCCCAGACACTCCAAAGACCAATGTAATATGTTGTGTGTGTATTCATATATATATATATTGCCTACATGGCACATGTGGTTTTTTAAGCCACGCCCACAACGGGTTCCCCTAGAAGCAGATATATATATATATATGTATATATATATATGTATATATATATACATGCACACAGTTTGACTCCACCGAAATCCGCTTCGGATTGGTGGCTCATCAAACAGTAGCATGGGTTTCGTTCGTCCGGGGTGATGTTTCGGGAAAATACGGAGCTTGTCTAAGTGTCCGAGCATCTTGTTGGCCAGGGCTTCAATAAGTAGCATCATGTCCCTCGGACCAAGTTGAGTTTCATGGTACCTCTCCATCCGAAATGTCGCCCACCTTTTTCCTCAGAAAGCCGCGGCTCCGCGCGCGCGCGCGCGGAGTCGCCGAGTCGTTTCCGGCACCCTCCTTTCCTCGCTCGCTCCTCGCCTCGCGCCTCTCGGAGGCATCGCGGAGGGCCGGCTGGAGGCCAGCGTGGTGCGGTTCTTGCCGTCGCGGGACGGCTCCTTCCGGGAGATCCAGGTGCCGCTCTTCGAGGCGCGCGGAGAACGGAACGGAAGGTGGGGCGTTGGGTGTGTCAGGGGTCAAATTCTGTTGGGTGTGTCGAGGTGGAATTTCGCTTCCCCATGCCATGAATTGTATGATGTCTTTGGTTCTTTTTGCCTGGATGTTAGGACTTTAACTTGTTGCCAGTTAATGGGTTTTCCATTAAACCACTAAAAGTTAAACTTTTAGCAGGGGAGCAGAAAGCAACGGAGTTTTGTTGAGTCTTGGAAGATCACGACTAGGGCCTTCAAAGTGAGGTTCCTTTGGGGCTGATGGCTTTGGTTTGGACATATTTCCAGAATCCTATGGGGACCGGAAGGGTCAAGAACGCGGCCCTGATCCTGATCCATGACCCTTGCTTCCGCTTGGTTTCTGAATGAGAGGCTTTTCGGGTCCTACAAAACCATTTGCTTTGGGATCTGCATTGCGATCGAGCTATCCTCGCGCTTTGGTCGCGTCGCTTTGGTCCCGCCCCAACAAGAAAACACAATGCACAAAAACGCGGGATTGTAGGTCCGTGATGGAGTGTTTAATCTTAGTCTTTTCAGAACAAAAGCACGGGAGCTGGTGGATGGTCCTGACAGCGAGCGGTAGCCATGAAAGCGAAAATTCATCAGGAAGCACTATTTGGGAGTTGGCTTCGTGGGTAACCCTCCACCTGTGTCCCTGTTTTTGATGCTGCCCCAGAAACCGATGCATAAGCCCATCTTCCCCTATTTTCCGACCACTTTTCGGGATCCCAAGGACACCTGTTTGAATTGGCACTTTGAATTAGTGTTCATTTATGGCGAGCCCACCACGAGCTCACCAGAAAGCTGCTTGAGTTGGGGATCCCTTACTTCACTGATGCCGGTTTTGGTGACAGTGTGGTTGTTTTGCAGATCAGTGTCCCATTATCGGCAAGAGCCGTTTGTGGGCAAGGTGAGGTGACTTGAGTTTCCTTTTGGGGATGTTAAAGGGTTGGCTCGCAAAGTCAATTTTCCGGACCGATATTTTGTGCGGGTTGATGGTCCAAAGTTCTGTTCCTTTACTTGGGGTTACCATGGATGGTCCTCCACCGGGTGGTAAGGATACTTGAATGACCGTGATAATTCATATGAAGGGAGCCATGACCATAGGCCATGATGTCTCACGTGGGGGTTGATCAATATGTATTGCCCCAAAATGATCATGGGTAGCTGTTCCCAGTGAGTGGTGAACATCATCATTTGTTTATGGCTAGGTCCCCCAGCGGTGCCCTTTTACCCTTTTTTGGGGGAGGGTTCCCCTACTAAAATAGACTACAGGAAAAAAAATCGGGTACCAACTTATTCTAACCTCTCAAATCTGGAGGACCTAGATGGTTTCCCTAATGGTCAGCCCATGTAAACTGTTGATCAACCAGTTCCCACCATTAAAACAATTGGGTTCATAGAACCACCAGTGTTTAGCGTTCAGGATGGTCATCATCCAAATTGGGTCACCCCTTCCTTTTAATGGGGGCAAGGAACCCCAGGGCATGGATAGAACATATCTAACTGATGTTCTAGGGGTACCTTCCAATTCCATTCTTTCCAGGCATGCATCTTTTCTCAAAACCACCCCAAACACCGGGGAAACTGCTGGTTTTTGAAAAGAACGATGGTTGAAAAGAGTGGAATTGGAATCAGCCCGTAGAGATCGTAGAGATGTAGGTTCAACACCCCAGTAGGGCTCCCAATTTGGACCCCTGGCTGTTGCGGGCTGTTGAGTGGTCTACCAAGCGTGAGGTGAGCATCAGCGAGGACAGACCAGGCATCGTCAGGACAGATTGGGCGGATTCGCAGCTTTTCGGACGTCAGCGGTGGATGGACGAAATCCTGCACCGCCTAAGACACGCTGGTTTGATGATTCCCCTGTAGATGCCAGCCAGCATTGGTTTTTCATGTCTTCACAGTGGCAGGAGTTCGTCCAACAGTATGGGGCTTTCTCCAAAGTCTCACTCCCTACCCATGGAAGTGCACAGGACCCCTTTCCAAGAGGAATGCAGCTACAGGGCTTTGTGCACTTCCATGTTAGTCGGTGAGGGTATGTTCTTGGACTTTTAGCTTTTGGGAGAGCCATGTTAGTGGTAAACAAACAGTTTGGACTTATCTTGACCAATCCACTCGGGAAGTGAGAAATAGAGGGACCCCCCCCTGTTCACTATCTTTTCAAGGGACACCAAGAGGAAACCGCCCATCTTCCACGAGTTTGTTTCTGGATTTTGAGCAGCACCCTTATCCAAGTCCACCCACCCCCATTTCACCCACCCACAAAAGGATGCCTAAAGGGGTACAGCAGGTTTTTTGTTGACCCAACAAGCCAGTTTAACCGGGCCTTTGGAAGGTGGCTTGCTTACGGAAGACAACATAGGGGTTGATTCCAAATCCATTCTTTTCGACCCCCGTTCTTTTCAAAAACCGATCGCTGTTTCCCCGGTGTGTTGGGGTGGTTTTTAGACAGAAGGATAGAATGGAATTGGAAGGTACCCCTAGAACATCAGTTAGATATGTTCTATCCATGCCCTGGGGTTCCTTGCCCCCATTAAAAGGAAGGGGTGACCCAATTTGGATGATGACCATCCTGAACGCTAAACACTGGTGGTTCTATGAACCCAATTGTTTTAATGGTGGGAACTGAACCCCGGTACGCGCTTTGCTTTGATCATCAACACTGGTGGGTTATATGAACCCCCCATTGTCCCAATGGTGGGAGCTGAACCCCAGGAAGGTACCCCCAGACCTCAGGAGCGCCGTGTCGGCGTTCTGGCGCAGCGGGGTCGAGAGCGTCTTGGCGCCGCTGGAGCCTGCGGAGCTGTTGGCGTGCACCCGGGAGCCGAACCCGGGGGGCAGGGGGAGCTGGAGTTGAATTTCAACCTGCGTCAGGTAAGCCGGGTGCCGCAGCCAGGTGCCCTTTCTCAGCCGTTCCTTTTTTTGGGGGGAGGGTTCGGGCACCCTACTAAGAGAAAGGTGAAGAAAGTTGGTAGCAACTGCTTCTAAGCTCTCCACTGGAGGACCTAGACTTGTGTACTTGATTGGGAGGGTTCGGGACCCTACTAAAACAGACGTCCTGAAAAAAGGAACGGTACCCTTATTCTAACCTCTCAAATCTGGAGGAGTAAGTCTCACTCCCTGAGTTTGTGGACTTCAGACGGTTGGAAAGACCATGGTCGCAAATCAGAAAGTTCAGGCTTGTTTTGGCCAAGTGAGAAGTAGGGAAAAAACATAGAAACTTATGGTTATAAGCCCAACTCACCCCACTGAACCGGTTATAACCTTGGTTGTAGCCTATACTAAGTAGGTTGAACATCCAAGCTGGATTGCAATGCTCACCCTGCAGTAGAACCCAACTCCTGGGATCTTAGGGAGGGTGTTCGAGTCTTCCCAAAAGTGATCCGGATTTCCACCAGGCGACCCCGGCGCAGTGGAGAGGGGTGGGGTGGTTTTGGTGGTTTTGGTGGGGTGTTCATCACTCCGGGGTTCACAGTTGGGCCCCGGTCTCCTTGTCTAGGTCCCCCAGTGCCCTTTTGCCCTTTCTTTTTGTGGGGGGCGGTTCCTCTACTAAAATCGACAAAACTGAAAAAAACAAATCGGGTACCGACTTATTCAAAGGTCTCTGGAGGACCTAGTTGTGGCTAAGGAGCCATCCTCCCAGCTCCCAAGATTCCGCCAGACTTCGAAGGATCCTCGTTGCCGATTTCTTTTTGGAGACATGCGATCTGAACCATGGGCCGAGGATAGATCCCGCCTAGAGAGTCGATCCGCGAAGTCGCCCCCAACAACTGGTGTCGTTTTCTGTTTTCCTCCTAGATGTGTCCGAAATCGCAAGTGCTGCCCAAGACCTGGTTGCTGTGGGGAAACAGTTTGCACATGTTTTTGCGTCTTGTGGTTTAGTGGTGGAAATCCAAACCACTTCGCTGCTCGAGTTGAAAGCTGCTTGGGTGTTCCTATGGTTCTCAAGCGCCCAATCCCAAGAGGTAGGGATGCTCTTGGATGTGTTTTTCTCGCCGCGTCTCTTTTCCAGAGATGCCTCTTTCTAGAGTTTGCCTCTGCAAACCCGAAGAAAACGGCGATCGGTTTCTGGAAAGAAGGATGGTTGAACAGATTGGAATCAACCCCTAGAACGGTTTGGGCTCGGCAGGGAAGATCCGGGCAATGGCAAGCCTCAAACCGCAGACCCAAGCCTCAACTCCATCGCTTCCGAACTCCGTGTTCCACCAGATGCATGGGGAGGGTCCCTGACAAGCATGGTACTTTGTGTCTCAGCTATTGGTGGACACTTGACATGACCCGCTCACCTAGCATTAAAACAATAAAAAACAAACTCATATTCACCAACATCTCACAGCAAAGCTGGAGCCAAAAGTGGCCAGCCTCGGCCCTCAGCCGATCTCAGGAGTCCCAAATCTTCCACAGCCGCCGTATTGGCGCCAAAGGGCTCTTCCGCGCCCGGCGCGCGCTGCGGATCAGAGACGAGAGCTGCGAGCCCCGGAAGACGCCGAAGCGCAGCGCGCGCGAGGCACGGAGCGGGGCGGAGTTTTCGGGGAGAAGCCGTTTAAGGATTGGGTGGAAAGGCAAAAGGAAGACCACCCTCTGCGTGTGTTTTTTGTTCTCCGTTATTTTTTGGGGGGGACCCTAATAATGAAGAAATGCGAACCCATTTGGGCATGGGTTCAAAATTAGCGCTACCAGGATATGGATATCTTTTCTCGGGTTTTAGTCAACTCTTGTTCATTTACCAGGGTTCAGCTTTGGGTACCTATGTTTGACCCACTCCCATTCCTTGAACCGCTTAGGTTGGCATCCAAGAAGGTGAAGGGCAATTCCGCGGCCCCACCCGGAAATGTGGCTGCAAACCTCGGGTTAGCGCAAAACTCTGCTGCGATTGGGTTGGATGTTTAACTGTTTTGATTCCCCAAATATTTCCTTTTAAGTAGCAAAAGGTATAACTTTTTGCTGGGGGATCTACAGGACCCAAGAAAAGACTGCTCTCCAGTTTGAGGGTCCAGGCATTTGGGCTTGTGACGACCCCTGAGGTTCGCATCCGACCAAGACCCCCTTGCACAAAGTCAAACCTCGACCCTTTTGTTTGTTCCTGCTGTTTCGAAAGCGGTCCATCAACCAGAGGTCTGCATTCAACACATGTGAATCAAGCTTGCTCGCGAGATGAAGCCAGCTCGGTCAACAAGGCAGTTGTGGGCGGCTGGTTTCCGAACCGGGGGAAAACCGTGTAGCTTTTTGTTTTTCGAGGAAATCTCGTGGAAAGCCAATTCTTTCCGTTGGGACCGTAGCTAACTTCGCTTCAATCTGAGGCGAACGCGGCCGATGATTCAGGCCCCGGTGTGCCAAAGTCTGGGACCTCAATGGCGGTTTGCACTGAACCTGAGACGGGTGGGTTTAAAAACCACCCAGATAGACCTCAGGCAGGTTATTCGGGTGACAGAAGTTCCATGAAGGACGCTCATGGGGAACCCTTCTTTTTGGGTGAATGACCATAGTTCAGCCAAAATGGGTCAAGCCCGAAAATTCGGGCTTTCCATTTGGCTTTTGGGCAGTTTCAAGGTACACCAAAGGTTTCTGCGCTGCCATGCGGGGAAGAACTCTGGCGGATTCTGCACCGCCCAGGGAAGGTTGCGGAACCATCGACACCATCGATTGGGTATGTGTTTGACGAGTTTTGTGTATTAGCTAAAAAAACTGAAATGATAATTCCTTTGCAAATATCAACAAGCATAGTTTCAAAGCGGTGCATGATTTTGTCCAAAACCCACCTGAAAAGGGCACAAGCTTCCAACAAGATACTGAGATGCTGGTACTTTCAAAGTGGGCGACTGTTTGTGTGGAGCTTTGGTCGCCTTTTCAGGTTGGCTTAAGGGAAACCAACCGGACACCACCCAACCGGGGGGGGGGGGGCATATGTACACACCCATATAGAAGCATTCCGGTCCGATTTTTCTCAAGTCATATAGTTGCCCTATTTGTTCGGTGGCGCCCTTGTTTGGGTTCCCCAGAAGCAGTTCTCAAGCCCAAAAAGGGTCACTGGTTGCAACTGGGGGCTTTGCGCAAACTGCTTCGACCAGACCACCGAAGGGAACAGGCAACTTGTTGAGGAACGACCAGCCAACACCTGCTGGCGAAGCCGAAGTGGCGATCCATCTTGCAAATCAGCCACCGAAATCCAAGGTAGCGATGGACCTTGCAGATGAGCAACCAAAACATTGGGGCGGTGTGTGTTTTTAAGGGCACCCCCCCTTTCTTTCATTTTGTTTCTTAGGGCAACCCAAAGAAAACACCTTTATTCTTCTTCTTTTTTGTGGGGGAGTATGTTTTGAGGGTGTATATTCCCCTTTGTTTTCGGCTTGAAAGGGAAGGCAAAGGGACAGTGACCATTTTGGGGGGCACCCCGAGAAGACCCGCCGCGTATCTGAAGTTCGTGCCCTCGGGCAAGCATTGGACCCACCGTCCCGTTTCAGGCAGAGATGGCTACCGGAACGCGCTCCTTTCCGACGAGGAGGCATGGGGCATTTGGTTTGTTTTGTTTCTTTTCCGGTGCCAAAGAGCAACCATCTGCTTGGTATTCTCTAAAGGGGGAAGGACCCCCTTGAGAAAAGCTGGGTCACGCTTTATCTTGACAATTTCAGCGGGTACTACAGAAGCTTGGGTGGCTTCCCTTTACCATTATACTTCGGGCTGACTTTGCTAAAAAGTGAAAGATGGGCCCAGTGAAAGCATCCATTTTACCATGCGTTTTTTTTTTGTTGAGCAGCTTGAGGCTCTAGATGATTCGGGGCGCGATGGTGAAGGGATCCACGTCCTTTTCCCGAAGTGAGCGGTGGTGCGCCGTCCTTAGAATCCTTGGTGAACGCCTGCTTGGTGAAGCTAGCCACAAAGCGGTGGATGGACTAAACCCACGAAACGTACCAGCTAGGATGGGCGAAACACAATGAATAGTGTTGGACCCTCTTTACACGGACCCCCACCCCCCCCGCCCTCCCCCGCCTTGAACAGTGGAACCAGCCAGCTGGACCCTCTTTAGTGAAAATCCTAGGGGGTGTGGGAGGGACAGTGCCTACTGTAGCAAGGTCAATTCTACTTTAGTTTTCGAAATCTGACTTTCAGATTCCCAGCGCTTACGTTAACATTGCCAATTCTACTTTAGTATTGCCAAGGCTGACTCTCAGATTCGCAGTATGAACGTTAGTGTTGCCAATTCTACTTTAGTATTGCTGGTGTTGTCGTGATGTTTTGTGTAGTGTTGCCATTTTAGGCGACGTGATGTGATTGCGTGTGTGAGTGTGTGAGTGTGTGTGTGTGAGTTGTGCTGTGATGTGTTGTGATGCGGCGTGGCGCGTTGTGATGATGTGTGAGTGCGATGTGGCAGGATGCGAGGTCGCAGAATGGCAGTCGCCGCGGGCCGCGAGGCGTGCTGTGATGTGCTGTTGTGTTGGGTGATGCTTAGTTGTGCGATGTGATTTGATGTGACGCGGTTCGCGTTGTAAGGCAACATTTAATGTGTTGTACGCACCTTCTTGCCGGCATGTGTGTTGCACTTCTAAGATCTCAACGATTTGCTTCAGAACCTTCCGCTAGGCAGGTTGCGGCAGCGACTCCGAGCCGGGCGGGCATGTCAGTGGTGGAGATCCAGGGAGTAGCTCTTTCGTACATGCCTGTAAGGTACTTGGGAAGGAAGGGCATTGCTTTGAGAGAGATTGTTGGCCCCGTTGCAAAACAAAAAACTAATTCATGGTGCCAAGGTGACGGTGAAAGTGCTCGTCCGGAAGAACACCAATGACGAGGTCCTGCCTGTTTGTCACCCCCTGACACTCTCCTTAACCCCTTTCAATTCCCTTTCTGAAAAGCTGTGACCGCAAAGTTGTTTCTTTCTTAAAACCTTGATGCTGCCCCGCTTCCGAGGCTGAAGAGGCGAGCCTATGTGCCCAAGCCGCTCTGGCTGCAAACCTGGCAACGAGGGTGCGGGTATTGGCGGCAGCTGCGCTCACTCTGGGTACGCAGCGGGATGCAGCCCAACTGCCTCCGTCATGTTGGCACAAGGTGTATGTGTGTGTGCGCAAAAGCATAATCCGCAATAGAAGGTAGAAATTGGACAGCGCTGACATATGTGCACCAGGTCCCGGGTTCCAGGTGTCATTTTGAAATCAAAATACGTCCCAGGCATCAGAGGGACTTTCAGGGGGAGTGTGCTTCATGAGGCGGGACCTGCAGAATGTTTTCTGTCCCCAGCCGCATCTTGGCATAAGCGTGCGACGGCCAAGTTCCGCAGCTTCGCGATGCTGCCGAGTCTTGACTGCGGCGCCCACATCGGCTCGCTCGCCTTGTGGGCAGGCCTCTGCAGCTTGGTCGCAATGAAGGCCAGACTGGCCATATTCCCTACTTATTTGACGGGATGAAAAATAGACCCTAGTTATATCTTGGGATTATAAGTCATACCTTGCGGCTAATGAATTGTCATCTACATTCTCCAAGCCTGCGGGTTTTGGCGGCATGCATCAGTGTGTGGCGGCTGCTGAGGCATGGGCGTGCATCGAGGCCGCCTCTGCCAACTTTGAGGCCGAATGCTTAGCCAAGTGTATTGAGGCTGCGAGTTGGTCTTCAGCTGCCAACCTTTGACTTGCTTGCCTTTTCCTGCTCACGTGCTTGTGTTAAAGGACAGCCGTGCAAAAGGCCAACTTGTTCGTTCCACACAGGCGTCGTACGTTGACCACTTGTTTGAGGCCCACCTCCAAGTCAATTTCTGAGATGTCATACTTCCCCACGTTAAACGCTTCTCTTCTTTCTCATGTCGTTGCTTTGGGCCCACCTACAAATCAAGTTCTTAAGTATTGCCAAGGCTGACTCTGAGATTCCCAGTACTTACGTTAGTATTGCCAGTTTATCTTAGCATTGCCAAGGTTGACTCTCAGTCAGATTTGCCAGTACATACTTTAATAGTATTGCCAAGGGCCGCACTGAAGAGGGCCCCAAATGTCACATTAAAGAGGGTCAGGGCCTCTTGCGGGCATCCCCCTTTGTGTGAATGGTTGCCCGTACTTTGTTGTAACGAAGTTATCTTAAATTTGATGGCTTGGGGGCCGCTTCAAGAAACGGATTCTTAAAATGTTTGCCCGGAGTTGTTTGCCTGAGCCCGGGCAGAGCCAGAAAGCGAAAAAGAAGCTCTGCGTTTTTTGGATTTATTTATTTTTGGGGGGAGGGGGAAAACTGTCCACAATAGAGGACCCTTAAAACAGTCACAAAATCCTGGGTTAGAAAAAACGTTTCTAGAATAGATGGTACTCTTCCTAAAGGAGGTCCAACAGTACTGGGACAAATGGCCACCTACCAACTGGTGCAGGGCTTTGTCCATCCACAGTATGGTGAATGTGTAGTTGGGAGATGTGTTCTCAAATCTGGTCAAATTACTCACAAGTCGTACATGGCATTTGCTGAGCAAGGTTCCTTCAGTATCGTTCATTTGCTTAAGCATATGTTGGTTTTCCCCTTTTGGGTTTAAAGGGATCCATCACTACTGGACATATTGCTTCGATTTTTCTAGGGGGCGAAAAAGCAAACACGTAAGATATGGTGACCTCATTCCCCCCACCGCAGCTCCTTCTACATTCAGCAGAAATTTGAGGCTGACATTCAACCGGGGTTCTGCCAATTCCTGGGCTTCGGTACGCGCCGAGCCGCAGCCCAGATTGTTACCCCGATGCATGCCCAAACAAGACTCGCTGGCCCTTTCCCCCCTGGACACATGTCGTTACTTTGAACAGGTAGCAGGAGGGGCTGGAAGAGTATTGTTTCTGTGCTACACCGCGTTAGATAGTGGTTGCATACTTCAAGCCTCCACGTCTACGACCGACCCCATCACCCGGCTTGGGTTGAACAGTTGCAACTATCCAGCTGGAGCTGCAAAGCTGCGCTTTGTGTACTGCACTTGTATCGAATCGTTGCGACTTTCGAGCTGGAGCTGCGGAAGCGTCAAGCGCCGTCCCCCTGTCACACACCTACGCAACAAGGACCGCCGCTGCACACTCCGGCAGCAAGATTCGTGCCGCGTCGCGTGCTACATGCCCTCGAGAAAAACACGCTTTTCCCGCCAACCCCAACTCCAGTCTACTTAAGGGACGTTTTAGAAACAAATGCTAAACCACTTAGCTGACACTGAACCAATGCTACACCGATTCGAAACCAGCACAGGTCAGGGCACCAGATATGTGTTCAATTTTCCAAGTATTTAGGCAGTAAAACAACACAAATCTAAGTCACCGTTTGGGGGTTAAGCCTGAACATAAGGGGTGTCCCAAAACATGTAGCTCACCGTCTTCAAGGGGATCCCAGAATATTTGCTTCAAGGGCTCCCTGAGTTTATGGGTTTGATGCTTGTTGGGGGAACCAGTTTAGTAAGGGATTAGCGCACACAGAGTTTTGCTTTGGCAAGCCGACTCGTTCGGAAGTGAATTTTGCCTTTTGCAATCCGAACGAACCAAGTTTTGACGCGCCTTTTTTTCTGGTGCTCGGAATGCGGGAATGAACCCAGGGACTCCCTTAAAGGAAGCCACCAGTTGGATGGTTTTTCTTGGGGTCATCGCACCAGCCAGCTATGCCATTGCCAGGAGTTCGGCATCTGCGTCAGCAACTTGTCCGCGACCTTGCAGGGCTGGACACTTTGCCTCCAGCTTGTTTCAACGAATGGGCAGCGAGCAAAACCGATTCCCAAAAGGCACCCTCAATTGGGGTTGAAGTAAATTACTAGCCCATATGTCACCTTTAAGCCCCCCCTTGGTTGCGTTGAATGGGAATCCAGAAGGACACCCAGGAGCATAACCATCCCAAAGTCGGCTTCGTCCATCCCAGCCGGTGCTGGTTTTTGTCCAGCTAAGCGCTCTTCCTGGACTCAAACGCCGTGCCGTGGTGTTCTTTCTCGTTTGCAAAGGGCCAAGCACGCATTGTGTTCCAGGGGGACCTGTACTTAAGGCCTGCTAGCCCTCCCCCATCCCCGTAGGTATGGCTGTGACAAGGAAGAAGAAGGCACCTTCCAGCCCCTCTAATGGACCCAACAGACAAGGGTTTGCCTAAACCATATGCCGGCCACCTCTGAAGGGCAAACGGAGGAGTCGCTAAAAGTAAGTGCTCTAACCATGGTTTTAACAGGGGGCTGGCCCAAGCACCTTCAGCGAGCCGCTATTTGATTGGGGTGGTGGCACCCTTTTCTTGGGTCACATACTTCCGCCATTTCCTGCTGGTTTCGGGGTTGGAAGCAGGGTGTAAAAGGAGATTGTTCAAATTATAGGCCTAAAGACCCATTGGCTTGAATCCCTGTGAAAGTCCTCAAAACACATACTAAATCTTTGTTGGTTGATTTGTTTATAGTGGTTCTAGACCACACACCCCACCCCTATTTTCCCTTGGTCAGTTCGGGGGTTGGTGGCAACCCCTTGCCCACCATTTCGCACTAATATCCCCCAATTTTCTTGGGGCCAGGTGGGTTGCACCTGGATTGCTAAGAATTGGAACCGCCTGAAAGGTGGTGGGTGGGCACAAATGGGTGTGTCATTTTTTGAGGGTTCCCAATAGGGATCCCCCAAAAAATTGAGGGAACACTTCAGACAAATGGTTCATTTTTGCGGGACGTCCTAACAAGAAGGCCACACCCAACTCCCCACGTCCAAAGGGCCCGGCCGGACCCCGGTGGGCCCCGGCGTGCGCTGGAGGTGAGGCTTGGAACGCAGGGACGCTGGACGACTCGGAGCCTGGCCTCAGACGCCGCACCGAAGCCATGCTGCGGGACATGCTCACGCGGGGAAGCCCGGAGCGAGCGGAGCGAGGAGTTCTGGGGGTCAAACCAAAGGATTTGCCCCATTGGAGGGCCATGTTTTGTTTTTGTTTTTTGTTTTGCTTGGTGAATCCCGACTCAAGCAAAAAGCAATTAAACAGACATCTTCACTTCAAGCTCGAGCCTGTCGCATGTCCCATTGGACTTTTGGCGGGCAGGTTTGGGCGGCTTCTCAGACGCGACCCCTCCATCTGAGGCAGCGGATCCCCTGTGACCTGGCGCTGGTCCGCAGCCCCGCAGAGCCAGGGGCTCAGGGCCCTCGAACGGGCTGGACCCAACTCCCAATGAACCGTGGGCTCAGGTTCTTGGATCAAGCTTTCTAGTTGTTCTGTGGTTTTTCTTTTTTGGGCTTGAGGTTCTTGTTTTTTTGGGGCTTGAGGTTTTTTGTTTTGCTACCATACTAAGGGTTGTGAAGGTGGAACCCAAAAGGCTCCACTTCCAAGGAGTTTCCTGTATGCAATGGCTCCCCTTTGCCATGACTTTGAATCATTGCGGCCCTCCCTTTGAAAGTGATCTAAGATTCTTTCTAGGCGCTGATCAAGTCTTTTTGATTTACTCTGGGTGACTTTGATCAACGAGCTTGGGAGTAACTGATGAAAATCCTTGGGCCAAAATACACGAGTCCCAAATATTCACACTAGCCAAAAGCCACACTGTCACACTGGTTTCTTGTGATTCGCATCTCGCAGGTTCTGACCAAAAAAAGCCCGGACCCAGACCCCCTCCAACATTGGAGCTGGACGGGGGGTTGCTGCCCATCCCAGATCCATGAATCCTGGTAAAACAGGTCAAGGACTTTCCCACCCATGAAAAAAAGCCCATTGATTGCCTCCGTTTCGTGGCGAAATGGATTCCTGGGATCTGGGCATGTTTTTGGCCAGTTTCAATCTTGGCTCTCCCAGAGCCAATCGGCTCACAAGTGAGCGGTGTGAGGTTTGGTCAAACTTTCCTGCTGCAACGTGTTTTTGTCGATGGTGCTATGCTCTCAAACAAAAGTCACCCGGTATTTAGCATTCCCAAAGCCTAAAACAATGCAAGTTTACAGTTGTAAAACCCAAATCATCGTGATTATGGGGATGACTTTGAGCAAAAGCCACCTCCATCAACCTAGCCAACGCTTACTTTCTGAGTTCCTGCACTTTTGCTTGCTTTTTTTTGATCTTACAGCCAAACGAACAGTTTGGTTGCTTTCTTGGGCCAACCCACTTGTTCGGGAGTGACAACTTGGGCAATTGCTCTTTATATTATTGGTTTGCTATCCTTCATTTGGGTGTTTGTTTTAAGCTCGGGTTTCCTTTTAAACCCCAAACCAAGGGTGCCAACTCTGATTTAAAAAAGCATATTCATTTGGGTATGTTTTTGCTTCAATTTCCTTTCAAAACCCAAGCCAAGCGTGACTCCGATAAAAAACGCCAATTTTGGAGGTTTCGAGGGTCGCACCCAGGTTCGCTCCGTTGGACCACTCGGTGCCACGTCTACGGCCCGGGCTCTATGTGGGTGACTACGGCCACTCCATGTATGGCGCCTCGGCGAAGCCGGCGGTTGTCGTTTCTTCGGTAAGGTTTGCCGGCTCCATTCGTTTTTTGGGGAGACTCTCAAATTACTAACATCCTGTATAATCGTTTGCGCACCTTTCTGCTCAAATGCTTGTTTGCGCGTGGTGTGGTGTGTTTGCGCATCTTTTTCGATCAAATGAAGAACTGGATTAGTAAGTGGTTACTTATTTGGTTATAATTGGGGTATAGACGAATACTTAAGTATCTAGAATACCAATTTGCCAATCCAACAAGTATGTTCGTTGGGATACCTGGACCCTCAAACTCTGAAACATGGGATGTGACCTTAGAATTCCTGGTTGCCATTGTTTACGGTACTTTGAGGGTCCGCATAGACTATTTATGAAACCATGACAGCAAACATGATATTTGTTTGTGTGTTGTTCTTCTGTTTTTTCTTCGGGGACTGCCATGTGAGGGACAAGTCTTAGGATCCCGTGGTTGCCGGGTAAATTGATCTTCTTTCATCACGGACACTGCCATTGCCGAATAAACATGATGATGAAGATGAGGATGAGGATGAGGATGAGGATGCTGCTGCTGCTGCTGCTGATGATGATGATGATGATGATGATGAACATGAGCATGAGCATGATGGAAATTGAAGATGAATATGAACAAATGACACATGACAAATGACAAGCAACAGATGATCAGGGTCATGATTATGATCATGACCAAAGATGAACACACAAAAATGGCAAATGACAAGCAACATGAATCTTGACTGCTATTGGGTTGGATCTTTAGACTTTAACTTTTTGGGCAATAAAGGTGTTTCCACTAAACCCCAAACAAGTTAAACACTTTTTGCAGGGGGGTCGTTGCAGCAACCAAGGAGTGAACCTGGAAACTGAGGTAGGCTCGACTCGCCAGCGCGCGCCGAGGCCAGTTCCGCACGGAGGTGCTGCTCCTGGACTACGTGTCGCTGTCTCCCGTCCAGCTGCGGAACGAGTGCCAGGCCGTGGGGGGGCGATTTTTTGTTCGAGTAGTCGGTGAAGTGACTTCAAGGAGATGTGAAAAAAGTTTAAGAAGCCGCGTTGGGTTTGGGGAAAAGGGGTCAATAGTTGGGGATTCAGCTATCTAATCTCATTCAGATTCAGCTATCTAATCTCATTCAGGATTCAGTTGTTGATGTTGTTGGCATGGTTGTTTGGCTTTTGTTGGTTCTGTTCATGTTTAGTGGGCTGCAACAAAGAAGGTGTTTGGTTTTGTCTTGATGGCAAGTGTTTTTGCATTTTGTTGATTCTGTTCTTTTTCAGCAGGGGCCCGCAAAAAGGACAGTTTTTTGCGAGCATACCAAAGGTTGGACAGATACTTTATGATTAAACATCAAGAAGCTACTTACTTAGCCTCCCTCCCACCAACATAGCACGAGGTTGGAACATGTGATGTCCTTGGAGGGAGCCCCGGTGCCATGGCGTGAGTAAATCCTTTGGGGCACGTTGACCATGGTGGCTCTAGATCTCCATTTGCTGAAATTGGTTTTGTTTTTTGTCCCTCTTGGTTTTAAAGGGAGCCGATTTCACTGGACAAGTATGTTTTGTTATTTGTTCCAGGGGCGAAGCAAATGCAAGTGGACCTCCCAGGTGGATGGGTTTTAGCAGGGGCGAAAGCGGTCCGAGAAGAAGCAACATGTGTTGATTCCATCATACCCTGGTCCCCCTGAACTGGACACCGAACAGCGCGTGTTGAAAGAAGAAGTTGGCCCCAGCCTGTTCGGAATGCCATTCATAACATGAGTCGACGGGTTGTGTTGAAACCACTGGAAGGTGTTTTTGTTTTGAGATGTCACTTCAATGGACCAATCACGGTTGTTGTTGGGAAGCATTTTACATTTTTGCTTATTGTGATTTAGTGGTTGAAATCCCCACTTAACTGCTAAAGCTTAATTTGTTGCTCCCCTTCCAACGTCAACCCAGCAATTTCATGCGTTGTGGTCATCTTTGAGGCTGGCACCTTGCTCCGGTTGCTTCACGGAGAGTTGCCTTTTCAGGAAACCGCCGCCATGTTCCAAATGGTTTTTGTTCTAAAGAAGGGGGTGAGGGGGTTTTTGGTTTGGATCTCCTTCTTTGGAGTGGTCAAGTAACATCAACATCCAGGGGCTTCGAATCCTTTCACGCATAGCCTCAAACCCTTCAAATAGGATGTGGCAACTCATGGGGTGGTTGCAACCATGATGTGGTTTTGGCTAGTTTCAAGGTGCAGGTGCCCATTAAGACGTGCCTGTCTTTTTGGGGGGGGAACCTCCTTTTGTTCGGTTTTAACAGGACGCCAAGAGGAAACCCATCCTTTGTTGTTTTGTGTTTTTTTGTTTGTTTGTTTCTTTCTTTCTTTGTTTTTTTTTGGGGGGGGGTCACCTAAAAAACAACACACCTATGTGGAGGTTGCTTTTGCCCAGTTGCCCAGCCCTTTGAACTCAACCAAACAGGGATGAGTTTCCTCAGCCTTGGGCTTAGTTTAAGGCGACACGAAATTGAAGGCCAAGCCGGGCCTGTTGCTTCACCAAAAAAAAGGCAGGCCTTTTGCTTAGTTTTTAAGGGGGCACGAAAAGGAACACCAGGCACTTCGTGATTGGTTTTAAGAGGACACCAGAAGGAACACCAAAAAGAAACACTTTCATGATTTTCACCCTAAGGATCCCAACTGTTTTTGGGCCCTCCAAATGGGTTGTTGTTGAGGGCCCTTGAGCGCCTTGAGGGGTCGAGGTTCTCCATTGGAGGGTCCGGGGGTCTGCATTGAAGGGTCATGACCCTTAGGGCATGTTGTTTTTTGTTGCGGGGGTCCCCCAAAAAGATGAGCCACACCCGGGGCTGCTGCCTCAGGCCTCAGGCCCAGTTCGTCGCAGGACCCGCAGCTCTTCTGGCGACCCTTCGGTGAGCCGCCGCCGGAGGAGCTGCGGGCGCTGGCTGAGCTTGAAGAGACGCCGCTGGGCCCAAGCTGCCGCTCGCGGCGCGGGGGGGCGGGGGGGCGGGGGCGACGGGAGGCGACGGGAGGGGGCGACGGGCGACGGGGGGCGACCGGGGGGCGACGGGGCGGGGGGGGGGGGGCGCGTGGCAGATTTTCCAAGGCCATCGTAGGTAGCTGCTTGTGGAGAAGGGCGTGTTCCACATTGCCAATATAGATATAGCAGTAGCTCTCTGATTTGTTCCGAAACCATGGTAGCTACAAGTTCCAGAAGCATCGGAAATCAGCATGTAGGCTGAAGGCTAAGTAGCTTTGGAATGGCAGGGGTTGATGCCGACCGTTCCTTTCAACTATCGTTCTTTTCTCACACACGAATCCGTTTCCCCTGGGTTTCCAGAGGTTTCTGGAAAGAATGGAAATGGAAGGTACCCCTAGAGAAAGGCAAAATGCTGCAACCAAAGCGAGTCGACTTTTTCATGTTTTCCAAGTTTGGTCCAATTTGGTCCAGGTTCCACAAGGTGAACTGGTATTTCCAGGTCCGTTGGGCACAGAATGGGAACCAAGGATCTCGGAGCCCATGTGTTCTCCTGTGCACCCCTGCGGGGACATCCCCAGTCAACCATTGAATTAGGTCTCCCAAATTTGCAGGAAATGGGAAGAGTTGTGGGACACTTGACTTCGTTGGGGAATGTTGACAATGAGGACGGCTCAAAGGCTTAGACGATGTCCCATTGTCGAGTTGCAATCCTTCACTTGTTCCCATCCATCAATTTGGGACCCCTGGTCTCTGCCATACTCACGATTTCCCAACCCCGGGAACAACGTCTTATAAAGTTTTGAGGTTTTGACTGTCACATGTTCCTTGAGGATCACCTTCATGCGGGTGGTCAAGCAGTGCGGAGAGACTTGGGCTAACTAATGAATGGGAGTTCGGTTTCGCTGCAGGTTCGTCCTGCCGTCCTAGAAGTTGGAAAGCTGGGTTGTGGGTTGAACCATTCGGGTATGTGGGGGGGGAGGGGGGGGTTGATCAAAATCCCGTTCGGCCCCCAAATGACCATGGATGACTTTTCCCATTTAGTCGGGAGTATCATATGTTTTTAGTGTCCCCCATTGGTCATCTTACCCAAAGGACCATTTTGATCAACCCCATGTCAAAATAGGGGGACCGTGTAAAATAGCTGGTGTCCTTCTGATTTCCCTTGAAACAGACCCTAAAGAGGGTACCCTCAAAAAAAGGGCACGGTCTGTTTTAACGGGGAACCAAAAAAAATAACCCTTCCCACACCTGTCATGTGTTCTTTTCTTTTTTTTGGTGGGCGGGGGGGGCCTAAAAAAAGACACCGGTCGCGTCGATTTGGGGCATTTGTTGTTTGGTGCTCACTTGCGACCAAAGCGAATCGACCTTTTAGCCAATTGGTTTCCCTGAGCCGGCGCCTTTTTTGTCATCGCAGCCTTTCATTTCTGGTCCTTTGGGCAACGTGGGGAATTCCAAACAGAACGAGGGGGTGGCTCATGTACCAAACGGAGTGAGTGAGTCACCCGGTGTTTTGCCGGAGGACATCCGGGTATATCAGCAGCAGGATTTCCCAGGAAAAAGTGCGGTTGCCAGGCGTCATGAGAGTTGTTCAAAAGGGCTGCCTTTCGCACCCTTTGCGACAGCGGGGCAATGTCCTATACGATGGACCCGTTCACTTTGAACAGTCAGTTGGAGGCATACATTTCGTCAAAATAGCTCTTTTGTTATTCACATCGCGGTTGGAAGAAAACGTGGTGTTTCAGGCCCGCTTTTGGGAGATTGGTTGAGTGGAGGCTCTTGTTTCCATTTTTCTTGGAGGAACATTTCCCTTCAAAGTCAATCCAACAACAGGGCACGGCCCTTGAAGGGAAGTCCACCACTCACATGTCGGTTCCATAGGCCTCGCAGGGTCGAAAAGCCGAAGCTGCACCGAATGAGGGAATGACCCCTATAAACCTTTGGTGCATTTTGCTTGGCTGTTAGGACTTTAACTTTTTGCCAACTAATGGGTTTTCCACTAAACCACTAAAAGTTAAACTTTTGGCAGGGGAGCGGAAAGCAACCGAGAAACGATGGCAACTGCTGCTGTCCTTTGTTCGGGAATCCCTGGGTTCATTCCATCCCCGCAGCGATCGGAAGTTTTTGGGGGGGGCACGGGCCATTGGTAGGATTCGCTGGGTGTGCTTTGGGCCAACCTCCAGTTTCCAGGATCAGTTTTTTTGGGGGGGAATGAACCGATTTGGGGATTCCCGACTAAAGGAAACCATACTGTGGATGGACGAAATTCTGCGCCACCTGAGAAACCCTGCAATGATGATTCCCCCTGTAAATACCAACAAACCATGGTTCTCCATGGTTTCAAGGTGGTGCAGGACCCAAATCGGATGGATGCTTCGGGGAACCCACCTCCCTGCATCTCTCGCACAATCAAAACCCGGGTAGATGAAGGTTAGTAAGGGACAATCCCAACTATAATTAGCTGCGGCCGCCTTCTTAGTCCTTTACATGTTTCTGGGAAGACCATTTGAATACCGGGTTTTGATTAGGACTCAGGTGGGGCAAACGTGGGGAAGCGAAAAACAAGTCTAAGGACATCCACGTGCCCATGGGCGCAACGACCTTCGTGGCGGTGTGCAGTCCAGATGTCTCCAAGATGAGTGCCTTTGGGCAGGCCGCGCCGCGCCGCGTGCTCAATCGCCAGCCCGGGGCCTTAGTTTTGGGGGAAAAAAAGTTCTGACAGGCGGTGAAATACTGTGGATGGACAAAATCCACTTCGCACCACTTTGATGCGATGGGAAACCATTGTTTTCTGGTATTTGCAGGGGAAAATGATCATTCCAGGGTGTCTTAGGTGGTGCAGGATTTCGTCCATCCACAGTAGGGGAAACCCTTCAATGTCGACCCCTATATTGATGACGCCCATTTTATGAATAGGGGGGTGGGGCCCCCTCCAAAAGTGGTCTGATTCCCCACTAAACCCAGGCACACCCCCCTATTGATAAACTGGGGTTGATTTATATGAGGTGAACATTAAAAGGGATGATGTTTACATGTTGAACCCTTCAAGCCAATCCAACAAACAGGTACCTGGACCCTCAAACTACCCATAAAAGGGGGAATCCGCCCCATAACTTTGGGGCAATAGCACAGTGTTAAAGATTGAACTGCTATGGGTGGCTCATCTTCCTGGAGTTGGTACCCTTTTTGTGATGGCTTTACATGAAAATCAAAAGGAACACCACCCATTCTGGGTCCCCTAAAAAAGCCACACGCCCATACGCATTCAAGTGGAACATGCTCGACTTGGTTATCTCTATCATGCCCTTTTGCCGTGGGCGCGATGAAGGCAAATTAATTTCCAGGCAGGTTTGGGCCGGCAGGTTTTTTCGTGGGACACCATTTTTTCCTGGACAAAGCGAACGACCGGATCTGACCTTTCTTCGTCCCTTTTTTGGTGCATGGCCCGAAAAGGTGATCGGTTAGTACTTTGGGCAACTGAGAAAAGGGGAGTCCCCTTCCATATGTTTTATAGCTTAAGCTTGACTACATATGAGCGTCTATCACACCGATATGTATAGGGCTGGACATGACATACCAACATGTGCAGTAGTTGTGCCAAAAGCATGGGTTAAAGGCAAGGGGTTTCCCACCCCAGGGGAAAAACAAAGGAGGAGACGTTGGATATTGGGTCCCCCGCCTGCGCGCACTCGCCTTGTCGCAGAGGACCTGCTGCTTGGAGAGCCTCTCCCGGTCCTGGCGGGGCTTCGGTACTCTGGCGACACCAGGCCGGGCTCGCACTGATCGATCCGACTGCACGGATCCCGGAAGGGCGGCCAGGGGTGCCGCACCGAAAAAAGAAGGGATTTCGCCGCGTGTGTCTTGGGCATATGGCATAACTTTTGGCGGGTGTTTGTTCTTTCCAATGAGACCCGAAAACAAGGGGGACCGGACCGGGGGCGGCCAGGGGTGCCACACCTGGTCTCAAAACAAAGATTCGACCCGATGATTCACTGGACCCCCAAACTACCCCATAAACAGAGCTCACCCCTTGTGTTTGGGGCAATTACCCATGTTAAGTGGGACATTTGAGGGTCCAGGTACCCAAACGTGTTTTTTTTTTTGAGACCCCAAAACAAGGGTGTTATCCTTCGGGCTTTCCTTCACAACTACTAAAGAAGGGGTAGCCTCAAAACGACACCCCCATAGGTAACCCAAATGAGAAAAGCAAGAGGACAGTCGCTGGTTACTGTGGCAACTGGTAACTGGCACTCACTGGATTAATATTAGGGAGCATAGTCCAAACATTTGTTTTGTCCTAAGCACCCCAGAATTTGGCCAAGATTCTCCGGATGGACAAACTCCCCATAGGCACTGATAAACCACCTACCACGTGGTGCAGGATTTGTCCATCCACAATAGAACAGGTGTCTTGATCGTGACGGTACCTTGCTTTTGTAATTTGTCTGCAAGGGTAAGCAGAAGGGAAGCCACCCTTTTTCGGTGCATTGTCCTGTTTGGGTAAGTTTGGTCGACAAATGGAATATCCAGAGTTTTCAGTTTGGGTCCAGTCATCTACCAGTGTCACCTACCATGGCGAACAATGTCGAATGCCGAGGTTTAGGGTTGGACGTTCACCAAGTTAAGCTCACTCTGCGAGTTGAGTTGGGCTTAAATCGGTTTGAGTCTGGCCCATGTAAAGTGGTACACACAGTTTGTTCACTGATTTGTGTTTTCCCGGGCATCCACTCAGAAGCCAAGAGGGAAAAGACGTGCGCACACGCAAATGGGTGTGTGTCTCAAGGTAGCCCGCTCCCCAAAAAACCAGAAATCAATAAATACCAGGTGGGTGGTCCGTTTGTGTGGCATGAACACGATCCCAGAAAAGGGAAGGCTCAAGAAAAGGATAGCCCACATGCCACCTGCTCACGGAAGCCTGAGCTTAAAAACCCAGCCCTGTGGATGGCTGGAAGCGGCACGTGCCTATTAGCATTTCTTGGCACACCGCCCAATTGTGGCCTACCCATAAAGCTCCACTAAATAAAGGTGTGCTAGCTGCGCCCGTTGGTTGGGTATGCGACTTGATTGTTGCCCTAAGGGTCTCGATTGGTTGTTGGAATGGGTTGCTTTTTGAGGGCCCTTAAGGATTTGGTCGCCATGATTTCTCTATTGGGGGGGCCCCATTGGAGGAGTCACGACCCAGAAAAGGTACTCAGTAGAATCGCACACATAAAGCCCATTAGCCCCAGACGCCCAGTCAGACCACCTACCTCTTGCAGCTAGGGTAAATATTCCAGTGATTCCATTTAACTATAAAGTAGGCTTTAAGTTACCTACTATAGCGGCTTGCCACGCCTGAAATCCACTGGCTAACATGAAAGACTGGTAGCCATCCCAGCCTGGCGGTGTTTTTTTTTTCCGGAACCCAAACATTCTTCAAAGCTTCCCTTGGTTCCCAGCCTCCAATGAATCCAGCTGCGGGCATTCCGAGGCTTCGGCCGGCCCAGCTGGGCCGCCGGCTGGCTGGCGCAGTTCGGCGACGCGGCGACGGAGCAGCGCCTGGGCTTCGTGTGGGACCGGTCCCAGGACGCCGTGGTGCTCAGGTGGCCCCTCGGAGCTCTCGGGGTTCGGAGCGCTCGGAGCTGGGGTTGGGCGGTTTTGGCGACCCACCCAAAGCCCAAAGGCCCCAAAGAGGAGGATGAGGTGCTGCTCTGGAAATTGAAGCCAACAAGAAGAATTTGTTGGACGTCACACGGTGTTTTTTCCTCCAGCTCAAATTTAAGGTAATTTGAGGGTGCGGGTGCTGTTATCCTTTTAAGGGTGGTTGGGTGTGTGTTTCTGGACCTAGTGGCCTTGGGGTTGGTTGACTTTGGAAAACCATTGGGTGCCCGTATTCTGATTTCTCAGGGTCCCCCCCTTTTGCGTGGATTTAAAGAGAAAACCAAAAGGAAAGCAATCGCCATTTTGGCGGCGGGGGGGGGGGGGGGGAAGACAGGATTTCAAATGTCGCTTTAGGATCGCGACGGTTTTCAAACGTGGCGGGTGGTTGCAAACTCCAACCGTTTATTTCTGATGTCCATGTCGATGGATCCTGCACCAGTTAATATCATCCCGTTGTTGAGAGGGGGTGAATGCTTTCACTGTGGTTGGTATGTGCTTAGGCTGTTGTTTTGTTTGTTTCTGTTTACTTTTTATTGGGGGGCTGCAAAGGCACGTGTTTTTGCTGCCATACCAAGGGTTGGACAGATCAAGTGCTGCCTGCTTGGCGGGCAACTGAGGATCGGCCTGCAGGATTCGTGTCCCTTCTTGCAGAGGAGCTGGTTACCTGAGGATGTCCGATAAGGGTTCCCTACAGTTCCCACGTCCATTTTCCTGTATAGGTAACCAAGGGAAGCCTGCTTTTAAAACTCAATGGAAACTGGCTGGTTAGCTACTCTACTGGTACTTGGAATCCTCTTTGAGTTGACCCTGGGGTGATGGTAACGGGGAAGCATGGGAACCCCAAACGTGCGCTCGACGTGACTTGCCTCGACGCGACTTGCGAAAACATGACTGAGCGGATGAAGGTTGGGGTGCGGACGGAAAAACATATCCGCACAGATCGGCACCAGATCAACCAGTATTCAAATCGGGTTTATCCATCTCAACTGGAGCAGGATATGAGGTTTATTGAAAAGTGATCTTACTAAATCTTGGGTATTTGACAACACCGGCCGGTTTCAATTGGGTCTCCATTGGAAGCGGGTTTAGCCTTTGTTTCCATTTACCAAGGTGCAATGTTGGCTAGGTCCCCCAGTTTTATCCTTGTTTGGGGGAGGGTTCCCCTGCTCATATAGACATCCAGAACAAAGGGTATCCGTATTCTAACCTCTCTGCTGGAGGACCTAGTTGCGTACCAATTTTTGAGCCACAGTCAGGTCGTCTCGGAGCGAGCTTGGGCCCATGACAGTCCTTGGTTATGTCCTGTTTGCATGGCAGCTTGCCCAGAGAAAACTTGTCTGTCAGTTTTTTGGGGGAACCCCGGGTTCTTGGTTGGTTTGAAGGAGAAACCAAAAAAAACACAATTTTGGTGGGTCCCCAAAAAAATTGGACAAGCCCAACTGAGTTTGTGTTACCTCATCCTGCAGGTGAGGCCTCCCGGCCTCCCCGAATCGAAAGGACCGAGCTTCTCTTCAGGCGAATCTTTGTGGGTCACCGTGACGTGCCAACAATTTGGGCGCATGGTGCAAATTATATGTGTGTTTACTCAAGGCGAAGTATGAAAGCACCCAAAGTGGGACCAACATGAAACTGGCATAAAGTCACTTTATATGAAACCGAATGTGGTTGGTGTACGGGACCCAATATAAAGTTTCATCCGAAACAGAGCCAACATGTGTTCTTTCTTTTGTTTTTTCTGTAAGCGACCCAAGATGAAAAACCACTCCGACATTAAATCACCATGAGGCCGGCGTGAACCCAATAAGACAGCAGCACAAAACCAAACATGAAACCAGCACAAAGCCACCCGACGTGAAATCGGACAAACCTTGCTCAAAGCAACACCGAAGCCGACCTTTATATAAAAAGCAAAGCCAACAATGGACAACCATTCTCGTATATCTGCTCCCCATGTTAACATGGAACCCGCAAAGGGGCCCGCCATGTCTTTTCGGTTCAGATTCCTGACGATACTTCCGATGGTGCCATTTTGACCCGGGGAATTTCTCCCGTGTTTCTCCAAACCCGGGGAATGGCCCAGTTGCGAGGTTGGGCTGGCCCTAATGTTTGCGATGATGGCGGACGCGCTGCCGCCTCAGCTTCATGTTTCTTTCAGGACCTGGGCGTGTCCTTTTTTTTCGACGGATTATATTTTGGAGTGGGCTTCACTTTCAAATCAAGTCCCGCAAGAGGATGCCATAGGTCTTGCCCACCAGCTTGGGGTGAGGCAAATCGGTTTTTTTTTGGTTTTTTGGATTTTGCTTTTTGTGTGGTTCCGGAGTTTGTGGCATTTTAATCGTATATCTGCATATGATATGTATGTATACATATATATATATAATACATATACATAGTTGTTTTTACTCGCAGCTTGTGGCATGTTGTGTTTCTTATGTTCTAGGAAGGCCGGTTCCGGACCTGAGCATGTCCTCAAGAGGATCATAGAAACCACGTCACAAGTTCAGTGGATTTGAGAGCCCTTCACGAAGTCCTTTCTTCCCTTACCCGCTCAGCAGGTGATCAGTTCAAAGCACGGGTGTGCAATGCAGGTGTCCAGCACACTCCTTGTAGCGATTTGTTGCCCCTTACTCAAAAAGGCGAAGAGCCGGGAAAATGATCAGCACGCCCAGAAAAAGGCGCCATGCCCGGCTTGCAAGCGGTGTGTCTCAGGCTCTTCATCGCAAAGTACAGCAAGGCCTTGCGCGAGTCCAGAGACACGGGAACTATGGGCGCCAACGGAGGTACTCTCATGAATATGGAACCCAAACCGTGGCGTTTCGGGATGTTTCGGAGGCTCTTTGTGCAGAAGGTCAAGTTGCGGACAAGTAAGCAGATCCTGGTGATTTCGGACCAATTTTCGCACTCCTTTGGGGTCTCTGCCCAAAATAAGCTCCGGTGCGTGAGTGCATGCGTTCGTGGTGGGTTTAGGGTTGGTTTGGGTGGGTTCATGGTGTTGGTTGGATTGGAAATTGGTGGAGGGTTGGTTTTGGGTTGCTTTAGAGAGCGCTTAGGTATAGGCTGGGCTGGGTGCGGCAAAGGAATGGTTTAGGTTCATCTAGCATGGGTTTAAGGTGGGTACACTGGGTCAACGTTTGGGACCATCCTACACCTTTGCCCTTGACTAAACCGATGAACAACAAATTTGGGAAGCAAACGTTGACCAAGTTGAGGGACCCTGTTGGCCCTATCGCCAATGGTTTGGTTTGGAACCCGTCGAGTCCGACTTGAACTCTCAAGGGAAACGGCGAAATGCATTGCATGGTTCTTTTCACAAGGTCCACAACTTCATGTGAGTGTGTCTTTCTTAAACCAGCTCTTTTTGGGGTTCCCCTATTTTAAGACCTTAAAACTGGGGATGTCAATGGGGATATGCAAGCGGTGCTTTGGGGGAATATACTGCAGGTACCCATGAAGACATCAGGTGCCCTTTCGCTGGCACCGAAAAGGAGGGTGCCTGGACCCCTTTCCTCGACGAATCGGAAATTTCGGTCCCGGAAGCTCGGAGTTCGGAGTTCTTTCAGCCGAAAAGCGAAGCTTCGGACACCCCAACAAAAAGCAAAAACGCGGGTGCTTCCGCCTCGAAGTTCCATGCCATGGGTCATACCCTGTGCCTCCATTTTGCCCCTTTTTACCCCCCAAGAGCCATCCTCATGAGGTACTTGGACCCTCTGGGTTTCTTCCATGAAGTTCCACGTCTTTCCCTGTTTGGACTGCCGGAAAAAAACCGCCAACCGTCAAACTCGGCGCAGGAGATGGAGACCAAGGTGGCCGAGCAAGCCTTCTGGCACGAGGAGCCTTTTGGCCCTTTTTTCTGGGGTTATTTTGACGCTTTCTGGTTATCCAAGTCAGAGACTGTGGTTGTTTCCTTGAACCCACCGTTGGGGTGACTTTGATCATGCTGAAACAATGAGGCTGTTTTTTTGGTTTGCGTCACCGGAAGTGAGGAGGTCTGCAGCAAAAAGGAGGCTAGGTCCCCCAGCTAGGTCCCCCTTTTTTGGGGGAGGGTTCCCCTACTAAAATAGACTACAGAAAAATGTTGGTCCCCTTATTCTAACCTCTCAAATCTGAAGGATCTACGAGGGCCTTAGGCCCGTGTTTCTTGTGTTTTTCCCCGTGTCTTTTGCAGTGCAGTTGTTTCTTCCAAGTTGTTTGACTTCCTTCCATTTGCTTCAGACTAGGTTTCATTTCCCACTTGCTGGTTTTATGAGGATCTGTTCGCCTTGTTTTTGGCGACACCGAAAAAGGAGGTCTGCGGTTACATTTGCTCAAGCATATTTATAACGTCCCCCTCGTTGGTTTTACAGGGAATCTACTACTGGAATTATGGTGTTTTTCCATGGGAGTTCAGCTAAATGGTTATGTTACGGGTCTGCGGCGATTTTTTGATGACCCCGTAGAAATCCCCAGTTTGTTAATACGCTTTTGGATGGCCCCCACCCCCCGCAACGAATAAAGTGGGGTTGATTGGTATGAGGTCAGCATGATGGGTTTCGAGCTCTCCAATTCGGGTCTACGAGCTCATGTTGTTGACATTCCTCTAGGGGAGTTCCCTTTTCCGGCGCGTGGTTTACAATTTGCAAACGACGGTGCAGAAACATCGCATACCTGCGGAGTGATCTGCTTGATGTTCTTGCTTCATCCCCGGCAAGGTTTGTGGCTGGATGTGGTTCACTTGAAATGTTTACTCCTTCCACCATGACCCAACGGTTCACTTGCAAAACGCAGTTACTGAACCGAACGCTTGTTCAGAGTATGTTGAAACTCAGGATTTGAGCCACAATCAACACCTTGGCATATTAAAGTTAGAATTGTGAAAAGTCCCCAAAAAAGCATGCAAGGAACAGACTGCCAAGGAGTTCTTTAAACAAGCTACCCATTTTGCCATGAGTGTGTTTTTGCTTTTTCTTTCCTCTCAAGCAAACATGTATAGATGCTGAGATATCAACACAAAAGGTAGCGCTTTCCTTCCGCGGAAGCTCGCAGAAAGATCCTTGTTGATTTGCACATAGTAGTTTGATTCCAGCTGGGTGGTTGTTGCCAAGCACGATTAGCACACCGTGCACACGAAGTCCCCCGCGGAAGCTACCGTCAGTTTCCAGCAGCAGCTTGCCTGCAGAAGCACCTATACAAACTTAGATAGAAACATGCTTTCACCTCGCGGAAGGTTTCGCGGAAGGCTTTGATGCGTCAATGCAAATCTCAAGGGAACAAACAAACACCACTCGATGTCCAAATGCTGCGACTCCAATGGGCTTCGGTTTCAGTTCTGCCCCGTTACTCCATAGCGTGGGACCGAGTCTTTAAGAACCACGCCTAAATTTGACGACTCCTTGTCAAGCACTGAAGTCCGTGGAATGGATTCTGAAAGGTCGTCAAGCAGAGAGTTTATCCTTTTCTTTGGCAGAACTGGGCGTGGGTGAACAATACGTAAATGGGACGCCCTGGTCAATGAAAAGGACAAACAAGTCTGCATGTGTTGTCTTGTGGTTTCATTTTGACCCATACCCAATAGTCATCGCCTGCCTGGTGTCTCCATGACCAGTAGAAAAAAAATGGGCACTGCCCAAATCAAAGGGGTCATGATTTCTAAAGGGCTATGGAGACTCCACCCAAACAAATCCCAGCCAGCGGTTTACACCTGTAGCAACCTGGGGTGAGCCCCGGGGCTGGTGGGCTGGTGGAAGCCCTCGCGAGGATGAGCCGATGGAGGAGGTCTACAGAACAGTCTCTGGCTTCACTCAGAGGACCGGGAAGGAGCTTGCTTTCATTGGCTTCATTTTTTTCCCGGTTGGTTTTAAAGGGAATCCATCACTACTGGACATATTTCATTATTTGTTTCCAGGGGACTTAAGCAAATGGAGGCTTACAAGAGAAAACGACGTTTTTGGCCGCAGATCAATCAATCTCCCATCTGGGTGGTGGCGAAATCCGCGAGTTTCTCACACCACGGTTCATGAAACCATGGTTGAAACCATAACGTTGGTTGGTATTTACGTTGGGGAATCAAATAATTCCAGGGTTTCTTAGGTGGTGCGAAATGGATTTCGTCCATCCACAGTAGGTATCCTTTTTCGTTTGGTTAAAAAACAGAGGACCTGATGGTTCAATCATCTACCGGAGCCATTGTATTTTCCTAAACAGGACACCAATCTTTCTCCCTCTCACTTGCAACCAAAGCGAATGCACGGGATATGCCCTGAAACCATTTCCCCGAGGTTCGGTTTTTCAAAGACCCAAAGGGTGATCACTTTTGATTTCTGAGTTTTGCAGGGCAACTTTTGGCAACTGAGCCCATTTCACTCAGGGCACCAATCCCCCTTGGTTTGTCTCAACCCAAACCAATCGTTTGTTGTTTGACCTCCAATGTTGACCCCGTATTAATGAACCCCAGTTTAATTAATGAGCTGGGGTTGGTTAATATGGGGTCAATATGATGTTTACCTTTCGGGCTTGTGGGCAACCAGTGTTGGGGTTCACCAAGAAGAAGCGGTCACTTTCGGAATCCGGATCGTGCCTGGCGAGTTGCGGTGAACCATTGGAGACTCATGCAGAAATCCATATGAGCCAATGCATAAACCTGACGCATGTCAAGACCCTCAAGACGTCGTACCCCATATGTTTTGGGCATTTTCACCACCCGTTCAATTTAAAGTAAGGCTGACTCGACCTGAGTCTCCCTGAAGTTCGGGGCACGACCTCAACCGTACCTTCGATGCGAGGATGATGATCAAGTTCTTCCCTATGCTCTACGTGCGGTACTTGCGCCTCACAGAGAGGCAGGGCTGGAAAAATTGCTGATGTCCATGGCAGCGTTGACTGATTGACTTCCTGGTTGGCTCAATGGGATTCCCGGAAAGCGGAATCCCTGCTTGGATGTGTGGTTGGCCGCCTGGGTGATAACTCCTCCTCATAACAAGGTTATAACTCCACTTAGGTTCAAAGAAAATGGGTTGTTATGACCTAGCTTTAGGCTACCAACAACTTACAAACTTGTCTGTACACCCAATTAGTTGATGACGATTCGGGGCGGGGGGGGTCATTTGAGACGGTATCCGGATCGCTGCTTTTGAAGTTGCACCCGCGATCGATCTATGATCAAGTGGTATGGGCAGAGAGCTGGCATGCCCGGAGGAATCCGTTTCGAGCCATTTTCCCAAACCCTAAGCTAGGCCCCCCAGCTAGGTGCCCTTTCTCACCCCTTTTTGGTTGGGAGGGTTCCCTACTAAAATAGACTACAGCAAAAAAAGTTGGTACCCTTATTCTAATCTCTCTACTGGAGGACCCAGTAAGAGTCCACGGATTCTAGGGAGGTACTTGACCCTCCTCCTTTTGGCAACCCGAAAACCTTAGGGCCATGGTTCTTTGGTGCTGAGAAGGAAGGGGATAGTTCGAGACATACGGCACAAGTTTGGCTTTTGACGTTCCAGTTCCGGGTTTCAGGTGGGCTTCCCTTGAACCCCGGCAGGTCCGGAGGGATGGGCTTATGATCTTCACCTCAGAAGTTGAAGCTGGCAAAGGTTTCCCACTCCCCGTGTCCGGCACTTTCAAATTGGGAAGCACATTTTGGTGTCCTCGGTAGTTGAGTACCGGGTTATTAATGGGCTCCAATGTTTTGCTGCCAGGTTACCAGCAACCTCCCAGCGAAACACAAGAAGTTTAGGACTTGGCCATCAGCTCAGGTGAACCCAGTTGCAACCTTCAAAAATGGATGCCGATCCTTATTTTCCCATGGGAATCCACTGGGCATTTGAGTGAACCAACCATGTTTCCTGGATATTGCCCTAAAACACTCGCCGTAAGGTGATTTCCCTACCCCAGGCCCCACAAACGCCAGGGTCTAAGATGCCCGCTACCCCCCTCAACGAAAACCTGGGTGTACGACCGCTGACTCGAGGGTCTACACCTCCTGATTTCCCTCGGGGGCAGCTTCGGTTTTGGGGGGAGTGGGGTTTCCATCGACAGGGCTCCGGCACGGAGCCCAACCATTCACCATATAGAATTTCGAGAGAGGAGCCGAACATTTGCCCTTCTCAGCCATGAACTTCAACGGTACAATCTTGGTTTCCAGCAACTTCCATTTGCTTAAGACTACTTGTTATTATGCCTTGTTGGTTTCAACGGGAATCGATTTCACTGGACATAGTTCGCGGGCCTCAAGCAAATGGAAGGCAAGGAGTCCCAACTCAACTTCGCTTCGGCTCGCGTGAAGCGCTTGCTCCGTCGCAAGGCCCAACGATGAGGCGGACGCAGCCTCGGACGCGCCTTCAAAGGAGGCCCTCGATCGACGCGTTGCGGGGGGGGGGGGGGGGGATTTTGGTTCAAGAATATGCTGTTTGTTCCCCTGTTTTTGTTCATTGTGTTCTTTAGAAAAAAATATAAGGGACAAATAAAGGGAATATATCAATGCTGAAATGTGTTTTCATCTTGTCCAGTGAACGTAAGCAAAGGAAAGTATATGGGGGTTGAGAAGAATAATGTACATTTCCCACATAGGGAAATTTCGGGGGCCAAACGGAAAATTGATCAACCCCATATTCAAGTGAGGGGGTTTTCGGGGTGGCGTTCCCATCAATAAGTTGCTTCGAGATCGAAACGCGCTCACTGATGCCCCAGCGGCAGAGGGGCTCCAGTTGCGCCACATCCAGCCCTACCTCACCCAGAAGGAGTTGGACAATTTGAGTAGCCCATCAACAAGCTATTGCAGCTTCTATTCTTTCAATGACACTCATCTGTGCATCAAGCATCTTTTGGCGCCGCCTACAGCCTGGCGCCTGGCCCGCTTGGACCTGTTGCCTGGGCCAGAATTTCCCAGTGGATTTGATCAGGATGAGGACGGCACTAGTCTTGACATGCAGCAGGAAGAGCATCAGGAGCCTGCGGCGCCCAAAGCTGCTGAAGGGGGGGGGCCAGACCGGCCTGAGGTGATGCGTTGAGGCTTGGGGTAACTTTTTCAGAATGGCACCTGCGAGGATGTCACTTTAGTGGAGAGTCCCTAAGAATCTTGTAGCTCAACATTGGCCTTTTTGAGATCAACCTTCTGCCATTCCACCCATTGAGGGTCCCGAATCAGATGCTTAGGGGTAGGCTGAATATGAAATCAGATGTTTGGTATCCCCCAGAATTGGGCCAAGGTAGTGTTATGTACCAAACACTCAGACCCTCATGGGTCGGGGATTTTTGTTGGTTTCCCTTACCAAGTGAAACTGGTACCGAGCCTTACCAGCGCACCTGTATCTTGACACGGGCCAATGGAAACGCCAACTATGTTTTGAGCAGAGAACAGCAGCCCCTTTCCCCGTCAACCAAGAAAAAAATAGCCCGACACAAGTCATTCCCATCAAGCAAGCTTTCAATAGGATCTCAAGATGAGCAACGGTTGGTTGAGAAGGGGGTTGATCAAGAGGTCCTTTACATGTGACCATTGGGGTAAACCACAACCAAAAAACAACATGTTTTTCGCGCATGGGTTGGGTGACCCTTGGTCACAGGGCTGCACAGAATATTGATCAACCCCCAGTCAGACTTCACGCAGAAGGTGGTCTTCCTTCGGTCCAAGGGCCAAGGAAATTCTGTCGGAAGTTCGCAGACCTTCGAATACTCCCCCACCTCTGCCAGACGACGTTTCGTTTAAAAGGGTCTGTGGTTTTATTCGGGTGCCAGGGGCCTTCTGTTTTTCGTCAACTTCCTGTTGTCCACCTTCCAATGGATGTCCAATTTGACGAATTTGATCCACACCAGACGGTCCACGGGACAGCTTGAGCGGACCCGGGCTTTATGCCAGGGGATTTGAATCGCCCCAACTTAGATCCGGCAAGGCCATTCAAAAAAGATCCATATAGACCCAAGAAAAGGCAGGTAGCATGCAACACTATGTCTCCTTGACAGTTGTCCGAGCAACGCGTTACTCCATACCCCTGCTTGGCCATTGGCCCTGCCTGACCTCCTGACCCCTGGTTCCAAACACGGGCACTCGCCTTCAAAACTTGGTGCCGCAGCTGCATGAGGGCCAAACGCCACCAAGGATGTAGCTTGGGTCTTTGAGCACCTTTGGGCAAGATGTGAAACAAATCAAAACTGCGAACGTTCAAACGGTGAATTCTTGGGGCAAGGAATTACACTAGGTCCCCCAGTAGTGCCCTTTCTCTCCCGTTTCTTTTTTGGTTGGGAGGGTTTCCCCTACTAAAATACACAAAACTGGAAAAATCGGGGTACCAACTTCTTCTAACCTCTCTCAAATCTGGAGGACCTAGCATAGCCATGCTGTAGGTGAGCCCCGATTTGGAAGCGCATTTTGGAACCGCAGGGACGCAAGAAGCAGGTCGCCCTCGAGGACAAGGCGGGGCTAGCGAGGTGATAAAAGTGGTGGCACGCCTCTTGCCCCATGTCTCTACTGCTATTGGGTTGGATCTTTAGACTTTAACTTTTGGGATTCCCCTCATATTTCCTTTTAACCAGCAAAAAGATAAACCTTTTTGCTGGGGGATCTACAGCACCCAAGATGTTGTGCCCTTTGTTTGCTCCTTTTTTTGGGGGCAGGTTTCCCCTTAAAGTCAACCAACCAGCAAACAACTTGTTTCAACTTCCTTTTTTTTCTGGGGAAGATTCCCCTTTAAAGTGAACTCGCCATCAAAAGGATGCCCTTTGTTCCATATTTTGTTTGGGGAAGGTTCCCTTGTAAAGTCAACCAACCCAAGAAACATCCCCTTTAAAGTCCGCCAACCGAGAAATCCCCTGCAAAGTCAACCAACCCAAACAAGTCCCCTTTAAAGTCAACCAACCAAAACAAGGATGCCCGTTTCTTCCCACGGAAATCCACTGGGCATTTGAGGCACACATGTTTCTAAGATTGGTACAAAAACGGTTGGTAAGAACCGTGTAAGGAATTGAAAAGGCAGCCGCAACAATTTTTCGGGCCGGGACTGCCCCGTACTAACCTTCATCTACCTGGGTTTTGATTCTGGCTCAGATAATTTCAACTTCGGATGAACTAATCTGGAGGACCGTTGACCATACTAATCAGGGGTGGTGCCCCTTTTAGTGGGAATTGAGTTAGTCTAAGGAGGTTCCTTGGGATGCTCCTCCTGGTTGCAATCCAAAGTTGCTATTTAACACTTCTTGAGTGGACTGGCCGGGAAAAGTCTCAGCTTGTGTTTGCCACTTAAATAGTCTTCTCTAAAAATTAAGTCTAGGAACGCGGAACGTGAGGCTTCCAGCGAGAAGCCAATCAGTGGAGACATGCTCAGTCGCTTGCAAAGGGAAGCCAAACGGCAACCCTACGAATTTCATGGGGAATGAGTAAGCCCTCTAGGCCTAACTCGTAGAACCAAAAAACCACGTTGTTATTTGGAGTTGTTTATGAGGCTTTAGGTCGGGCCCGTTAGGTTTGTCACCCCAACAACCATCCTGACTTATATTCTTATTCGGGGGAAACGCCGAAGCCCAATATACATCATTGCAAGCCACAGGGCCATTCTGTAGCCCAGTGGATCCCAGCCACCACAGTAATTAGGTAGCCACCGAAATTCCTTGTGGTTTTTCCTATTGGGTGGGAAACCTGTTTGGTTCCCTGCCTTTACCAGGTACATGGAATCACTGGGGTTGGAATAGTTTCTGTGGTGGGTTGTTTTGCTTAAAGAATCGGATCCTGAAGGACCTCACATGCCTGAAGCCTTTTGGTTTTTGTCCGGTCGGCTTCCTGGGTGTTCAACCGAGGCAAGTAGGTTATGGTTGTTTCTTTTTTTTCGATAAAGGAAGCCCAAAAACCCCAGTTGCACGCCTGGTATGGGTTGCAGGCTACTTACCAAGTTGGGTGTGGCTCGAACTTAGACAGGGGGCAGACCGCAGGTTTTGGTCCATGTTTCCACTTACCAGGGCAACCCATTTTGGGGTTACCCGCTTTTTTGAGCCACGGCCAGTTGGTGGAACGCCCAAGTTGAGGGGGGAGTCGTCGAGCGAGAGAACCCTTGCGCAGTGGCGCAGGCGGCGAGCGACAGGTCCGATGCCCGAAGTTTGGGGATTGGGGGGGAGAGGTGCCCTTCTCACCCCAGGACAGAAAAAGGCTACCCGTAGTCTAACCTCTGAAATCTGGAGGACCTAGTCAATGGTTCTCTCTGGCAAGAGAGTTGCTGGGGCAACATCCCATGTTTTCCTGGTTTGAGTGCGGGCCCAAGTTTGTGTTGTTTCTGCTGGATTTCATTTCGTGAGGTTCACTGAGAATGAATCGCAATCTGAACATATGGGCATGAGTGAATATAGGGGCACATGTGGTTTTCCTGATGGTTTCCCTTCCAGTGCCTGCACACGAAGTCTCGTTTTCAACTGTGACGTGTTTTAAAGTCGAATCTGAACCCTGAAGCAATGCGGTTGCCTGTCCTTGTATCGGTCACCCTGCCAACAGTTGCTCCGTAGATCTACCCCAGTTACCCACTGGTCCATGTACCTGCAGGTATCCAAGAGAAGCCCTTGAAAAACCAGAAGGACGATTTCTATTTGCTATAGCGGCTTGCCTGGGATCCACTGTGTCTGCCAATAGGTTGCACCCCCTCGCCCCATGGTGATCCCCTGAGGAGCAACCAGGGAATTTCCAGGGGCAGTGAACCTTGCACCGGACACTTCTTTGCAGTGTAGCCGTTCTTTTTGATTCGTTTTTCCAGCAACGAAGAACCTGAAGGGACGCAAGCCCATGTTGGGGCCAAGCTCGTTTTTTGCTCCAGCTGGGTTGCGGTGCCTTTGCCGGTTTGGGGACTTTCTTGCAACCAAAGGAGAGACTATGGGGGAGGTTGCGACTTCGAAAAACATCGAACAAAACATCATGAGTTTTTTTGGGGGGGATCCGTGTTCGGTGGGAGAATTATAGCTTGCTCAGATTCGATGTCCCGTTTTTGTCTTTCGAACCACCCAGCCGCCCCGAATGCCCAAGGCGCTTCCCTGAAAAGGAAACCTGTCATCTGGGTGTTCCAAGTTTCGTGGTGTCCATTGTCCACCTTGAACATGCATTCGGTTGGTGTCTTTCGGTTTCTGTCGGAGTTTTCCGACGCCAGGGGAGGTAAGCGTATCGATGACGACCTCCAGCTTCGTTCTCAGTCAGTTTGCCCTAATGGCAATGGTTCCGGGTGGCTTTCGGGACACGGAACCCTTCGATCCATGTTTCTTGTTTAAAGGTTGGTTCCCCTGATGGCCATTTGCTTGGATCCATACGCGTCCTTAGCTGGTTTGCATCGGTGGCGTGGGTTTGGATTTGACCCTCTGGCCCTTTGTAGACTTTTTTGACATGTTCAACTTGATGTTCGGGAAGAGCTTCTCTTCACTTACTTGCCCAAAGTTGACTCGACCTTTTCACCTTTTAGTTCCCCCTTTTTGGTTACGTTTTGATTAGTTGAAGGTTCTTGAACGGTTTTGGATTCTTCGCTCAGAAACGACTCGGGTGTCCTTGGTTTTCGAGTGCTCCCAATATTGGATTCACTTTCGCGAATGGTTCTGTTCTCTGAGAACGTTCGTTTTGGCAGTTAGGAAGGCAAAACGAGGGAAACCCAAGATGTTGCTTGACTAGGGTGTGTGTGTGTGTGTACCCCGAAAAGTGGTGGTTTTCTTGTTGTAGATACCATCAAACAGACACCCATGTCCAATTCTGAGAGACACCCAGTTGTCTTTGAGGGAAGAAACAACTGGAAGCATGGAACATCCATTTGGCTATGCCTATTTGGGCACACGTTTGCATGGTCTGCTCAAAAGCAATCTCCAGGCGCCTAGATTGTCCTGATGCAACGGCCACATGGCCAAATTCCAATGCTACAGTATGTTACTCATGTTGTTTGTCCATGTGTCTGCCTGTTTGTGTGTTTGTCTGTGTCTGTCCATCTGCCTGTCTATGCGTTTGTCTGCCTGCCTGTCTGTCTGTCTGTCCGTCTGTCCGTCTGCCTGTCTGCCTTCTGTCACTGTCTGCCTGCCTGCCTGCCTGCCTGCCTGTCTGTCACTGTCTGTCTGTCTGCCTGCCTGCCCTGCCCTGCCCTGCCCTGCCCTGCCCTGCCCTGCCTGCCTGCCTGCCTGTCTGTGTGTCTGTTTGTTTGGTTGGTTGGTTGGTTTGGTTTCGGTTGCTTTCGTTTTGTTGCAAAGACTGCTTTAGGAGTTCTGACTTGGTTTTGGGGCTGTGCCCACTCGCAGCTATGCGCTTGGTCTAGAGAACCCTCCTCCACACAAATGTGTTCGCCTTTCGCGTTTCCAAGGCTCAAATCTGAAGAGCAACGTTCTTCGGTTTGGTGAGAACTCGATGGCGCTTCAGTTTGGTTCTGATCATTTCAGTACAACACCGTGTCCTTTTATACCCATGTCTCACTCTAAAACGTTTTTTTTTTTTTTTTCCGTCGAGTTCTCACCACCCAAAGGGCCTAGCGTCAAGTCCCTGCGGACTTGGTACGGGGTAGGCCCCTGGAAAGAGTCCAGGCTTGAGCATCACAAAGGGGGCGGTCAGCTCCCAAGCGGCTCGATCCGTATGCCGCGTGAGCCCACATCTTTGCTGCGGCATGCCGCCGCCCGGATGCAAATTTTGACCATACTCCCTCTTTCCCTCAGACTAACATGCTTGACTGCTATTGGGTTGGATCTTTAGGCTTTAACGTGTTTGGTAGTCAAGTTGGGGTTTCCGTACTAAACCAACAAAAAGTTTTGAGGGGCAAGCAGCAACAAAGCATGGAAGCTCCGAGGACTTGTTTGGAAGACATGGTTCCATTTACAGAGGCCAATTGGGGGGAGCTTCCATGTGAGTCTGAGGGAGAGTATTTTTGTTTTGGGCGTGGAAATTATTCGACCCAAGTTTGCACTTGAATGCTATGCGCCATCTGTTAACTTTTCACCTACTGGTTGGGAACGTGGGAAACTCGTGTTTCCCACCTCGACACAAAGACTTGAGCTTTGAGAAAACAGCAAGCGACACCCAAAAAGATGTGTCTCACAGATCGGCGGGTGTCCCGCATTCCTTTTGATGTTCTTCCATAAGGGGCTGCACCTAATGTTTGTTGCAGTACGAAGGGTTGGGAACCCTCCATTGGCTTAATTGGTTTTGCTTCCCCTCTAGGGATATCTATGACACTTGGTTTCAGCGGACTGCAAATGGATACGAGCCCCAAAAAGAAGAGGTTTTCCCAGGATCGTGCCCTTCTTAACCCCTTCTTTGGTGGAGGTACCAACTTCTTCTAACCTCTTAAATCTGGAGGACCTAGAGGACCGGCACGCCCCAAGTCCCCCGTTTCTTTGAGCGCCGTAGGCCAGCCTGCGAGAAAACCAAACGGATCATACGACCACCGCACCTCTCTTCGAGATGTACGTTGTGTCCATGGAGACGGCACTTTCGATGACTGCTCTCCGGGTACACGAGGACTAAGTCGGCTGTCTCGCGTGTTCAGTAGGGCCCTTCTACCCTTTTTTGAGGGACATGTCCTACTCTAGGTCCCCCAGTAGTGCCCTTTTACCCTTTTTTGGGGGAGGGTTCCCCTACTAAAATAGACTACAGAAAAAAGGGTACCCTTATTCTAACCTCTCTACTGGAGGACCTAGTTAATAGGGGGTTCCTTTTTCCCAGTTTGGCACTTCGAAGGCTTGCCATGTTTGCGTGCGCTGGAAATTGCAATTCTCATCAGGGCTGTCCGATTAAATCTACAGCACCCAGAGGCTCCCGATTGGGTTAGGGCCTTCAAACAACCTGGTTTTTGAGACCCCAACCACCGAAGCGGGTGTCTAATGGAGGGGTCGGGTCTTCCATTCAAAGCCGAAGCCAGGAGCCTCTGGGATATAATATTCTGCCTTACGGCTGGTGTCTCCTTTCCGACTTTCGATATGGCTGTGGGTCAAAACCAATGGGATCCCATTTGGGGTAGGTGCACCACCCATGGGATGTTCACTGTTCCGATTAAATCTACAGCAGAAAACCTTGCTTCCGAACCATACCCTGAATCGTACCGGAACCATACGTCGCACCATAGGGTTTGGCTGTGCACGTGACGCGTGCGAGATTCGCCGTCGGCAGATCGTCAGCTCAGCTATATACAAACCTCCTTGTTGGTTTTAAATGGAATCAAACCACGACTACCTGGATAGCCAAGTTGCTGTTTTTTCAGTCACTGTTGCTGTTGTCTGGGGTATTCTGGGGTAAAGTGGATGAAAAAAAGCTGCAACTCTACAGGGATGTTTCCAGGTGTTCAGGTATCCAAGTCTTGCTCCCTGAGGATTTGATGGCAGAAGGACTCCTCGTGGTTTTCAGGGAGTGTGCTGGCCAGGCGGCCATTTTTGTCGCTTGAATGCCCTTGCATTCGCTTTTCCCCTTTGAACTGGCACAAATCGTTTGCCGGATCTCTTTTGTGTGTGTGTGTGTGTTTTTTGTTTTTGCGGTTTACTCTTGGTTTTTTCCGTTTGGATCCTTTTTGTTTTTGTTTCGCATCAACACCCCCGAGTTCTTTTGCAGCTAGTCTGGCCAAGGTTTCACATCAGTGGGCGGGAGGTGGACACCCCGACCCAGAGTTCGAGCAGTTCAAAGTGATGCAAACCTTTCTTGCAAAGCTTATGCAAGGCAACATCTCCGCAATCTCGGGGAGCCTATGCTATGTCCTTGCAGCGTTGTTTGTTGGCTCCGATGTTCTTCAGCTTTTTTTGGTGTGTGGCCAATCTCGAGCGGAAGTGAGGTTCGCGAAATCGAATCCCCGCCATCAGGACCGCTTTAGGGGTCCCAACGAAAACTCCCTTTGGGTACGCCAAGTAGGTTAGAACCACTCCAAATACCCGCTGTTTGCAGGGTATGATGTCGACCCTTTACTCAAAAGTCGAGGTATTTACCGTGGAAAACCAGGTTTTCCCAGAAATACCCTGAACAAATGCGGGTATTTGGAGTAGGGGGTAACCCTAGTGGTGGCACGATCGTCCCAGTTACCCCAGTTGTGGTTACAACTTACTTACCTGACCTACGGTCAAGTATCGAACCCTGAAGTTCACCGCTAGGCGTTGGTCCTTCAAACTAACCGATACCCTGAGACTTTCAGGGTCGGATCGATGGAAGGACCTCAAAACACGTCTTAGCTTTTGACACGCCGAAAAAGACGTAACTTGGCTACCGTGTCCCGGGTTCTGTTTACCAAGCCATGGTTGTACATGTTTCAAACATTTTTGCTTATTGTGGTTTAGTGGTTGAAATCCAACCACTTAACTGCTAAAATTTGATTTTTGCTGCTCCCCTAACCCAACGCCAGGCCCCTTCAAACCTTAGGGTGTAGCACCCAGTTCTACCAGCCATTTCCGTTCCTCTTTTTCCTCATGGCCTGGTCAAGGCGAACAGGGCATTGGCTTTTTGCAATGCCCAAAAGCCCCAAAACGGCGATTTTCGCTGGTGGCTATAAGATCATACCTGGTTTCGTGGGGTTTATAGGAAAGCTTACATATATAGACATATATATATATATATATGTATGTAAACCTTCGTTACCACTTCCTCACGTCGCTTCCCTTTTAACTGTTCGCCTTTTTGGGTACAACCAAGTGTTGCACTTTCCAGCCAACAGTTTTCGACTTTTTGCGGGTCTAAGCCTGGTCTTAACCACGTGATGGCGGAAGATGTTGGGCTTTAGGCACTCACTCGTGCGGAGTTTGTTTTCCCCTACTCAGGAACATCTTGGCGGAGCTGTATCTCGACAAGCCGAAAATTCCCGCAAAGGACAGGCGAAAGATTCGCTGAAGTTTCTACTTTGGTGGATTCAACCAACTTAGGTCATCTGTTACATCCCTGGCACGGGGTCTAACCCCAGTTGCCCCATTCACGATGGTTGCAATTTACTTACTAAGTTGGTTGGACGCCCAGATGTTTGCTTGGATGTTCGGCCAAGTTTGTAGGTGGTTAGCCACTTGGTTTAGTTTACTCTTGGCTTCCCTTCAAACCACCCAAACAGACCGATTTCGGAACCCCAGTCAAGTTCTTGTCGCTCCGTAGCAGCCGCAGTCGCCATTTTCTCTTTCGAGGGCCCAAAGGCAGGTTTTGCCCAGCCATGTTTAAACAGCCTTGCACTGAAACACGTCTACACACTTTGTTTGGATGCCCCCATTTATCTGAAAATTTATGCACCTAAACACAATTGTTCTTCTAAACCCTCCAGTGCCTGTGGTCAAGAAAGGGAACCCTTTCGGGGTTGACCAGACCAAGCAAAAAGGTAAGTCCCCTGGAAGACATATTGGCAGTAATGATAGATTCCCTTTGAACCCGGGATATGAGGTTTTCGCTGTGAGACTGGCATCGACACATTTGGGTGCCACTTTGTTCGGCCAAGTTGTTGGCAACATACCACGAGGGGCGCTAATCTTGAGAAAGACGATCATGATGTTGCTCGAGGAGACAATACAAGGACAACCACTCTTTTGGGGGGCGGAGTTCGAAACCTACCAAGAAATCGCACCCTCAAACAGTACCTGGACCCTCCACATTCCAACTTAGAAATGGGTTAGTGTTTCATGGGTTGATCTTCCTGGTTTTTATGTGGTCCATCCATTTTAGGGGGTACCCCTAAAACAACGCACACCCATGTGTGTGATATATAACAAGAGTTGGCACATTTGGAGCATCTCTTTGTGGGTAACTGTGGTCTGCCCTTTTCCGGGGGGGGCCTTAAAGGGAAATTCCAGGAAACCCATGTGGTGGATTCGGCTGTACAAACCCATCCCTACATCTTCCCCAGAATTAGTTCCCCCTTTATTTTTCTGCTTTTTTGGGGTCCCCTTTGTTTTCCACTAACCAGGCAAAACATGTTTTTTGCCGCGGTCCTAATTCCAGCCAAGATATGTGGTTGTACATGGCTGTGGGTCAAAAATGGGTACCCAAAATGGAACCCTGGTAAATGGAACCAAGGACTACAACCTGCGGTCCGATTCCTGGTGGTTAAATTTTGTCCCACAGCCACATGAGCCACAATCAAAACCCGGGTAGATGAAGGTTAGTAAGAGACAATCCCAATCATAAATAGCTGCGGAGATCCGCCTTCTGAATTCTTCACATGGTTCTGGGATTGCGACCATTTTAATACCGGGTTTTGATTATGACTCACATGTTGATTGCTCAGGAGCTGCTGTCCTATAAGCTCTGGGTTTGGTACGACTACTTCAGCGTTCCACAGGCGCCTGAAGCCACCGCCGAGCGGAAGCTGGCCATTCACAGCATTCCGCGGCCCGGCAAAAAAAAATCTCCACCCGTCTTGGTTTCTTTGCTAGGTCCCCCAGTAGTGCCCTTTCTCACCCCTTTTTGAGGGGAGGGTTCCCCTACTAAAATACGCTACAGAACAAAAGGTACCCAGATTCTAACCTCTCTACTGGAGGACCTTGTTCCGGGCCATTTCCCTAAGGGAACCTCGAGGAGTCTCTTCGTTTTGGAGGGAGCCAGTTCCTTTCGGAAGGGGAGCTCCAAAAGTGGCCACCGATCGTTTCAATGGACACCAGTAGATTGATCAACTTGGTGGAAATCCAGGCAGCCCCTGGTTCTTTTTTAACTTGAGGAAGATCTCTAAAAGTTCAAGCAACCAGACAGGGTACCAACCTCAAACTACCACCCTCAAACTATCCGTAGGAGGCCCCAAGCATATGGTGTGATTTCCCCATGTTACGGGGTAGTTTGAGGGTGCCCCTAAAGACGGTGACCTTTTTTTTCGGCCAGTGTGAGGGTCCCAAAATCGACGCAAAAAACAAACCCAAAGGTGCGGCGGGCACCTGCTGCTTTGCGCTGAGGTATTACGTGGAGAGCAGCCGATACTTTGCCATGCTCTGCCCACTGATCAAGCACGCGAAGGAAGGTACGATCATGGGGAAGCGGTCCTACATCTCTCGAGGATGGTGCAGGTTAGAACTTGCAGCCCGCATCTTGAGTGAGCCTGGGGCAGAACATGGTGTTGGAAATTGAACCTTGAAATTCATATAAACACGTAATAAGTAGACCCCTTTATTGCCAACTGACTAAAGAGTAACCAGAAGCATAAAACATGTGCACCAGAGGTGTACCGAAGAGTTGCTTCTAATTGCTTAAGAATCTGTATTGTTTCCCCTGTTGGCTTTAAGGGACTCGATCACTGAAACAGTCACAACTGGAAGGTCATATTTTCATTTGTATATTGTAGAGTACCACATGGTTGGACCGCTTTTGAGGTCCATCAGAAAACAACGAGAGTAAATGGTTGCCCGTTCTTTCGGTGCTTTGTCTTTTTCCCTCCGGGGACGAAGGGGGGGAGGGGATTTTTGTTGGCTTCCCCCGCGTGGCTTTGCTCATTGGGTGTTTTTTTGCGCGTGAAGACGGAGCCTACACAATTTTGACTCAGTCTTTGGTCGTGGAGCCCTCCTGATGGTCCAACATGTGTTTTTTTTAGTACGGACAGAGCCTTTGGTCCCGGAACCCTGCTCGTCCTCCAACCTTTGTTGGGAGGGAGCCTTGGCTAGGTTCCCATAGTGCCCTTTCCCACCCCTTTTTTTGGTTGGGAGGGTTCCCCTACTAAAATAGACGTCCAGAAAAAAGATGGTACCCATATATTCCAACCTCTCTACTGGAGGACCTAGATTTGCTTAAGAATAAACTTCCATTTGCTACACAACTACATACCCATACCCATAAACCTACCCTTTGCTGCCGTCCATTTTACACTCTGAGCTTTTTTGCTGGTGGTTTTAAACTCAGAATCGGTTCAACGTTTGCTGGTTCGGGACCAACCTGGGTCAGGGGTTGATTCCCATTCTTTTCAACCCTCATTCTTCTCAAAAGCCGATCGCTGTTTCCCCAGGGTGTTTGGTGGTTTGTTGGAAAGATCTTTCGATCCGGATCCCTGGCTTGAGGATGGACAAAAAGTCTGGTAGCCCTAAGCTCTCTACTGGAGCTGGGTCAGGAACGGGAGTCTTCCCAACAGACCATCGAAGTCCACACCTCCAACCACCAAGTGGTCGCGCCGGTGGGGGACTGGATCTTGAACGCCGTGGGAGAGGGCAGCTTCACGGTATACCAAGACCCTTGGATTAGGCCACCAAGATGTTTTTGTTCGTTTTTTTTCTCCATTTTTTGGTTGTGATGTTTCTTCTTTATTTTCTTTTTTTGTTTTGGGGGGGGGGGGGATGTTGTTTCTTCTTGTTGTTTTTCTGTATTTTTCTTCTTTCTTTTTTTTTTTTGGGGGGGGGGGTGTTGTGTTTTTCCATTTGTTTGTTTTGTTGTTTCTTCTTTTCTTGTTTTTTGTTGCGGGGGGGGGTCCATGTTTTTGTTTCCGTTGCTTATTTTTTTTTTTGGGGGGGGGTGTTTCTCCATTTGTTTTTTGTTGATTTGTTTGTTGTTATTTCCCCGTAGGCGGTGTCCATTGGTCGCTTTTGTAGTTGGTTTGTTTTGTGAGCTTGATTAAGCAAGCAACCCCACCAACCCACAAACACACTTGACGAAACAACCAAGCATTTTTTGCAGATTTCTTCCATTTGTTTCAGAATAGGGTTTCTTATTTCCCCCTGTTCACTATTGGACATAGGACATAGTTCTATTTTGTTTCACGGGCTTAAGCAAATGGAAGATTTCATTTTTATGTCATGAATGTATCCAAGCAACCAACCAACCAACCAACCAAGCAACCAAGCAGCCCACCAACCCGCCAATCCACCAACCCACAAACCCACCAGCCGAGGATACAGGTGTTCCTCGTTTTTAGAAGTGCAGTGGTGCCAACATGTGCCAACTTTTTCTTGCATACACTTAAACCATTCACATCCACGCGCCAACCAACTCAGGGGTGATGTCCTCATTTTCTAGGGTTTCTTCGAGAGTCCAGGAACAAGTTGTCCTTCTTGTTTGGAAAGGTTTCCCTTTACAGGGTTCCTTTGCCATTACTCTTGAGGATACCACCTTACAAGTTGTTGGTGGACATACACCATAGGGTCCCCTATTAAGATGCATACCCGTTTGGCTGGGGTTTCCCCTTTGAACGCAACCAACAAGAAGGTATTGTCGCCATGTCGGCGTTCGCCTGGACTGAGGATTTGCATCATTCTGCTGATGTGGTGTCAAGCATGATCACCCGAAAGCTGAATCATTATTTGAGAGTGCCTGGCAGCCAAAAGTTCTTTGCCAGGACCCTCAAACTGCCCAATTACACATGGGATGCCCCAATATGATCGTGCACTTGCCCATGTTGAAGGGTAGTTTGAGGGTCTAGGCGTTGTCTTGCTTGTTCTTTGTTTCCTACTTTAGTTGTTTCTTTTCGGTTTTGTCTTTGTTTTGTTTCTCTCTTTATTTATGTATTTCCTTCTCTCCTTACTGTGGATGGACGAAATCCTGCACCACCTAAGATTCTCTGGAATGATGATTCTTCTGCAAATACCAACAAACAAATTGGTTCCCATGTTTCATAGTAGTGCAGGATTTTGTCCATCCACAGTATGTCCTTCTTTGTTTACTTGTTGTGTTATGTATTCGTGTCAATCACATATTCACATATTCCGTCCAGGTTTAGTTATTTCATTGTGTCTGTATTGTTTTTGTTTGTTTGTTTGTTCATTGTGTTTGTCGTTCTTTACTTGTGTCTGGCTTTCTTTCTGCTGTTATTTCTTTCATTCAGCCATTCATGCATTCATGAACTTATTACTAGTGTCTTTCTTTTCGCACAACTTGTAAAGTCTGCGCATTTCTCAAAGGCGGTGATTTGTTCCACAACTTGCGTACTCCCATCCAGGTATATCTTTTCGCTGTAGTACCCCTTTGGGGTGGTGTTAAATGGGAAGCAAACACCACCCATGCATGTGTGCATCGTATACCCAGTATTTTCCAACCGGAACTTGGGTGTCTCTCAGAACGTGGTTGGTTTTCCGTTGCTGTCTCTTTCCATCCAAAAGAGGGCCTCATTTTGATACAGACCGACTTAGGTGGTATATCCAAGTGCTTCGACTTGCCGTTTTTGTAAGGCAAACCATCCTGTGACATGAGGGCTGGCATGATACAAACTAAAAAACAGAGGACCGGGTATTTGGAGGGGGCATCGTTTTACCTTCACAAAAGAAAGACGGGCAGTTGGAGGGGGTATTTCATCTTTTACCTTACAGGCCAGGTTTTTCAATCAACACCCTTTCTTTAAAAAAAGAAAGCACCGGGTATTTTGTACTTAGGCCAGGTAGTTGGAGGGAAAGTATCTCCTTTAGAGCAAACAAAGCAAATGGTATTTGTCCCCTTGCAGGCCAGTTGGTTCCAACAATACCCTTCAAAGCAAAAACGCCAGCTATTTCGGAACGTCGAATGTAAGAAATGCGCACAAATGATGAGTTTTCACCAAAAGTGTTAGATCCCTTTCATTCTGATGTGCCAAGTACCTAGACAGCCAAGTTGCCGTCTTTTTTAAGTCACTGTTGCTGGTTTTTGGGGTAAAGTGCATGGAAAAAAGCAGCAGCTGGCGATCTAGGTAGTTGGTTAAGGAAGGGGCCTCGGCTTGGGTTTACCTCTAGGTGGCCGTGGGTCAACACCAATGGTATCCCATTTTGGGGTAGGTGAATTCACCACCCATTTTAGTCGGGATTTTAGTGGTTGGGATGTTCACTGCTGGTACGATTTGGGTTTTGGCCCATCGCCAGGTGCCACGTTCTTCCAACAATACCCTTTCAAAGCAAAAAACACGCCAGGTAAAGAAGGAGGGGGCTCGGCTTTTGTTGGTTTCCGGAAATGTGCCTAAATGGGGTCAATTCCCGGTGGGTGCATTCCCAGGGTGCAATACAAACAAATCTTAGATGCTTGGGTTTGCCTCTAGGTGGGAGATCTCCACAGTTTCCGCGTGCTCCTGAACCTGCGCTCGGTGATTTACCGGGGCCTGCCGCGTGAGCCTTCGGAAACGGTGGTGCCGGGGTTCCACTCCGAAGACACGGACCCGGCCACGTACTTCTTGGAAGCCTTCTTGTGCCTTGCTTTGGTTTTGAAGAATTGGTTTTGGTGGAGGAAATCGGTTTGGTTGCAGAAGTGGGCTTGGTTTTGAAGAAATGGGTTTGGTGGAAGACACGGGTTTGGTTGACCACCATTTGCTTAAGATTAGTTGTTATTTCGCCTTGCTGGTTTTAAAGGCAATCTATCACAACTGGAAGTATGTTTGTTTTATTTTGTCCAGGGGGCTGAAGCAAATGGAGGCCATGTTAGACCAAAGGTTGTTTTCCTGGTTTTGGCCTGCGTTTCATGAGGGCCAAAGGGCACATGAGCGCTCACATGGGTTTGTTTTTGAAGAAGTGGGTTTGGTGGAGGAAATGGGTTTGGTTTTGAAGAAATGGGTTTGGTGGAAGACATGGGTTTGGTTGACCACCATTTGCTTAAGATTAGTTCTTATTTTGCCTTGCTGGTTTAAAAAAATAATAATAATAATCTATCACGACTGGAAGTTGTTTTTATCTTTTCCATTGGGCTGAAGCAAAATGGAAGGGGCGCAATTTTCTGAGGGAGCTTTATGGAAAAAAGTTTTGGGTTTGGTTTTGAAGAAATGGGTTTGGTTGAAGAAAGCCGTGTTTTTTGGGGCCTTGGAAGCCTTGGAAGCCTTCGAGTGCACCTTTTGATGATCTTGGTCTTGGTCTCCAGTTCCTTTGCCTCTTTCTTTGGGCGGATTTGGTTTTTTTGGCGGACGTCGTGGTTTGCTCGTGTTGGGCTTTGTGTGTGTTTGCTTCTTGGCCTGTGTTTTCGTCCCAAGGCGGGAAGCTGGACATGGATGTTATAAGAAGATTGAACTTTGGTGCGGAAGCCTTCTGATGAGCAACCTTTGGTTACAATGTGAAAATGGAAATATGTCTTTAGACAGATTTTTGCTAAGCATGAAGATGGTTTTACGATGTTTTATAATTTCCCCCTTGGTCTCAAAGGGTCAAAAAAAAACAATAGGGTAGACCAACTATGGAATTCTCGAACAGAGTCAGCAAATCTTGTTGGAGTACCCACATGTGGGCCGTCACACCTTTTGGGGCCGTTTTGATTTTGTCAAAAGGTCCAGAAAGTTTGTTTTTCCAATACCCATGTCACCATTTTGATGAATAACAGGTCTAGAGACTTGTTTTGTTTTCAATACCCATGCCTTAGATTCAATGGCGCTGGTTCCAGTTTCCAGTTGGTCCAGTGCCATCCTCATTTGTTTCAAGGACGCCCATGTCCAATGCCTTTTGAGGTTTTAAAGGCTTCTCACAGTGCCCTTTCTCACCCTATTTTTGGGGAGGATTCCCCTACAAAAATAGACTACAGGACCCTTCTAAGCTCTCTGGAGGACCTAAGGTTCTGAAGGGCAACGAAGTGGAGCTTCAACTCGTGGCAACAAAGCTGCCCGGTCTTTTTTGCAGACCAGGGGGTTGGCCGATTGCGGAAACACGATGTGCGTGTGTCCTTTTTTGTTTGGGGCCCACAGAATGGTTTTCCTTTTGGTGTCCCTATAAAGCCACCAACAATGGGTACCAACTCCGAAAACAACCACACCGAGCCCAAATGTCCTGTTGGTGTCCCTTCAAAACCCCACAAACCAGGGGGTACCTACAACAGAAAAAGCAGCCCCATGTTCACCGGTAAAAGTCTAGGCGCAGGCTGGATCCCACTTGAGCCACACTCAAAACCCGGCTAGATGGCGCTTAGTGAGGGGACAATCCCTGCCATAAATAGCTGCGGATATCCGCCTTCTTCCTTCTTGACTCATGGTTCTGGGATTACGACCATGTTACTACCGGGTTTTTGGTTTCCCTTGAAAACCCCAAACCAGGAAATACCAACTCCACAAGAAAACGCGCAGCCCCATTTTTCACCGGACGTCTGGTTTCGAGCGAGCGGCTCTTTCTCCATACTTCGCTTGTTCTGAGGCACGAGAACGGCTTGAGCAACGCAGTGGAGCCTTGCTCCAATGGTTGGACCCCGCTTTGCTACGCGGTTTTGAACGGGAGCCCCTTGTTGGTGAGCGCTCTGCTGGATGCTCGCGCCAATCCCCACGACTCCTTGAAGAAGACCAAGGCGAGGGGGAAACCAAAGTTGAGCAAGTTGCAGGTGGCTCAGGTTCCTTAAATGTGTAGATATTTTTGGCCTTTTAGTGTTTAGTGGGGATTTCCATTTAACCCACTAAAAGTTGAACTTTTGGCAGGACAGCCGAGAAGTTGCAGTTGCATCCAACTTGGCATGTTCTTTACAAAGCACCAGCAAAGGGGTCCAACTGACAACCGCTGTTTCAGGCTCCTTCAAACATGGATGTTGGCCATACTGATGGACAGAATCCATTTCGCACCACTTTGATACCATGAAAAGCCATGATTTGCCGGTTCTTGCAGGGGGACTCTTGGGTGCGAAACGGATTTCGCATCCAGGGGAGACCAAAAGGAGCGCCGTTGCGGCAGTTCGGGGGGTCCGATTCCTAAAAGAAGGAACACATATTGGCACGACCACAAACCCGCCGGAGTCTCCATGATCCTTAAATTTTCAACATCGGGGGTCACCCCAAGCTAAAGCGCTCATGACAATCATAAGACATCAGATGTCAAAAGGGCCGGGTGGTTTTACTCCCCACGGCACGGAAAAAGAACACCCAGGGTTTCAAAGGCGTCATCATGGTTGTCGTTGGGGAACATTTTGCATTTTTGCTTATTGTGGTTCAGCGGTTGAAATCCCCACTCAACTGCTAAAATATATTTTTGTTGCTCCCCTTCCAACGTGAACCAAGTCATGGAGACCGCCTCCGGGCCGCTTCCAGGCGACCCTTTTGCCCAACATCGCGGGCATCACGGCGCTCCAGGCTTGCACTTACCTGCGCCACAACGAGGCGGTGAAAGTCCTGATCTCCCGCCGGGCGGACGTGACGCACGGCAACAAAATGTTGAGACCCCACTGGCGGTTTTGGTAGGTTCCACTTGGGGGCTTGGGGGAAATCTTGCTGCGATAGAGAATTGGACAAACTCGATTTGAAGCATCCAACTGGTGGTTTCCTTTGAGGGAATCCCCTTCCGGTTCATTCCCAAGCCCTGGGTCATTCCCCACAGCACCAAGTTATAGCAAAGCCTGTCTCAAACCTTTATCTTTCATTTGCTTAAGAATATGTTTAGTTCTTTCCAGGGGAGTTAAGCAAATGGAGGCGATGTTAGACCAAAGGTTGTTTTCCTGGTTTTGGCCTGCGTTTCATGAGGGCAAAAGGGCACATGAGCACTCACATGGGTCTGTCGTTTGTTTGAGGCTAATTACACTTGCTGGGCTGAAAAGGGGAACCCAAACGGAAAGTCACTGGATTTTTTTTGGAGGGGGTCCCCTAAAAAACAGACACACACACACACACATACTTCAGCCTTTGTAGCCATCTTGGAACGCCAAAGATCGTACGGGATTTTCACGGGCGCGTCTTTGAAGGACGTCCAAGAGCGGTGCTCAAATCCCTGTTTGCTTAGTTTGTGCATTTTCCCCTGTGAGTGTTAAGGGAATCTGCCACTACTGGAAATGGTTGTGTGTCTTGTTTCAAGGGAGCGTTTTGTTTCAAGGGAATGAAGCAAATGGAGGCTTCGAGAAGTTCCCTGAAAGGAAGACAAGTCATCCAAACAGGGTCCCATGTTTCTACCATGTCGACTGAAGAACTTGGCGGCCCCCTTGACCGTGATGTCCCTATGTTTAGAGGTAGCTTGAGGGCTTAACGCTCGTGTTTCATCCATTTCTTTTGCAGTGCTCGTTTTTTTGTGTTTTTTTTCCCCGAGTTGTTTGGATTCCTTTCATTTGCTTAAGAATATGGTGTTGTTTTTTTCCCCTGTTGGTTTTCAGGAGAGTCTATGACTACTGGATACTGTTTGTTTGGTCCAGAGGAGGAGCGCACATGGACACTTTCCACTGTCTCCCGTGTTGTTTGGGTAGATAGGGGGATCAGACGTACGAAATCCAAGAGCCAGGGGATCAGATCCGGCTCCAAACCGCCAATCCCAACCTGAAACGACCAGTTGCAAATGGTGCCGCCTAAAAAGGGTGCCGCTCAAAAACAATAAACCACCCAACTGGTGGAAGGCTTCCCTTTGAAACGGGTCCCCAAAAAAGGGTCCCCCTCCAAAACACGAACTCGGAGAACCAACCCAATCGTTGTTGCATTTGCTTGGACGTTAGGCCCTGGACTTTTTGCCAACTAATGGGTTTTTCATTAAACAGCAACATCCAATGTGTTTAAAGCCAAAGAAGGGATCCCTCCAAACACGGACTCAGAGAACCAATCCATGAGGAAGACCAGGGACACGAACGGCGCGGAAGCCATCCACTGGGCTTCCTCCTCGAACAACGTGGACGCCATCGCCTTGTTGTGCTCCATGGGCTGCAGCCCGGCCACGCCGGTCAGCACAGGCGCCACGCGCGGACGCGGGGCGAAAACGCAACGGGGTGTTTTTGTGGTTTTTTTCTCGGTCAGCCGGTGGATCGCCAGTTGCGATCGCTTTTGTCCATGCACTTTTGCCTCAAAAACCCGCAACGGTGACTGAAAAAAGCGGCAGCTTGGCTATCTAGGGAGATCAATTCCTGAGTTCCGGGACTCGTACTTTCTCATTTTTCGGGATAAGTCGGTTGCCATTTTGGCAAACAGAAAGCTTGGTGGCTCTCAAGTGCCAATCCACGGAAGCGAGGCGTAAATTGATCGACTTTTGGAGGGAGGTTTCATCAGATACGGTGACCCGGTGACCCAACGTTGGAACGTTAGGGGAAGCAAAAGGAAAACGACAAACCCAGTTGGTTGGTTCTTGGCCCATTGGCTCCCATCGATCCGTCTGGATTTTGGAAGGCTGGGAAACGCCTGTTGGTGACCAGGGGAATACGTCTGGAAGATCCAGCTTTGATCCTAGTGCACCCACAAAGATACCGTAGGTTTATTGCAACCCACCCGGGTAATTGGAGGTTAGTAAGGGCCCTCCCAACCAAAGACAGGTGCGGCTGCCTTGGAAACTCTTTACATGATTTTGGGCTTACCATTTTGGTGCCGATTGGTTTTGAACTCACTTGGAGACACCCTCAAAAAATAGTTTGGGGTGGTCTCCTTTTGCATTCTCTAGGCCATCCCACAGGCGTTTATCTGGAGACGTCGTCCCCCATGTTCGTCGAAACGGAGGCCACCTGCCCTTCGCCATCGCCAGCGCCACAGACAGCCTCGAAGTGCTTCGGGAGTTGCTTCCCCGGACCACGAAAGACTCGGTCCGCTCAGGCGGAAGCAAAGTCGACCCCGTCGATTCCTTTGGGTGTACCAACTTAGCTTAATTTGCTGAAATGGATATGTGTATCCTTATTATTATCATTATTATGTTTATTATTATTTCCCTAATTACTTAATTTGTTGAAATGTTTTTGTGTTTGTTCTCCCCCCTCTTGGTTTCAAAGGGAATCTATCACTACAGAAATAGTTTATCTTTTTTGTCTGGGGACTTAAATCAAATGGAAGCTTAGTAAGTAGGTCAACACCATGGTTACAAGCCAACGAACCCCAGGCAAAAACCAGTCAAATACCTACTTACCTGACGTAGGCAACAAACATCCATGCAAGTACAAAGCGGGACCCGGTAGAGCGAAGGACGGAAGTATGTGTTTATGTTTGTTTGTTTGCTTTTCCTGATGTCAAAACTCGTCATCAAACAGCGAATGGCTGGTAGATAGTTTTATTGTTTTTTTTTGTTTTTTCCTCCGGGTGGTTGTAAAGATTGCACTTTGGGCAGATTGAAGGAGTTTCCTTGGGCAATCCGCAAAACGGGATATCTCGGAAACCAAGACCCAAACTCGCCATTCAAGGGAAACCGTACCACCTGTCGCCCACAAAACTGACTAACAACCAATCCAACGCTGGGTGTTTGTTGGCTCTTGTAATTAGTCAATTGCAACCTCCGAAATCATAAACATTGTCAACAATGAATGAACCAATAGAACACCTAAATCATCCATGTTTGAGCAGGTGCTGAAAAATTGTCTCCGTGTTTAAACCGGTGCAATCCCCAAAAGCCCGCGTTTCTTCAATTGTTGTTGTTGTTTTTCCGCATGTAACCAGGTGAATCCCCCCCCAAAAAAAATAACTGGTTGTTTTCTTAGGTGTCGGTGTTGTTTCCGCCAGTTGTGACTCAAGCCTGGAGGTTTGCATTCGGTGTTCTTCTTCGGAGGCACATCAGGGAAGATTGTGGCGACACTAATTCAGGCGGACGCAGATTCTGGGCATCGAATCGGTTTCGGATCGGACCTTGCGGTGTGCGACCGTTTGCTTGTCTGGTTACCCTCAATTGGTGCTTTGGATTGGTTTGGGGATTGAAATGCTGACTTTTGGTGGGTAGGGGAAGCCCCCTGCTTAACCACCAAAAATCCAAACCACTTCTCACTTCCCGAGTTGCTGGACTGCAAACTCGTTGGGAAGACTATAGTTTGGACTTCTCTTAGGCCATCCACTCGGGAAGTGGGGAGCTGAGTAGCTTTGGTTTTCTGGCTCTTTTTGACCTTTTGGTTTTCTATTTGTTGGGTTCCGATGTTTCGTTTGGTTCCAGAAGGTGATACTGTGGACGAAATCCATTTCGCACCGCTTTGAAACCATGGCAAGCCGTTGGGTATTTCAAGGGGAATGAACACAAACTCCTGCATGTCTTGGTGCGAAATGGATTTCGTCCACATCACCTGGCAACTCCTGGGCCCCCCGAGGATTTGAACCTGCCGATGCAGACACGCTTGATGAGTACCTTGGGACTGGTGCTTCGATTCTTCTCCCTCCGCCACAGATGCCCAGCATATGAGTGAAGACCATTTGAAAGTGTTTCCAGTTTGAAATTCCCCAACATCAAGTTGCTGCTTTTTGCCTTCTTTTCTCTCTTCTTGCTGAGGATGGTCAAAGACAGCCTTGAGCACCTATGCCTACCATCATCAAGGAGCCACGCCGCTCATGTGCAGTCTGCTGACCTGCTCTTTCGAGGCAGCCGCGGTTCTGCTCGTCGCCGGAGCCGACACCACGCCAATCAACGCCCGCGGCAAGTCCGCGGCGGACTTTGCAAACCAGATGTCCGCCCCAGCCGCCCAGCAGAAAACGAATCGACCTCTTTTCACCTTCTGAAGTTTCCACTCTTTGTGTTTTGTTATTATTATTGCTATTATTGTTATTATTGTTATTTTTGTCATGGCCCCCAACAGCTGATGTTTTGTTGTTTCCCCTCTGTGTGTGTGTGTGTGTTTTTTTGTCATGGCCCCAAAAGCCGAATATGTGTTTTTCCTGCGTCCCAGATGCAAAGGCCTACATCCAGAAAGGCCTGGAGGGTGACCTCTCTGAATGTCAGGCTTTAGTACAGTTCCTCTTTGACAACCCTTGAGGCTCTCTGATGGATTGGATGTTTTGCCCACGCAGCCAAGCGGGCCAAGCGGCTTGCTTTTGCCTTTTTTGAATTGACTATCTGTCATAAAGGCGCTGGGCGTCTTCCTTCCATCAAGAAATTCTCGCTTATAACAGCCCGGGATTGTTTGGGTCCTTTGTCTTGTTTGAGCTGTGCATCCTTTTGCATGGATACTTTTTTTTGTTCTGGTGGTCCAAAAACCACTGAGCAGCCTTTCAGTTTCACACTGGCGAGAGAAAAAAAAATCCAGCGCTCGGCCCTTCCGAGCCGCGGCCGAGCCGCGGCCGCGCCGCTTGTGCCGCACCTTGACCAAGTATTGAGACATGTCACACGTCACTTTGGCCAAAGGGCAAACCCAGTGCTTCCAAATTGTTCTAAAAAAACAAAGTTTCGGGGATCCCCCAAAAGAAGGGCGCTGGCTTCCCCCTTCAACATGCAAGGCACAAACTCCAAGAAAGACACCCAAATGGGCCGAATCCGACTTGCATTCCCGAACGGTTTTGAAAGGATTCCTCAGGATTCCACGACTGGAAGCCGATGCTGCAGTTCGTCATTGCGATATGCCTGGTTTTCAGCACGGCAGCAAAGTGAGTTCCTGTGTGGGAAATATAGGGAAGCCTGAAAAGTAGTCCAAGTCACCAGTGGCTCAAATGGGTTTGTCTCCTGTTGCCACCAAGATGGCTTTGGTTTCCTGGTTTCTCTTTAAACCAATCCCGAAACATTTGAAACATTTGCCCAACAAAAATACCACACTTTGGAGCTTGCTTTCGCCTGTTCGGATCAAGCAGTAACATGCTCAGTGGATCCCAAGGTAACCGCCAAATGTCTGGGAAGAATTCAGCGGAGCTGAGCTTCCTGGCATTCAGTCTTCACATCCACAAAAACGACAGAATCCCTGGGTTCCCTTTGGATTCCCCTAAGACCCATTTGAGGGTCAAACACACCACCCAGATGGGGCTGTGTCAACATAGACCCTGAAGCTTGGCGGTGTTCCTCTTGCTTCCCTTTGAGGCCACCCCAATCAGGGTGCCATGAAAAACTCGACCGGCCCATTGCCTTACAACCCATGAAACCAGCACCAAACGGCACAACAAGGTCTCCCTGGACCCTTAAACTCGCAACCAAAGGAACTCACCACAGTTTTGGGTTGCAAGAGCCCATTCTGGAGTTGCCATCTCTTTTTTGAGTCAATCCCGGTCGTTGTGTCCTCTTTTTTCTTTTCCCCGCGCCCAGTTCCAGCTCGGGCTTTAGCCACGACTCCTCGGAGGGGCCCTTGAAGCCGAACTCGGAGGACGCTTCCGGGAGCGAAAGCGAGCGAGCGCCGCCTGCGGTGGGTCCCCCAGCTAGGTGCGCGCTTTCTCACCGTTTCGTTTTTGGTTGGGAGGGTTCGGGACACTAAAACAGAGAAAACTGAAAAGAAAAGTGGGTACCAACTTATTAACACTACTCTAAGCTCTCTACTGGAGGACCTAGTTGGTTTTTCAGGAATCGGAGCCATGCAAAATGGCGGTGTGTTCGGTTTTCATTGTGCTGACTCCCCGAGATCCTGGACGAAAGTCACTTTTTGGGACGAGTTTATTGGAAAGTAGAAAGTCCGGACTTGTGTTTGCCAATCCACTCAAGAAGTGAGTTTGGTTGGCCTTTGAAACAAGAGGGGGTATCGGGGGGGAAAAAAAAAACTTGAGGCGACCCTTCCGTTTGCGCTTCAGAACATGTGTTGTTATATTCACCCCGTTGGTTTTCAAAAGAATCGATCGGGCGAATTCGCAAATGGAAGGACCCGCCGCAGCTCTTTTGCTTTTGGTTGGAAAGCTTCCCGTGAATTTGCAAGGATCAACAAAAGATGGTCGTCCGAAAGGTGCTATTCAGATAATGCGAAGGCCGGAAGACCTTGTTGTCAGAAGTGCTTTGCAATGGCTTGGCGATGAAAAGGTCGCGGAAGTGACGGTTTTGTTCTCACTGGTTCTTGTGGTTTATGGGTGGTTTGCTACAAGAAGTACCGGGTTGTATAATCTTTGCCCCAGATTGCACCCGTCCCTCCAACAGTGGTCTCCCCCCTCCCCACTTCTACAAAGGGGACACCCGATGAGATTCAATGAGGTGTACTATGTGTTCTCTTCCCGGCAGTGCGCGCAGAATGCACACAGACTAAAGTTGGTCGGAGGAAAGCCCGACCTTCAGATGGCCGCAAGAATACGTCGCTGCAAAAACCACCCCCCCCCTGCAGAAGGCAGCTTGGAGTTTGAAGCTTTCGGGTCTACTTGAGCGCAACTTCCCGGCCGGATTTTCGGTAATGTTTCTTTGTATTTGCGAAGGTTTCGCAAAAGTCAATGGACCTGCCATCCAGTTTTTGGGCATTGGTTGGCAACGGGCCCCCCCCACTGTGCTGGAGCTGTGCCTCAAAATGAGTTTGCACTTTCCTTGTGGTTCCCGCAAAACATCAAAGCGCAAGAACACAAAACTGCCCCACCCCCACGTGTCAGAAGCCCCGGAAAATCAGGGGGCCATTCCCGGGAACAAAGCAAGAAGAACCGACTCCTTACGCGGCTGGGCCTTGGTGTGCCTTTCAGGATTTGGACCGAAAGATTGGAAGTACTCACAAATGACACATCACACATCCGAGGAGGGTGTCTCAAAGCCACTTTTCTGGGGTGCTTTCCCTGATCAGAAGCTTGGAGTGAGGTTGAGTGGCATTTCCTTCTCTCAACTATATTTCCGGAGCGGGCGTCCCCACAAAGTTTCCATGACCCAAGCAAAGGCGTCAGTTTTGAGGTTGGGGGAATCTGATCGCTTCAGGTCTTGCCACCAACTCGAATTCAACTCGCCACTTTTGTTATGCTTAGCTTGGCTGCGCCTTTATTCCTTTATTCCTTTCCGTCGTTCGATCTGTCTTGCTTTCTTTCGTCCTTTCTTTGGGTGCAACATATGTCCAAGGGCGGCTCTAGTTTTCTCAAATGAACGGCTTAAGAGATTCACTTGTCTTCCCCCCTTCCGTGCCGGTCAGGAGCTGAAGAGAGCCATCGAGCACATGCACGGAGCCCGAGCCATCAAAAGAAGAACTCGAGGCTCAAGAGACCTCTTCTAGGTCCTGTGTCATCTTTCGGGGGCGTGTTCATGAAGTTGTCTAGGTCCCCCAGCTAGTTGCGCCCTTTCTCACCGCTTCTTTTTTGGTTGGGAGGGTTCGGGACCCTACTAAAATAGACTCCAGAGAAATGGGTACCCTTATTCTAACCTCTCTACTGGAGGACCTAGTCTTTACCAAACCCTAGGGGTGTGGTTTTTTGGGGTCCCTCCCCCCCAAAGAAAAGAACAACGTGTGTTAAAGGGCAGAGGGAATCCACCAGTTTTGAGCGCGCCCATATGCACAATTATCAACAGAGCCCTTTTCTTGGGGTTGACATGGTAACATCCACCTGGTAGTAAGGAGAACTAATCACATTACAAGGGAACCCTGACCATAGGCCATATTCAGGTGTTTTGACCATGGCATGTATGGTTACTTGGGTTTGCTCAGAGCATTGGTAGTTTGGGGATTTGAACCCCTGGCTTAACGGGAAGAGCCACCCGACACTTTGTGTGGCTGAAAGGGGGAACCCTCATTGGATGTGGTTTCTTTTGAGTTGGATCTGTGGATTCTTTTGAGTCGGACCCGGCTTCTTGGGGTCCTTAAAGGAAACCTTTGGGGACCATGTGTTGTGGTTCCCAATGTTTGAAACATACATGGCCACTCCACTGGACATATACACGGCAAAATAGAGATGTCAGACTGCAATGATTGCCTGTATCTGGAATTGCTAGTGGATGGATCTTCAGTCTTTAACCTTTAGGTTTTGGAGCCCCAAAAGGAGTCTCCTCTAAGAATTGTTCTTTTTGTTTCTGGTGTTGGGTTCCATGTTAATTTGTAGCTCACTTCCTGAGTTCTCGGACCTTGTCTTCTTTTGGGTTTGGACCATTTCAGTCGTAAAAGAAAAATGCTCCGATGTTTGTTGGGCCCATCCACTCTGGAAGCGAGATAGGAAGGTATTTTCCGCGCATCTGCAAACAAGTGTTTGATTAGTTGCAGGATCCGTAGGTCCCGACCTCTCGGAGCACCCCCATGCCCAAGAGGTGAGAGGGCCCAGGCTCCGTCTCAACTTTTCCTCAAATCAACCGCCCTGGGACCCCTAGGGGCAAGGGGGGCTATCCCTGGAAGGTAAGGATACGCCCTCAAGGCCTTGAGGGGTGAGCAAGGGATAGAGCCCAGGGGTGCATGGCCCCCTGGCCGGGTCAATGAAGAAAACTTGGCACCTCAACATGGCGTTGCGCCTTAGGTCCCAAGCCTGACGCCTCGAAGCGCCTTCTTCTTTTCTTCATTGGGTCTGACCAAAAAGCAGATGGGGCTGAGGTATTGATTGCAGGAGCCTGGCCCAAAATAATTCCTCTCCGCCCAACAAAAAAACAATATGAATGAACGTCAATTTTTCCGGGGGTCCCGGGACCAACGCGTATGGCTTGTAGGCCTCCAACAAAAAAATGGGTGGCTTTCCTTTTCCAGGTCTTTCAGCTAGGTGCCCTTTCTCACCCTTTTTTTGGTTGGGAGGGTTCGGGACCCTACGAAAACAGACGTCCGGATAAAAAAAAAATGGTACCCATATAGTCTCACCTCTCTACTGGAGGACATTGTCTTTACCAGACCCTACGGGTGTGGTTTTTTGGTGTCCCTCCCCAAAGAAAATGAAAACTCGTGTGTTTTAAAGGGCAGAAACTTGTGAATCCACAAGAAATGGGTGGCTTTCCTTTTGGTTTCCCTTCACACCAACCAAGGCCACCTTTGTCTCGGCCCCATGCGGTTTGTCAGAGGTCCGGGCGTATCCTCAGCGAGCTCACCTTGGTGGGCATCGAAGTGAAGCTTTGGGCTGAGGGCACGAGAATCGGTCTCCAAGAACGTGGTGTTGCGTGTTGCTTCACTGTTGCCGGAGCGTGTTTTTTGTTTGTTGTGT